GTGTAAATTATACAAGGGGTAGTAGCGAGGGCATATGCGGTCATACACTTTACACATAGACAGTTAGGTGCACTCACTCCTGCAATCTTTCTAAGGTTGTACAAAACATACGTCAGGCCACACCTTGAAGTGCACAATGTCATTGCACCCCCACTGCTTGGAAGAGACACTAACCTCTTGAAAAGAGTCCGAAGATGGGCGACAAAAGGAGTGGCTGGTCTCCGAAATAAGCCGTGTGATGAAAGGCTAAGTAAATTAGGTCCATTACACATAGCTACCGTTGGCCTAGGGGTGTTGACTACTACATACAGGGATACAAATGACCAGAATCATCCAGACAAAGGTGTTCTGCCACTGACTGTGTATGGGCTTCCTCGTGGAAATCCCAGAAGGATAGCTCACCAAAGGGCAACAAATTGGGTGCGCTCCCCCCTTTTCAGAGCGGGTTTGCCGTCCGCAGGACTCCTTATCGGCAGATGTAGCCACGGCACTCACTGTGGACACGTTTAAGCGAAGGCTGGACAATAATGCAGCGACACAAGGACTGCATCCAAACGGCTCACCCCCTTCAAATTCCATACACAATCCATGGGTGGACAATTAAATTCGTCGTCTTACTTCTTTACATTCTCTCCTGTCTTATTCTCCTGACTACTCCAGCTACTATACTTACATTTGTTATTATTGATGTTATACATATATATATATATAAATGTATACGTATTTATATTTTAACTTCAAATTTAATTAACTGTCTGTTTTTACGTTTTCTTTATTTCATTTTCTCTCTTTTAGTCTGAATAACCTACGCTACTTAAATCTGTTAATATTATCTCTTATCCTTTGACGACGATATCGGAGGACTAACTGGTGAAATGATCAACTCCATTCACAGTAGCGGCAAAGTCTTGACACGCCGCATATTACAAACAACATATAGTCAGTCCCACTACTACTCCTTTTGAAGTCAACCAAAGCTACGGCAGCCAAGCGGCGGGACGAACTACGTAAAAGTTTACCGAAGACCAACAACCTTAACGTCGCAATCAAAAAGCGAGTACAGAGAAATCAGATTGGTTTAAGCCAGCTCTTAAAAACGATATTGGATATTGGACCTTGTAAAACTAGCTCGTTCTCAAAAGATGTCAAGCTCCAAAACGAGTTGTGGATAACAACTCTGCAATTAGCCAAGAAAACCCTAGGCATGGGAAAAGACACTCTTCCATGCGAAGTTTACACGAAAACTCCTCGCATTTTCGTGCCTGAAGATATCGCCGTAACGTCTTCAATAGGTTGCATGGCTTATCCTACCCGGGTATTCGAACTACCATCAAGCTCATTACAAGCCGATATCTTCACTTGGTATTGATGAAGAAGTAGAAGAATGGGCTCATACGTATCTAGCTTGCCAAAGGTGCAAGGCAATAAGAGACACCAGAAACACTCTTGGCAACTTTCTTATCCCAGATACTCCATTCGGACACATCCATATAGACCTGGTTGGACCCCAAACCGAATCTCATGGATATACTTATATCTATACCTACACTGGCCGTTTCATGCGGGGGCCTGAAGCAGTGCCTCTCAGCGATGTACCTGCTGAAGTAGTCGCACACGTCTTTGTCGAAAGTTTTGGAAACTTCTTCACATGTATTTGTTCGTGGCCACTCTGTGCGTCACCCTCCAGAACCCCTATACGACGGACCATGAAAAGTCATCAAATGTGTGGATAAATTTTTGTCCTAGACAGAAAGGGTCGCGAAGACCCTGTTAGCATCGACCGTTTGAAACCGGCCTACCTAGAAGGTAATCTCATGAGCCTAGAACTAAGCATTCACAATAATATACAAGTAACCGAATATTTGAGTCCTCAAAGAAGTCACTAGCACGGTGAAAGCCACTTAACCTTCTGTCGAGCCCTCAAAGAAAACACGTTCTGGACGAAATGTGAGATTCCCAGAACTTCTTCACACTTATCTCACATAATAAAATGGTGTGACTCATACAATTTTTATTCGTTTGTGGAACATTTTTTTCTCTCAAGCAGATTTTTTTCCATTGCATCCCGCATCATAAGTCACACATTTTATAACCGTACACTGAGAAAACTTTTCCGATGTTCAATTTTTCGCATTATTTTTCTGTATGGCAGATGTATACTATCATCCAAACGTTATTTTCGGTACATTTTCCTCGACAAGTTTCTCAGCACTTTTGTTTTCTTTTCCAGATGCAAGGGGCACTGGATAAGATGCGAACGAAATAGGAGATCCAAAGGACAAGCATAAACGAAGCGATGTACACGCATCCAATTAGCATAGGTAGACAACCCATCAAGCCGCCCAGAAGAGTTTTACTGATGATAACGCCATTGGGTCTTCGCCAATAAGGTCCGACGCTGAGTTGCTCCATATCCTCATGGCATTCAGTGTGTCATAAGGCGTCTCTTGGGATGATTCGATATGGCTACTAAATATGCATATCTGTCACACACTAGCTCGAGAGCTTGTCAATCAGGCCTCGTCATGCTGATAACCGCTCACAAATCTGCTCACTGTTTCAGCAAATAATTGGTCCATGGTACTTTTTGTGTGACTGTCGCTATGACATACTTGCAATTACAGTACCTCTCAATCCAACTTTCGGAAATACACGATTCGAAAAATAATGTGTGAGTCTCTTTGAAATTACCAGTTCAGGTGAAGGGAAATTTACTTGGAAATTATCAAGCCTATACTACTGTCAACCTAAATTGTGGTAAGATTCAGTAAACATAACAAGTTCCCTACCTACTATCCATAAGTGATAAATCAATATAGACCAAACAATTTCTTGAACTACTAAAAGTGCATATTGCTAAAAATGAGTCAACCACCGCGCATTATGAAGTCTTCTGGTTCTCTTCGATTCATTTGTTCTGTGAAGAGTGGCTGAAACAACTCCTTATGAAGTGACAGACACGACAAAATATTTAAAAAATAAGGTTATGTGGGATAGACAGCGTAAACCTAATCATGAACACGGGTTCAGCAATAAATGTATAATGCAGCAAACACTAATCACATTGGAACACTTTAAAGTCAGGCTAACCAATGTGTTACAATATGAAATTTCAAGTCTAAAGGAAATTCAAGTAACAGATATAAAATATTTCAAAAAATACAGTTAAGATCTAGCACCACGAATCTTAACAAAGTTGTTTGTAGAGCTGGTCTATGTATCGAGTGGACCTTGCCATTTCCCTGACGTATCAATGCAAATTTGTGACTGATGGCTGATGAGGAGAAGTACCACACTGGGTTTCTATGAGTAATGCCGTTATGAAATTGTAAAAAATAGATGCTATGTTCGCAAGTTTAGGTATATAAATTACTTTTGAACATTAGTACCGAAGTACTTAATATCTTGTCTGAGTCTTTATTAGATGAGCTAGCACAAGTGGACGAATCACACTTTACCAAATCCTTTGTGTAAAAGAATTAGAAACGTCTGAGTCATTTTAAAGTCAACCATAACACTTCTGAATTAATCACCTTAGGCGGTATTATAGATAGGACAACCACTAGATTTCAATACATCACTACGGAATGAAGGGTGGTTTTTTCTAGAATCCATGGGTACTAGGTAAGAAGGATGCCCATGAACATCGAAACAGTATTTCTCTGAAAATCTGTGCACTGGTAACTTGCTTCTGGATCTACTTGACTGAGTAATAATTGTGCTTTGTCATTCTCTAGATAAAAAGCCTATGACGTGACGCATATATATATATAAGTGTCTAGTCTTACGGGGACATATACAGCATTAATAACTCGACTGCAGGAAAATTTGGAACAGATTAATCAAATAATAGCGGCTTATTTAATGGTGAAGCGTCGGTGGCACAGCGACTAGGACGCTCGCTGACCATGCACATGATCCGGGGTTCGATCCCCGGCCACTGACGCACTCCTTTACCTTACTAAGCCAGAAATAAAAGCTGGTAAAGAGGAAAGGTTGGGCATGAGGTGGCTAGCAACCCCATCCTGTAAAAATAAACGCTGCTACAGAAACTTCGAGCTTTTAGCTTGAAGCTCTATATTTCACTGGGAACGTGAAGGAATAAAAAAATATTTTGGTGACAGCTGGTTGCAAGCCAAAATTGTAGACAGCAATTTACATCTATGTTTACTTCCCGAATCGGGATCCTGAGAAAAAAATAACTAGGCCTAGTCTTGAGAAACTCACCAACCAATCACAGCAGACTTAACGTGTGCAAATACGATTCGCAGATATACGGCTGAACTTTCTGTGAGACAGTCACAAGCAGTACAGAATAACCTTCAGCAAGAAAACAACCGATCAAAAGAAGTTGCTTCTCTGATACATTGACGAGTAATAATGTACATAAAAAAAATCTTTAAATATCTCTCGACTTTCTCAATAAACGATCTGTTGCCTGGCCCTTGTCTTCTGACGTTGCAATACGACTGCTGCAGCTGAACCCAATGCTTGATTATTCTTAGAGACCAATTACTAGAAGAAGCCCATGTGAATTTGAGAGAGAAAACAACCATAGAATTTCAGAAGTTATGACATAAACTTGAGTGGGGAAACTCTCACGTTATAATATATATATATATATACATATATATATATATATATATATATATATATATATATATATATATATATATATATATAGAATCCAACATAGTGAGTCATGACTAGTGCTAACCGACTATTGGTTCCGAAGTAGAAATGATTGACGACTCGTTCGGTTTCCTCTTACTTAACTTTTGTGGACATGCGACAGTGGTTCAACCGTAGAATACTAGCCTGGCCTTGAGATTCCCTCAGAAATCACTTAACTGGTAGCAAGAAGCCCATTAAAAAGGAGAGTTTGAGTGTGAAGCTGGCAGCTCCACGCTGTAGAAACAACACCACTACTACTGGGACGTTGAAGCCCAGGCGAAACGCAAAGAGAAGCGAAAAATATGACCTATTTAGACAAAATAAGAAGGCATTTATTTAGATAAATACAATGAAAATTATATACAGCCAGAAAAAGAGGCACCATGACTATATTATGCATAAAATTTCCTATTCTGCTTATTTTTCTTTGCTTTCTTAGATGCTTGAATTTTAGCATATTTTGTCTTGATTGGTTGTTCATAACGAACTGCCTCATTATCGTCTTCATCATCGCTCATTTCATCGTTATGCATGTTATGGTTATCGTTCACCGCTTCATCGTTATCCTTATTTGTAAATGTAACACCCCATCCAATTGATTTGTTAACACGATGCGTCTCTTCCAGTTCAGCTTGCTCCTTCTTCTGTTGTTGATTCAGCTTTGCAATGCACTTCCATGTTTTACGTGCAGCTGCTATTCCAGCTTCCCCAGATGTTTTCAGCTTGAAGTCTGGCAGAGGTTTAGGCAATTTACGCTTGGAGGATTGTTTTTCTACAGGTGATGAGTCATTACCACTGTCACTATCAAATGATGATGAGCGGTTTTCATTATTGTCACTATTACCATCGTCGTCGTCATCACTTTCAGCATCATCACTGTTATCTGAATTGGCATACTCTTGAAGTATGTCTTCATCCATTGGTAAATCGAAACTAGGGAGATCATCATTGTCGACAGGTTTTTGACTTGCTACCTGGGCCCTAATCGTCTGGAAAATAAACAAAAAACAAATAGAAATATGGAATAGAAATGTACGTTTAATTGGAAAAAGATACTGAATATCATACTGAATACATTTTTTGATGTAGTTGTGTTCTCTGAGCTAGCTGCATGGTTTATTTGTGAAGCTTCCATTTCCTATAGTTTGGTTTGTAAGGGTTAGTTATGTTTTTGCGAGTTGATCACGGATTGATATCAGTTAGAGAACCATTGAAAACCAGCCAGGGAGTACTGAAAAGCTGTTTCATCCTAGTTTTGGGAACCATCGCCAGTACGCACCCACCGACAGGGTTCGAACCTAGGACCTTCCGGTTACAAGGTAAGCTCGTATACCATTCAGCCACTGGGACCCGATTCAATGGCCCTGGAATTCTAACTTCTACCAATTCGTGATTTAGCGCGGCCCCACCCAATGTCGTTGGTGAAACATCAATCTTCACACGTGACATCTGGTTGAACCTCACTGGCCACGACTTCTCACTAGAACTACAAGTGGCTAAATGGTATACGAGCTTGCCTTGTAACCGGAAGGTCATGGGTTCGAATCCCAGTGGGGGAGTACTGCCGATGATTCCAAAACTAGGATTAAACAGCTGTCCAGTACTCCCTGGCTGGTTTTCAATGGTTCTCTAACTGATATCAATCCGTGATCAACTCGTAAAAAAGCTTTCATTTCCCTACTAGGTAACATCTTCGGCACATACACTTCAATTTGATGAAGTGAGCTTTTAGATTTCTCCATGAGTCTATAAGTCACCTCTCCTGGTGACCTTGAGTGTGACTGGTTGTTCTTATGTTTTCACACCCTCTAGGCTACTTGTATTGATACTGGTTGGTTCCTTGAACAGAAGTTTGACTCTTTGTGTATGAGATTTCCGTCTTATCAACTGGTAAATTTGTCTTTATCAATGTGTTTATTAACTGACGATTCACCGGAATGCCAGGCTTCTAAAAATTCTCTAGCATTCTAGGTGTTTTTTGCTCTGTCTAATATTTGAACGTTATCCTGGGAGTGATACAGTTGGTCGTAGCGGGATATTCAGCAATTTTTGTTTACTCCCAGTAACCCCAACATGCAGTTTGTCCAAAGAACTATACAAGAAATTAATTCACTTAACGTACTCCTGCGATCACTCCATCAAATCTGCTAACCAATTTCTGAAGAAAATTAAAGGAATTCAAACAAATGATGTCACAGCATCGCATACCTCAATTGGATAGAAACTAGCAAAAGAAACCATGGAACAGTTACTCAGCAGAGACGAACACCTCCCACAACAATCAAAAATGTAACACACAAGTTGGATGGAATGCATAAACCTATGTCTAACAATGTATTTCTAATTCAACGGCCAAATATATATGAACAAATTACAGGAACACCAACGGGATCGCCGATATCAGGTTTGATTGCAGAGGTTGTGATGCCAAGCCTCGAAAACATAATCCTACCAAAAAAGATCAAACCCAAAAATTTGAAAGATGTCACTTCCTTCACTTATCTTGAAGGAAGCATCGTTTCAACTACTGGCGACAGCACGGATGAGTATGTCAAAACCAACCAGAATCGGAAAGGCAAAACAGACTTTCATCATTCTTAAATCAGTTTGGAGGAAATCTTCTGTTCTCGGTCAGCATAAAGAACAAAATTCAGATTCTCAACACCAATGTTAAGTCAGTCAGTTCTTCTAAGTGGGTAACAAATTTGGTGCTTTGTGAAAAGCATTCCCAACAGCCAACTGCAGACTTTTATCAACAACTGCCTTGTCTGGCTCAATACTGAAGACCAAATGGCCGGCCAGAAAGAATTAGCAATAATAAACTCTGGGAACAAGCCAACAGGCGAGAACCTATTGCTCAACAAATATGCAGAAGGAAAAGGAAATAAACCAGACACATGCTGAGGAGATCACCGAGACATCACCGGCCATCCAGGCCGTCGGTCGAGTGGAACCCGAATGGAAAACGACAAATAAGAAGCCCGAAGATGACATGGAGATCTTGCGGGAAGGAGACCAGAGACAGTAGACAGTTGTGGGGATAGCTAAAGACGACACCAGAGAGCAGGAAATGTGCTATTGAAGTCGTATGTTCCACTCATAACCCAAGGGAATAATAATAATGATGACAATAGTAATACACCAACCAAAAGAGGCAACATCATCTACAAGATCAACTGCAAAAACCGTGAAAAATATTCTCATATGGACCACAGTGGACATCACTTTTTCGTTTTTGCAGCCGTCGTCAACAGACATGATATCTGTTCTCTCATAGTATTGGATAAAAACTACCACGAAAAACAATTCGACTAGGGAAACGTAAAAGTCTTAGAGAAAGGATATGTCAAAAATGTGAGGGGATTTCTAAACGAATGGTTACTGAACATAGTGTATTCGTTTGGATAACTCCTTCTTCATCAGGTTCTACAGTTATTCATACATTATAGTGAATGAATTAGTGTTATTAACAACATTAATGTTGTTTAAATAACATCGAATCAATAATATCAACAGATTACAATTCAATAGCATCAACATAAAAATACACTGAATATCAGAAAAATTAGTAAAAATAATAATACAAATTCATGAATTTATAGTCTTCACTGAAGGTCAGGACAGTAGTAGTGGCTGGCTGGACTTGGTTCTTTTGAACACAGAGCACAGGTTGTTTCACGCGAATCGCGATAATCTCCGCTGTTTGGAGTATGCGGTAGTTCGATGTTTTTGGCAATTTATTTGGTACCCGGTAGATGACGATAGTGAAGGATTCTTCAGTGCTGGCTTTGCAGCCTGTTTGGACCAGCTGGTCTAATATCAAACTGTTGATGGTTTTCACTAAACCTTTATTTAATCACACTGGTAGAGAAAGTACAAAAAAAACCAAGTTCCTAGAGCAACAGCCAATATAACTCGCTCCACACCACAGGAGAGCGCAGTTGAATTGGTAGATACAATTAGAAATGGCTAGCCTAAAAGCCTGAAATTCCCGACGAATCTGAAACCAACAGACACATATATGAAATTGGCGACTGGTAATTTATACATATAAGTATAAAACTTGGGCACTGTGGTAGAGTGTAACTGTATTATGGATAAGATTTTATTTTGATAAATCACACAGTGTTTGTTGTACAGTAATATTAACTGATGACCGCATGTCGAGCACAACTTATTGCCACTAATAATCATATCAAGTTACTCGCACAACTTTCTTGCTTCATTCATATACATGAGTAAAATTGATGATTAGATATTTGAATAAAATCAATATGGGATAACATACATTCAGAAATGATAATATGAGTGTTATCAATCAAATACAATCAGATGGGAAATAAGACGAGTGTTTTTTAAGTCAAAACAAGTAACTTGTTAGAATGTTGTGATGTGCTTGAATTGGAATAGAGTTTTGAGACTATTTATTATCACTACGGACACTTGGAAACTAATAGAAGAGAGAGGGATGGTAAAACAAAAGATTATCCAGTGCACCGATGAGCAACAAAAACAGGATTTGAATGCAAGCTACAAGACACTGAACAAAATAGTAAAGAAGACTGCTAGAGAAGACAAAAGGAAGTATTATGAAACCATGGCAAGTGAAGCAGAGCAAGCTGCAGGCAAAGGAGACCTCTCAACACTCTACCAAACAACTAGGTACCTTTCAGGCAAAAGTTCGTCACAATTTAAGCCAGTGAAGAATGACAATGGAAAGTCACTCAACAAAGAAGTGGAGCAAAGGAAACACTAGGCTGAACACCTCAAAAGACTCCTAAATTGACCACCACCTACAACGCGCCCAACAATACCAACAATGGAGACAGAGCTACCAGTGAACACCACCCCCCCACCTGACGAAATCAGAAGTCCTGAAGGCAATCAAGATGCTAAAAGCTGGAAAAGCAGCAGGACCAGATGGAATCCCAGCAGAAGCATTGAAAACGGATCCAGAGACAACAGCGGACTTGATGACGCCGCTACTGGAGAAGGTGTGGAAAGAAGGCAAAGTACCCGAGGATTGGAAGAAAGGATACTTATTCAAACTACCAAAGAAAGGAGACCTAAGTCAATGCAAGAACTGGCGCGGAATTATGCTCCTGTCCATCCCAAGCAAAACACTAAGCCGCATCATCCTGGAGAGAATCAAACATGCCCCGGATGAAAAACTTCGACCGCAACAGGCTGGATTCAGGAGAAACAAGTCATGCATTGATCAGATCGCCACATTACGGATCATCATTGAACAAAGCTTTGAGTGGCAGTCACCTCTCTATCTCAACTTCATCCACTTTGAAAAGGCCTTCGACAGCGTCGATCAAGAGGTGATTTGGCAACTACTTTGCTACTATGCGCCGCCATACATCTCATCCAACAGCTGTACGACAATGCTGTATGCCAAGTAATCCACAACGGGAAAATTACGGAATCCTTCGAAGTGAGGACAGGAGTAAGACAAGGCTGGCTGCCAACTATCGCCAATGATTTTCCTGATTGCGGTAGACTTGATAATACGACAAACAGTGGGCAATGAGGAAACAGGCATAAAATGGACTCACACAAAAATCTTGCAGGATCTGGACTTCGCCGATGATATATGTCTGATTTCCCACAAACTGGAAGACATGCAAACGAAAAGCAAAAAGTTAGCAGAAGAAGCATCAAAGATAGGACTTCAGGTGAATATAGAGAAAACAGAGGTGATGAAAATTCCTGGGCAACACCACCACCAGCAACAAAAACAACAACAATAGTCAACAATCAGCATAAATGGAAGGAACCTGAAAGAAACAACCTCCTTTACCTACCTGGGAAGCATCGTTTCAACCACAGGCGGAACTGACGAGGATATCAAAGCAAGAATCGATCGGAAAAGCAAGACAAGCTTCCACTACTCTCAAGTCTGTGTGGAGGTTAACAGCACTCAGCAACAAAATTAAGATCCGGATTTTCAACTCCAATGTGAAGTCAGTGCTACTATACGGATCAGAGACTTGGCGTGTCATAAAGAGCATCTCAAACAAACTACAGACCTTCATTAACAGTTGTCTTCGCTCAATACTGTTCAATATCAGATGGCCAGAAAAGATCTCTTGGAGCAAACCAACCAGAAACCGATTGTGAAACAAATAGGCAGGAAGAAATGGAGATGGATTGGCCATACTCTCAGGAAACCATCAAGTGACATCACTAGACAAGCCCTTGAGTGGAATTTGAAAGGAAAGCGGCGAGTTGGTCGTCCAAGGGTGACTTGGAGGAGGTTATGTGAAGAGGAGATGAAAACGTGTGAAGAGACATGGAGCCAGGTGAAGACTGTAGCAGAGAACCGAACGCAATGGAGACGCACGGCTGAAGCCCTATGTTCCTGTAGGAATTAAAGGATATAATAATAATAATAATAATCCTCTGATTTGACTGGACCCGAGAAGATGAGTTATTTAGAAAAAAGCTCAGCAATTGCACTACATGCAATAACACACAACCACACAAGAGGGTGGGAGAGGGTTGAGATTCTAAGAAGTAATCTATGTAGGTGGAGAGAGAGATTGATTACTGAATCCTGACTGGTTCATCGAGTTTACACACAACACATGCAACAGAAATGACTTAATGCAAATACCCGAGATATCTATGGAAGATATTATTACCACCAGTGAGTCAAATCAGAGGAGGATAATAAATAATCTCAAAATTCTATTTCAATTCAAGCACATCACAACATTCTAACAAGTTATTTGTTTTGACTTAAAAAACACTCGTCTTATTTCCCATCTGATTGTATTTGATTGATAACACTCATATTATCATTTCTGAATGTATGTTATCCCATATTGATTTTATTCAAATATCTAATCATCAATTTTACTCATGTATATGAATGAAGCAAGAAAGTTGTGCGAGTAACTTGATATGATTATTAGTGGCAATAAGTTGTGCTCGACATGCGGTCATCAGTTAATATTACTGTACAACAAACACTGTGTGATTTATCAAAATAAAATTTTATCCATAATGGGATAATTTATATAGTTTCAGGAGGTGAAATCCCATCACTGTTAGTTTCTTTTGGAAACCAAAATCATTCGGATAACACAAAATATGTGACCTGCATGATACCATGAATTGTAATCAAGAGAGTAGGTATAACTGGATGAAACACCTTGTACACCAACTGATTGATTGAGGTGAGTCGTTGTACACTACTCATATCAACCAATAGTGCTTGCTAGCCAGATAATCGAAGTGATTTAAGCACTGGACAACCGTTTCGCTCGTTTGGGGGGCAGAATCGAACTGATTCGGCAAACTACTACTCATCTCAATTGAGCAGTAGTATATAGTTTCAATCAAAAGACACATTGACATTGATAACATGTATCAACGAATTAATCAATCAAAAAAGGAAGTTACATGGAGAAAAGGTCGACTTTCAGATCAACAAAATAATCAATACCAATACAAGTGAACTAAACAGTGAGAAAGTCTCCAGGTACAACCAGTCACTTTTATGTATACGAGAAGAGATGGGTGATAAACACTCATGGAGAATTCTAAAATCTCACTTTAAATTGAAGTACGCGCTGAAGACGTTGTCTAGAAAGACAAACAAAACACTCGCAAAAATATGCCTCCAAAGCCTCAAGATGGTCGGGGGTGGGTGACTTGCGCTGTGGGTTAGCCACACCTCCGCACACCTCTTGAAATGCTCCCATATGACCAGGCGTCTTACATAGCCTCTCCTGAGGAAGTCCTACTCACTGCCTTCACGTGGCGGAGGTGTTTTTCACCAAAGTGAGAGGGCGAAAGCGGATGCCCGGCGCTCTTCACCGGGTTGACTGTCCATTGGATGACAGTCTAGGGGAGATGGCTAAACCCTGATTCCAAACCTCCAACGACTGGCGTATGAAGCTCACTGGAGCTCACCGGGAGACGTATGGACAAAGGGCTTGTTGGATGTCCTGGATGTCTGGCCCCATTCAAAAAGGCGTATGAACCGAACTCCGGTCACCGGCTGCCAATGGATAGTGGACTCCCTACTCCACTCCTACTGCCTTGTAGGTCACACTTGGTTGTGTAAAGGCTAGAGCTGCACTCTCAAACAAAAGGCCGAGCGATTCTGGGGACATCACTCGTACCAAATTCCCATGAAACTTCATGAACTCTCTTACAAACGACCCTGTCGCAAAACCTTGCATCAGATCGCCGCGCCTGGGCAGCGATGATTCGAGATGTTCATGAAGCCGGCTCATCCTCCCGTAGGAGATAGCCGAAGTAAAGTAAAAGTAAGTAAATTAAACTATGTCGCTAAGGGAACACAACTATATACCAATAAATTCAAAATTAACTTTCGGCAAGAAATGCAGTAAAGAAGGAAAATTTACCTTTGAAGCTCGAGACCAAGCTTGATCAGCTAACCGCCGACGGACAAGTATACTATCTCGACCGTTTAAATCAGGGACTGGAATTGGCCAACGAGGTATTCCAGGAGAAGAGTCACTGACTTCCGCCTTAGATTTTGGTAGATATGGTAGTAGAGATGCTTCTAATTCTAGAAACACAGGTGCTACATCACGTGTTACTATGGTTAGAGCTATTCCTCTTTGACCAGCACGTGCAGTTCTACCAACACGATGTCTATACGTTTTCTCAGATAATGGCACGTTGTAGTTTATAACAAATTCCACATGAGGAATGTCTAGTCCCCTGAAAATTGAAACATAAAGGAAAAATTATTTGTCAATATTGTGAAAAATGGAGAATGATTGAGGATCTATGAAATAACTATGCGTTGTTACATAATCAGAAAGTGAGATCACTTGAAAATTCACCCTATTCTATTCATTCCTTACAACTGCTTTGTGACAGTAACCCTTCTCAGGTAGACTGATATGGATAGGATCAACTTGCATATATCAATCATATATATATATATGAACATAGACAAGACGGAGGTTATGAAAATAACCAACCAACAACAACAGCAACACCTGCAACATCCAGCGCCAATCACCATCAACGGGAGGAATTTGAAAGAGGCTACTTCATTCACTTATCTAGGGAGCATTGTCTCAAATACAGGAGGAACGGACGAGGATGTCAAATCGAGAATCGGGAAGGCGAGAAACACATTCATCAACCTGAAACCAATCTGGAAATCTTCGTCACTCAGCATCAACAACAAAATTCGGATTTTCAACACAAACATCAAGTCAGTCAGTTCTTCTGTACAGATGGATCAGAAACTTGGCGGGTCACAAAGAATATTTCCAACAGCCTGTTGCAGATCTTTATCAACAAATATCTTCGCTCTATACTGGAAATCAAATGGCCGGAAAGAATCACCAACAAGAAACTATGGGAAGAAACAAAACAAGAACCAATCGCTCAACAAATATGCAAGAGAAAGTGGAGATGGATTGGACACTCGCTGAGGAGGCCGATGGGCGACATCGTGCTTCAGGCCAGTGCTCGAGTGGAACCCGGCCAAAAGGGAAGCGGCGAGTGGGACGTCCAAGGGTGACATGGAGGAGATCGTGTGAAGAGGCGTTGAAACAGTATGGACTAACATGGATGCAGGTGAAAAGTACAGCAGAAGACAGAAGCAAATGGAGACGTGTAGTTGAAGCCCTATGTTCCACTAGGAACCCAAGGGAACAATAATATATATATATATATATATGAACTACTCTTGTGGCACAAAATACTACTCAACAGACCCATATAAACTGATGTACTTGGTGGTAACTCAGGGAGAATTTTTGTGGGCGGGGAGGGAATAATTATGCCTACTTGGTTGGTTAACCAAACCTTATTAAGTCGTAGTTGGTTGGCGGGAGGGGGCGTTGAAACCCATAGTCCGTTGGTTTAAAATTGAACACTTAAATCAATAAGCTACAATCCCAAATAGAAACTATTCGGTTACCATGATGACGTTTTCGCCTATTTTACCAGCCGGTCCCAATCCCGAGTAAAGAAGGAGGGTTGGGAGTGGGACTAGCTATCCTACCCCGGAAAATCAATCAAACTGCTACAGAAACTTCACCGCATACGAAAAATATTAAAAATACAAAAAAAATATAAAAAAACCTATTTTTCGTTGGAATCGGAGAGACGAAATGACGCCAGCTGGTGAAAGCCATCGAAGAAGCCAATCAATCAGGCAATATTTCTTCTCTCGGTGAAAGCAAAAACAAGCGTAGGGACATGGAATGTCCGTACAATGTACAAAGCCGGGAAGGCTACCCAGGTAGTCGAAGAAATGAGCAAATATGGTATGGAAGTGCTAGGAATCTGACAGAGCAGGTGGAATAGATGTGGACTATCGAAATTGTCAACTGGAGAGTCATTAGATTCTTCCTTCTCTTATCTAGGAAGCATCCTATCAACAACTAGAGACAGCACGTATGAGAATGTCAGAACCAGCCAGAATCGGAAAGGAAAGGCACACCTTCACCACTCTGAAATCAGTTTGATAATCTGCGTTCAGCCAGCATAAAGAACAAAGTCAGGATTTTAAACACAAATGTTAATTCAGTCAGTCCTTCTATATGGATCAGAAACTTTTCTGAGATTTGAACCCGCGTCATCACCACTCAGTGCTGCATTCAGAGACATTACTACAGAGGTATTCGGGCTCGCGGTCGACAACTACAGAGTCTTTGACTGTTGCTTTGATCACGTAGGGAGGAGGTAAAGACTACCTGACTGGGTATCCTGGGGATACTAAGAACCAGAGACTGGAGACTACTGGTTGATATGGCTGGAACACATTTTCAAAATGAGGCAGATGTATTCACTCTTTGTGCAATCTCCCTCAGCCATTAAATCTTCATTTTTGTCTCCATGTTACTATTCTTTGTTTCTCGTCCACATTTCTATTGATAATAGTTCTTTAAAATCTAAAGCAATTAGTTCCCTTTATGAATTTCGACAACACAATAAGAAGACGTAGTTTATCTGACACGTGTAATGTATTCAGACATTCTGATCACACACACACAAGTACTTGTCATACACAGTTTTTATAGAAGGCCAGAAGGCATGAATAATTACAATACAAGTTAGATTGTGTATGGGTCAATGTCACAAATAGTGTGTAGGTAGATGACGCAAAGGTGTGGGTAAGAAAGAGAAAAAAAAAGAGAAAAACATAGCAAAGAAAAGGGGTTGAAAATATTATAAAGTAAATTGATTTCTTAATTCTAAATTGGATTACGAAGGCAGGTTTAAGGTGATAACAAATAACTTTTGGACACATAAGACAGACAGGTTTAAGTCTTTTTATGGCTAAGGTTTCAATGAATTTAAGTATGTGGCCCAACCTTGTTTTATATATGGGCTTAAATGCATTGTTGGAATCAACCTTATGACCCGTCTCTATAATGTGCTTCGCTATAGATGATGTTGGACATCTATTTCCAGGGTCAATTGTGTCTGGCAATTTCATTTGTTCTTGCAGACACTTTGGAATGTAAATGAAATATCCCCATATTGAAATCAAAACACGATTTTGAGCGAACAATTGTTTTCGATAACTTCTTCTTCAGGCTCTACAGTTATAAATCCATGAATAATAGAGTACATATAGCCAATAAAGCCTCCAAAGCCTCAGTATGGTCGGGGGTGGGTGCCTTGCGCTGCGGGTTGGCCATCCCTCCGCACACCTCTTGAAATGCTCCCATATGACCGGGCGTCCCACATAGCCTCTCCTGAGGAAGTCCTACTCACTGCCTTCACGTGGCGGAGGTGTTTTTCACCAAAGTGAGAGGGCGAAAGCGGATGCCCGGCGCTCTTCACTGGGTTGACTGTCCATTGGATGACAGTCTAGGGGAGATGGCTAAACCCTGATTCCAAACCCTCCAACGACTGGCGTATGAAGCTCACTGGAGCTCACCGGCAGACGTATGGACAAAGGGCTTGTTGGATGTCCTGGATGTCTGGCCCCATTCAAAAAGGCGTATGAACCGAACTCCGGTCACCGGCTGCCAATGGATAGTGGACTCCCTACTCCACTCCTACTGCCTTGTAGGTCACACTTGGTTGTGTAAAGGCTAGAGCTGCACTCTCAAACAAAAGGCCGAGCGATTCTGGGGACATCACTCGTACCAAATTCCCATGAAACTTCATGAACTCTCTTACCTTGTCGCAAAACCTTGCAACAGATCGCCGCGCCTGGGCAGCGATGATTCGAGATGTTCATGAAGCCGGCTCATCCTTCCGTAGGATATAGCCAAAGTAAAGTAAAGTAAAAAAAGTATAGCCAATAAAGGCAAATGAAAATAATATCAGAAACTGTATTGGGGTGCATGTGTAAGTTGAGATGATAGTCCATTAGTTAACATGATCAATCAAATGTGTATAGGGTCGACAAGAAAAGTACATTAACCAAAAAGCATAGAGAATGCCTCAAAAAACTAAGGTCTGATGACAGCATTATTATCACGAAACCGGACAAGGAATCAGGTACGGTTATTTTCAAACAAATGCGACTACATTGATAAGATGAACACCCTACTGAATGATCGTTCCAAGTTTCAGAAATTAGGTAACAGCAAAGATTCGAATGAAGCAACAGAACGCCAGTTCGTCAAAACTTTGAAGTCTTTAAAAGATGAAAATCTAATTGATAGTTCTATATTCGACGCTATTAAGCCCACCGAAACTCATACGCCCAGACTTTATGGCTTACCTAAAATACATAAGCAGGGAATTCCCCTACGACCAATGCACTATGCACATTCAATTTGTATTTAATAAGGAGTATTACCGCCAAATAGATGGGGTTGCCATGGGTTTTTCCCTTGGTTCCTTATTAGCTGACATATTTCTATCTAAATTGGAAAATGGTCCTTTAAAAGAGATACTAAACAAACTCGATCATTATTGTCGATATGTTGACGATACCTTTATCATTTGTAACAATAATCAAGATAGACAACATCTGCTCCAAGTCTTCAATAAGGTACACCCAGCTATTAAATTCACTTGTGAGGAGGAACTCCAAGGTAGTATTCCATTTCTGGATGTTCTTCTTACAAAGAGAACAGACGGTACCTTAAAGCGTAACATCTATAGAAAAGTGACGTAGAATGGACAATACACCCACTTCCATAGCTTCATACCTATACAATATAAGCGCAACCTAATTCGTTGTCTTAGCCATAGAATTAGGCGCATATGTACCGACGACTGCATTGAAGATGAAATAGAAAATCTCACAAACGCCTTGCTACAGAACGACTATCCTACCAAATTTGTAAAGAAGTATATCCATGAAACTACACACAAAACTAAGCGAGACACAGTAAGTAAGAAAAAGCTTTACTTAAATTTACAATTCAAAGGCGATATATCCAGCGATATATTAAACCGTAGATTAACGAGAGCAGTTGAAAGAACTTTCAGTGCCGCAAAACTGCATGTCACTTTCTCAACCAAACCGATATTGACACTGTGCATTAAAGATAGATCACCCAAAATGACGACATCAATGTGTGTATATAAATTCAACTGCTCCTGTGGAGCTAGTTATATAGGTCGTACCCAAAGGAATTTATCTTTACGCACCCGTGAACATATCCCGGTCTGGCTTGGGAAAAGAGCGACCAAATCATTAAATAGTGCAATTCTGGCTCATCTAGTGGATAGCGAACACAGCATCAAAGTAGAAGAGTCATTTACAGTTGTGTATCGAGTACCAAACAATCTCCCCAAAGGCACACGATTACGCCTCCTAGCCATAGCTGAGGCTTTAGAGATTAATGGAGAAAGACCAGACTTATGTGTACAGAAAAAACTTATTCACTCTCTCTGTCTACCCTGGCCCACTATGAGGTCACCAGGATCATAATTTTCCGTATTATTATTACCATTATTATGATTTTGTGATATCATGTCTTTATTATCCATTTCTCCACACAGTTTATTTCACCTCATTGTTACCCGTAATTTTGTCAACCTTTGTGATTTTACACTAAGTCTACCAACTCTGTAACATCTTATTAAAATTTACAATTTAGCTTCTTTACTTTATCATTAGACATTATCAGTCAGCCCGCACATTCAGTGTTCCCTTTGTTAATGTGTGTTTGTATGTATTTTGTGGCTATCGCATTTCTCTCACCCCAATGACACTTGTATTCTGTTGACTATAAAACAGCACTATTTCACCCAATTGTTCATTCACACTTCATCACATTTTTCTGACTATACACCCTATACACATTTGATTGATTATGTTAACTAATGGACTATCATCTCAACTTACACATGCACCCCAATACAGTTTCTGATATTATTTTCATTTGCCTTTATTGGCTATATGTACTCTATTATTCATGGATTTATAACTGTAGATCCTGAAGAAGAACTTTGGAATGTGTTCTGTAGCCCTAACGCGCAGAGACCGATGTGTCCTCCCTATGTATATGTCTCCACACATACACGTAAATTGATAAACATCACATCCCACATCCAAAGTGGCTGCAACAACAAATGAAAATCCTGTAACCAATCAAATCCCTACAAACCAACAAATGAAATCGCCAGACACAATTGACCCTGGAAATAGATGTCCAACATCATCTATAGCGAAGCACATTATAGAGACGGGTCATAAGGTTGATTCCAACAATGCATTTAAGCCCATATATAAAACAAGGTTGGGCCACATACTTAAATTCATTGAAACCTTAGCCATAAAAAGACTTAAACCTGTCTGTCTTATGTGTCCAAAAGTTATTTGTTATCACCTTAAACCTGCCTTCGTAATCCAATTTAGAATTAAGAAATCAATTTACTTTATAATATTTTCAACCCCTTTTCTTTGCTATGTTTTTCTCTTTTTTTTTTCTCTTTCTTACCCACACCTTTGCGTCATCTACCTACACACTATTTGTGACATTGACCCATACACAATCTAACTTGTATTGTAATTATTCATGCCTTCTGGCCTTCTATAAAAACTGTGTATGACAAGTACTTGTGTGTGTGTGATCAGAATGTCCGAATACATTACACGTGTCAGATAAACTACGTCTTCTTTTAAATCTCTTTAATATTTTGATTTGACACTAGTAACTGGTGTGATGCGTCTAGTCCTCTCTATGGTTCAGACTGAATTCTATCAGTCAAGTTTGCAATGTGGCCACCATTCTAGGTAGCTCACCATCACGGTGTACATTGTTTGTGATGATATGAGATGGTTGGAGGCAATCGGCCACAGGAAGCCTTGGACCTAGGTTTCGTGCTAGTTGGTACTCACCAGTCAGCAAGACGTATCTGCAACCTTGAAGAATCTCATGTCCCTTCTGAGATTCGAACCCGCGTCACCCAGTGAGTACTGCACTCAGAGACGTTACCACTGAGCCATTCGGGCTCGGGTTCGAATCTCAGAAGGGACATGAGATTCTTCAAGGTTGCAGATACGCCTTGTCAACCGGTGAGTGCCAACTAGCACGAAACCTAGGTCCAAGGCTTCCTGCCGATTGCCTCCAGCTATCTAATATCATCACAAACAATGTACACCGTGATGGCGAGCTACCTAGAATGGTGGCCACATTGCAAACTGGACTGATAGAATTCAGTCTGCACCAAAGAGAGGACTAGACGCACCACACCAGTTACTAGTGTCAAATCAAAATATCCACTACAGTCCTACAGGAGGTCAATCGCGAGCCCGAATAGCTCAGTGGTAACGTTTCTGACTGCAGTACTCACTGGGTGACACAGGTTCGAATCTCAGAAGGGACATGAGTTCCTTCAAGGTTGCAGATACGCCTTGCTGACGAGTGCCAACTAGCACGAAACCTGAGTCAGGCAAGGCTTCCTTCCGATTGCCTCCAACCATCTAAAATCTCTTTAAATCAATCAGCATTATAGTTCAGCACATTACCATTGAGCGGGATTCGGGTTCATTGGTAATAAGGTAAAGTCACTTGTTGCAAGACCGAATGACGCTGGTTCGAATTCCATATGGTAAACCCATATGAGTGAGAGAAAAACAGTCGCATCACATAAACTCAGAGATAATACAACCAGATATCGATTTCAGTATCTTCCATTAACAAAATAATAATAATGATGATCTTGAAGATGCCCAACCAACGACGACAACAATAACAACGACAAGCATCCATCACCATCAACGGGAGCATAAGCAATGGGAGTCACCTCTGTCACTTAGCTAGGCAACATTTTTTCAAGCATACAGGCAGTATAGATGAGGGTGTCACAGTCAAACAAGATTGGAAATAATTTAATAATTCCCATTGTGGCATTAAGAACACAATATTCAGCGAAGAGACTCTTTTCAACGAATTTATTATCAAGCTGTACAAGGTGTACAAAAGAAGTATGTACAATCCCTACTTCTGCCTTGGCCGTGGAGGGATAGACATTTATTCATTTTGTTTATTTAGTTAATCTACGTACCTTTCCCTCATTACTACGATTATTATTATCACTAATACTATTCTCACTCTGAATCTTTTCCACTTGACCCACTTGTCATTTTAAACCCAAAATTATTAATTTTTATATTTTTTATTTTTACAATATTGAATTCTGTCTTATCAAATTTCACACCGTGTTATGTAACATTTTATATTCGTCTACTAATCCTATAATTATGTACCCCTTTCCAAAATATATACACCTTATGTATTATTCTATATACGACATTAATTATTGTGCCACTTGACATTAAACTATGATTATAATCACAAATATTTTAATTGCATTTCATACTATTATTATTATTTCATGTATTCACAGCTTTGACCTAATTCCCACACCGGATATAATTTCTTAAGAAACCAAGTATATACGATTGTACAGCTTGATAATAAATTCGTTGTTGAAAAGAGTCTCTTCGCTGAAGATTGAAAATAACTAGACAGACAAGATATAGGCTTTCAACACTGATGCCAGTGCTTGCGTATGGTTCAGAGACAAGGGTGTTTGCGTCACCAAAAGCGTTTCTAACAGGTGGTTGGTTGGCTGCACACTTTCATTAACAACTGCCTCCTTCAATCCATACTCTGAGGGTCAGATGGCAGGACAGAAAGTTTTAACAGAAAGGAACTCTGACAGGCAACGAACCAACCAGGAACCTACTTCCCCCCACCTCCAACTATAATATTCAGTAGGTAATGGAGATGGATTGGACACACGTTGAGGAGGCTGTTGGGTGACATTACACGCCAGGCAAACCATTGAATGAGAAAAGACAACATGGACTTCTAACGGTGACATTAAGAAGATCATATGGAGAGGAGATGAAATCTTATGGATAATTGTAGAGACAAACTGAGGAGAACAGAGTGAAATGCCGATGTGCTGATGAAGCTCTATGTTCCACTAAGAACCTAAATAATGACAATCATAGATAGATTAAAAAAATAAAAAAATATCCCTCAACTTACCGACTAGCAACATCTGTTGCCACCAAGATTTGCACTTCACCTGATATAAATTTGCTTAATGATTCTTTACGTTCAGTTTGTTTCATACGACCAGTTAATGCAACTGTGGAATGACCACGTTCATGGAGAAATTCTGAGACTAGTACAGTTTCATGACATCGTTTACAAAATATCATAATACGATGATTCTGTTGACTGGATGTATCACTGTTATCCACTATAATGTAAGCAGAGAGAGAGAGAGAGAGGGAATTCAAGGAGAATTACTCATAGGGAAAATATGATGGAATAAACTACAGAACCACTGCGAATAGTAATATGGGTCAGAAACTTAGCGAGTGCATCACGAAAGCATTTCCAACAGGCTACTGCAGACTCTTATCAACAGCTGTTCCCTTAACTGGCTCCGCATTGAAGATCAAATGGCCAACCAGCCAGAAAGAATCAGCAACGAGAAACTCTGGCAGGGAACAAACCAACAGGCGAGAACCTATTGCTCAGCAAATATTCCAAATAAAAAGAAAAGATGGATCGGACACATACTGAGCAGATTGTAGAATGATATCGCGCGTCACACCATTGTTCGAGTGGAACCCGAATAGAAAACGACGAGTTGCACATTGGTCCGAGCGTAACATGCAGAAAATCATGTGGAGAGGAGATAAAAGACTATAGACAAGAGTGGGGACAGCTAGAAAAGACCTCAGAGAATAGGACGAAGTGAAAATAAGCTGTTGAAGTCCTTTGTTCCACTAGGAGCCCAAGGGAACAATAATAATAATAATTTTCTATAGTTTGGTTTGTAAGGGTTAGTTATGTTTTTACGAGTTGATCACGGATTGATATCAGTTAGAGAACCATTGAAAACAAGTGAGGGAGTAATGGACAGCTGCTGTTTCATCCTAGTTTGGGAATCATCGGCATTACGCACCCACCACCAGGGTTCGAACCCAGGACCTTCTGGTTACAACGTAAGCTCGTATACCATTCAGCCACTGGGACCCGATTCAATGGCTCATGAATTCTAACTTCTACCAATTCGTGATTTAGCGCGACCCCAACCATTGTCGTTGGTGGAACATCCATCCACACACATGACATCTAATTGGACCTCACTGGTCACGACTTCTCACTAGAACTCCAGGAAACTCCATCCTGTAGCAAGTCACTAGCGAGCATCAGATATGATAATAAATAATATGGGGATAGTAGAGTAAACCTTCCAAATGTTATTTTGTAGAGATTTAATCATTTTCAAATTTGATAACGAAATGATACCAGTGAAGACCAAGGAGTGCAGGATAGCTGTATCGTCCCGGTCTGGGACTCCTCACCGGCACACGCACAAATAATCTCGTCAGGGATCGCAAATAAGTAGACAACAGAATCAATAAATCACTTGATTTTACCCAAGTGGCTGAGTGTTCAACGGCCTCACCTTGTAATCAGAAGGTCCTGGGTTCGATCTCTAGTGAATCGTGTTATAGTCGTGTACTTATGAAGAGTCCAAAACTAGGACGAAACAACTATTTATTGATCTCTGTTTGGCTTCTAATGGTTCTCTCTATCTGATATCAATCAATCCGTGATCAAAGTTGAACACAGATTTGGACAGAAATTGAGAAATGTTGAGAAATCAAAGGGTTGGTCACGAATCGGTAAAAGTTGGAGGCCACCTTGAAAGCTATATGTATGGTAGAATGCCTTTCATTGTAACTGCATGGTCCAAAGTTTGATATCACTTAGAGTTGTGTACGTGGAGTACTGCATTTCCTCAAACTGAAAGAAAACAGCTGTCCACTTACTATACCTTGGTTTTTACCAGTTCTCTGAAGGCATTTCTGTTCGTCATAAAAACACGTCATGAAATTAATGAAGTCCTTAAAACCAATTGAAACTCTTAGTGAGCAGTATGATCGAGGCAAACTGTATTCATACCCATATTTAGATGGCAACATATGTGATGGATATCTGTCAGCAGTATCACAAAAACAGTACTGTGCCTGCGCATTTCAATGGTAGAATGCCCATCAGCACAACAGGAGGTCAGCAGTTCAATTCCCAGCCGACGCACTCCCTAAAAAGACCTCACCCAGTTTATTAGCAGGCCCCAAAACCCAGAAAGAAAAGAAAAAACGATTGGGAGTGAGGCTGGCAGTCCAAAACTTGTGAAAACAACACCCCCACTGAAACTTCAAACGATTCAATCCCTATGCTCCACACTTGCACCTGCTGCATATGAGCAGGTGAATTTATAGAGATACATTGATGAAGCCAGTAGTGGTAACTTATCCTTGATGGACATGTTGGTCCGTCTAGGAGAGTTGGAAAAACCAAACCTGTGGTGTCTGTTCACGCGACCTCCAGAATCCAAAAGGATCGAATGACGTATCAGCGTGTTTTGACCACCGCAAACTAGGGGGGACAGCCCTGACGCTGCTCCATTACCATGTGGATCAGACTTCAAACCAAAGGCTCAGAGGGTGACCTTTTAAGACAACCATCTGCTTTTTTGGTCTGGGTAGAAAGTATTCAAGCTCTCGTACTAACTAAGCGATTTTATGTGCTGCATCTCTGGCTGACCATAATGCACCAGGTTTGTGTTTCAATATTCAAAGGATAATTAGATAGTTGGAGGCAATCGGCCACAGGAAGCCTTGCCTGACCTGGGTTTCGGGCTAGTTGGCACTCGTCAGCAACGCGTATCTGCAACCACATTGAAGGAACTCATGTCCCTTCTTACTGATAGAATTCAGTCTGCACCAAAGAAAGGACTGGACACATCACACCAGTTACTAGTGCCCACTACAGTCCTACAGGAGGTCAATCGCGAGCCCGAATAGCTCATTGGTAACGTCTTTGACTGTAGTATTCATTGGGTGACACGGGTTCGAATCTCAAAAGGGACATGAGTTCCTTCAAGGTTGCAGATACGCCTTGCTGACTGGTGAGTGCCGACTAGCACGAAACCTAGATGGTGTCCAAGGCTTCCTGTCAATTGCCTCCAACTATCTAATATCATCAAATCAATGTGCACCGTGATGGCGAAGTACCTAGAATGCTGGCCACATTGCAAACCTTATTGATAGAAATCAATCTACACCAAAGAAAGGACTAGACACGTCACACTAGTTACTAGTGTCCAATCATAATTCATACGATAAATATAAAACAAGGCATTCAGGAGGCAACTGTTACTCAGAGGTGATATCATTCGACAGTTTCACTACTACTACAGTCATCTTACGATCGTCAGGATTGATAATAATGATAAAAATGTTCAATGATTAATTAATTAGTTAATTTGTTGAGAAACAGTCATTAAATATTGATTTTGTCACCAGACATTAATTAATAGTTGCTTTGCAACAATATATGAGGCTCAAGTTTTATTCAAATTACGTACATTTGGATTTTCCGTGTGACTTAATAAGCATTCGGAAAAGCAAGACAAGTTTTCACTACTCTCAAGTCTGTGTGGAGGTCAACAGCACTCAGTATCAGAAATAAGATCCGGATTTTCAACTCCAATGTGAAGCCAGTGATACTCACTATACGGATCACAGACTTGCACTGCGCGTCATAAAGAGCATCTCAAACAAACTACAGACCTTCATTAACAGCTGTCTTCTCTGAATACTCAAGTTTAGATGGCCAGAAAATATCAGCAATAGAGATCCCTGGGAGCGAACCAACCAGGAACCGATTGTGAAACAAATAGGGAGGAAGAAATGGAGATGTATTGGCCATACTCTAAGGAAACCATCAAGTGACATCACTGGACAAGCCATTGCTCGAGTGGAACCCGGCCGAAAGGGAAGCGGCGAGTTGGTCATCAGTGCAAGGGTGACACGGAGGAGGTCATGTGAAGATGAGATGAAAACGTGTGGGCAGACTTGGAGCCAGGTGAAGACTCTAGCAGAGAACCGAACGCAATGAAGACGCACGGCTGAAGCCCTATGTTCCTCTAGGAATTAAACGAAACAATAATAATAATAACCATTTAGGAAGATCTCCTTGCCAACTACATTCCACTGAGGTATCTTTGCGACAGCAGGTGAACTTTTGTAGATACAGTGTGAAGTAAGTAAAGTTCATAAACCGTAAGCACAGGAATTGGAAATGATCGAGAGGTAAGGGAAAAGGGTGCGGTGTAGAATGTGTGTTGCTTGATAGCTGACTAAAACCCTTTAGGCATTTAACTGCACATTCCAATTTCATCCACCTGGAAAGATATAAGCAACAAGGAACCCTAACAGTGAACGAACCAACTAAGAACCTATCGCCAAGCCAACAAATGTGAAGAAGGAAAAATCGAGACGGATTGGACATGCATTGAGGAGACAGCTGGATGACATCACTCGCCAGGCAGACACCCTCGAGCGGGACTCGAATACGAAACGACGGACTTGGGTATCACTTCGAGGATGACCTGGAAGCGATAGTATGAAGACGTGAAATGAAAGTGTACGGGACACACATCGTAGAGTCAGCTAACTAGAGGACACTGCGGAAAACCGAATGAAATCAGAATGTGCTGTTAAAGTCCTGCACCCCACTCGGAAATTTAGGGAATAAAAATAATAATGGTGAAGTAAAAGCCCAAAATAACGTTGAATTTAAAGGTGATACTGGGATCCTGAAGAATCGCTTATGCAGATCACTGAGAAAAGCCTTCTTTTCAATTGAGCTACGGATCAGTTTTTACAGCCGAGAAATGATTAATGCATGTGTGAAGGACCACCTCATGGACGTGGGGGATATGATGGTCGTGGAAGTCCTCACTGATCAGATGGACGTCATGGGATTGGCTTTGATGAACGAGAGTTGTACGGTCCGCCCCCGAGCTGTCAAGGTGGAAGAGGTCATGGTGGACCACGAGGTCGAAGAAGATATGTGTATCTTCACAACCTACTGAGTATCCGTCATTTCAACGTAACCCGTCATCAGATCGATCACGTGTTGGTGATGTTCCAGGGGTATCGAAGAAGCCTGCATGGAGCGTGCATGTACCTTGTGAACGTGGTGATATCCCATCGTCATTACCACTGGAAAGCGAGGCTGCCTTGGAAGCTGCTCGCCAAAAGAAAAGGCAGTCATGACATGTCTTGTGAGCTTTCAAAACTTAATATGCAGAGGCCACTGGGGATCCCAAACAGACCAGATGAAGGTGGCACAGTCGGGAAAACAGTGAGAGTTACTTGAAACTGTTGGGACCTTGCTTTCTATCAGAAAACAGCATGCTTGTACTTTGTTGAAGCGACCTCAGTTTACAGACTGGACTCAAAGAAGGGCAGTAAAAAGGAGATATGAATGCCACCGATCTATGATCCAACAATTAGCTAGTTCCTTGCCAGATACGGTCGTATATGATAGAGGTCACGCGATTTACTCTGAAGATCCCTTAATGTGTGTTACAGCGAATGTCTACTTTTGATGTTGATCATTTTACAAGGAATCCGAAGGCAACTTCGATGAACATGCCTCAAGAGTCCATCAAGCTACTGGATTGTATTCTGAAAAGTCTCTAGACAATCGTTAGTTTCTGTTGAACGTTCAGTCCTGTTCGAGGCGAAACCTATTAGAGTTGTCGCGGATAAACTTTTCAGCATTCATAAAGATTTTATTAGTAGCGTGAGACCTCAGTGGAAGGTCCGTGTAAACTTGGATATGACCTGCAAGGCGTACTTTACGTCTGGGAATTTGGCGGACGTGATGTACGCAAAATATGGAGATGAAATGTCTCGGTGCAGTAGAGTATGTGTTTATAAATTCACCTGTTCCTGTGAAGCGCACACTTCCTAAACATTATCCGGTATGGTTAGAAAAAGGACAATGCAAGACAGTTACTAGCTCAGTTCTCAAACCCTTGGTGGACTCAAGACACGCAGCTCCTCCACAGTCGTTCTTTACGATTATCTGCAAGAAAGGAAAATTGGTACAAAGGGTGTTAGGTTTCGGCATTTGTGTATGGCGGAGGCGTTGGCAATTCGTCAATACAACCCCGAACTCTGCATACAGTCTCTTATTCTACCATGGATTTAACCTCTTCATTAGTCGTTCCCTTCAATTTTTTTTATTTGCTTTTAGTTTAATAATGAATTCACTATTATCACTCGGGAGTGATATCATTCCTTTTGTGTATTTTCTCATCCTCTTCACACTTGTTAAATTGAAACTCAACAACCACTTTTCTTCTCAATCAATAACAATTTTAACCTTATGAAATTTATATCCTGTTTTAAATCTAATATTCGGGAGATTCAATTGAGGTAAGAGCTGTCTGCTAGCCAAAAGTGGTTGACAGCAATTTACGTCAACGTTTAAATCCCAAATCTTGGTAATGAGAAGAGAACAAAGCAAAGACTAACTCAACAACCAATCACAGCAGACTTCACGTGGGCGGATACGATTCGCAGATATATGATCTGACCTTCAAAGAAACGGCCACAAAGCGATGACAGATTAACTTACAGTGAGAAAACAACCAATCAGAAGACGCTGTTTTTCTGCTAATAATAACGAATAATAATGTACATAAAAATATATAAATATCTGTTGATTTTCTCAATAAACGATCTGTTGCCTGGCTCTTATCTTCTGTCGTTACACAATAAACAGCATATAAAATGAAAAATTACCTGAAATACCTAACTTTTCCAAAACATTTGTTCGTGTTACACTTTCTACAATCCAATCGAGCATTGCTGCACGATCTGTCAATCGGATAGGCAGGCAATAATGTGATAAACCAGCTGGGAAACCAGTTTTTAAACATTTTATCATTGTATCAATACTGTTAGCAGTAGCAGCAGCAGCAGGGGCGGCAGTGAATGATTGCAGCTGATCAGTGGGATTGATCTTCTCAGTAGAGTTGCTTTTCTCACCCTCACCTTGCTCTTCTGCTTTTTGTAACGGATCATTTGAACTGATAAAAACGGCGTTTGATGAAAGTGCAGCACGGCGTAGCTTGACAACATCTTTTGTCATTGTTGCTGAATATAAATACGTCTGTGGATGTGGATATTTCGACTTGATAGGATTTGTTGTTGCTTTAAAATTATTTGTTGAAGTATTACCTGAAAAATTTTGTTTAAGTTAAACGTATTAAATTTTTGGCGGGAAATTTAAAAATGCTACTAACATGAGAAAATACGGAAATCAAAAAGCAAATAGATTAGGAAGTATGGAATAACGCAGAGTTGATTAATGTTATCAATAATTATTTGACAAAGATTTTTATGCAAACTAACACAGAGTAAAAAAAATGGAATTTTAATTTCTTTTTCTTTTCGGAATTAAATTAACCATCTCTTAATGATACAAATATTATTTGTTTGATACGACAAATGAAAATCAAGAGAGCGAGCATAATTCCACAATGATATATACTACTGATTGGTTTGAGTACTTGGGATTTGCTGATGTCAGTCGATAGTGCTCGTTACCAAGGTAACAAACTTAGTCCTAGACGTGAAAACCAGCCATCTAGTGTTCTAGATCACTTTAATCTGGTTAATAATCACTTCTAATTGACAGTATCTTTCTTTACTTCAATCAGCATATTCCACGTAATCGAAGACCAGGATAAAGTCAAAGTAAAAGGAAGGACCGGATTCTGAAATATATCTCCAACTTTCAAATAGTGGTTTGGATGAGGACAGGTATTCACCGATGTTATTGGAAGGCGGCTGCACCATATATATATGCATATATATCACAAACTGAACTGATGGACTGACTGGTTTCAACAGAGGACTTTGCACAGATGTCCAGCAGTTCAAGTTGCCACTCTCCCTCCATGTAGCACACAAATTAAGAGAAGGGAGTAAAGAGAGAATCAAAACAGAGACAATAAACACGAGAGTGAGGGAAAAAGAATAGTAATATAGAAGAACAACAGAGTTTTATTGGATATGATCAATCGCAAAGAGTGAATGCATCTGCGCTAGCTGTTGACAACGACGATTCTGAGCCATATTACCAACTGTCTCCAGCCTTCATTGGTTATTATCATCCCGAGGATCGTAACCAGAAAGCCAGTCTATTCCTCCCTAAGTGGTTGACTGGCTTAAACTAACTGTTATGGATTTCATTGACTGATGAAGTCATGTTTTGGTTTGACCACCACTAGCTAGCTCTTTTCCAACCTGATCCTATATCAGTTAACTAAATAATAATAATAATAATAATAATTTGCTTTATTCCAGAAACAGTACTAGTGGTACAGTGTGGAATTTTCAGCACATATCTACAATATTTGCATCTAATTTTATCAAACATTTAAAATAAGTATTAAACAAACAAAAAAATAAATCTGAAGACACCAACAGCAAAAAAAACAGGATAAACACAAAATAATTATAAATGCGAAAAAGTACAAAAGTCTACCAAAGTCTAATGCAGTGTTTGTGGTGGTAGTGTGAGTAATCCTGAATAATACAAATTTTTTTTTAAGGTGGTGACTATGGCGTTCACAACCAATGATTGTCAGTTTAATATTGCCGAAAAGTATAGAAAAATAAGAAAAAACAGCCACAAAACTAATATTACATGATGGTTAATGACAGGACAATTTTGTAATACTCATAGTGCTAATAGAGTCGGAACCAGTGGATACACAATAGAAGGAATAGAGTAAAGTACAAAAAAGTAAGCCAATGTTAATAATTTAGGTAGCTAATTATGTTTGAGAAGGAGTTCACTATAGAATACAAAATAAGAGAGAAATAAAAGAGCCTAAAATTATGTTGTTAATAACAGAGCAAGTCATAAGTTTCACGCTTAACATTGTCTCTGTCGCTTAGAACACGGGCCAAGTATGGTATCGTTGAGTTCCTGTACTTGGTTGTACGAGCATAGATTATTTTATACTGATTTCTGGTTTTACTTGATGAGATACAAGGCGAGAGTTGGGAATAGAGGGGATGTTGGGGGGTCGGAGGGTATGGTTTTAGACCATTTTTCGCATGTATTCAGATGCCTATCAACTAAAGTAGTGACGAGCTGACTGAGTTTTAGACCACTAGTCCTACTGACTACCTTCAACATCCTTCTCAGGATGGCATAGTCCTTTTTCAGTAGACCAGGAAAGACTAACGGGGAGCAGTAAAGTAGAATAGGTAAGATACAAGAGTTGACAAATTGTGAAAGTAGAGGTTGGGTGATTCCAGATTGTCTAAGTTTTGTTTTGTTTTGATTTGTTTCTTGGAAATATGAAATTACACATTACCACAGTGACCAAGTATTACACACATATATTAATCAGTCAGCTAACATTGCCCGTTGAGGAAGGCGCTGGCTAGACAGGCATGCGTAACACATATCCTTACCATCTCAATCGACGCAGCTGCTTCACAACCTCGTCGATTGATTTTCCTTACAACTTAGCTAGCACTCAACCAAAGCCTCTTCCAATATTTGTCAGTCTATTATACCACCACCTAACACGGCGGATAAAACGCAAGCACCTATGATCAAAGAAAACTAGCTAGGCTTTTCATATCTTCCACCCTCAATGGCCAGGTCTCACAGCCATAAAGGAGGACGGAGTGGACTGCTGAGCAGTACACCCGCCCGGTACTGCACAGACGGTGTAAACTGGCATATGCGAAACTAGCCGTCTGTATCCGTGGATGAGATTTCGTCAGCGATCAACCCGTTGGCACTGGCCGATGCAACTCCCCAAATAAATAAGAGAAGTGGTCAACACGCTCCACTTACTACTTCACTCCCTATTTCTGAGCTAGGAGTGAGTCAATGTAGTCCAGTCCTGTAACATCATCTTAAATTTGCCGGGAGCGATTCGCATACCAAATATTCGCAGATTGCAGCTCAAGGTGTTTAGAAGACTTGCTGGATTTTGTCAACGTCTTCACCTAGAAGGACTATATCGTCTGCATATTCTAAGTCAACGAGATTATTCCATAGTGGTAACAAGTCAATCCCTGAGTCGCTGAAATCAGCAGTTAGGGTTAAGTCCTTTAGTACATCTATGATGAAATGAAATAGAAATGGGGACAATGGGCATCCCTGACGGACACTACTATTACTACTAGTTGTCACCATGACTGTACAGCTTGATAATAAATATGTTGTTTAAAAGAGTCTCCTTGCTGAATATATCTATACCTTTTAACTTATTGCAATGACCACCACAAAAACAAAAGACAAACAACAAAAAGAGAATCCCAACCACAGCGGTTAGGACTCTCGCCGACAATGCAAATGGTCCGGGGCTCGATCCCTTACCGACGCACACCTGATATCAGTTGGTCGGCCTGCAAAATCTGGACTACCGATATCACATGCTGAAAATTCCATACTTGTACCAAAAATACGGTGTTGGGTACAAGCTGTAATAAAAAAATCAAAATCAATAATTACCATTATGTTGTTCATTAGATTCAGATATCTTCTCCAAGATTGTCTTAGATTTCTTTTTACGTTTTTTACTCTGTGATTTAGGTTTCTCGTATAAATTTAATATTTTATCAATATCTTCAGCGAAAGACATATTCAGCATACGATCTGCCTCATCTAGGACAAAATGACGAATTGTTGACAGTTGATGAGCAGCGAAATTTGGCGATTGCTTTAAATGATCAACTAGACGTCCTGGAGTAGCTAATAAGACAGGAAAGAAAGGAAAGATGATGACAAGAATATTTTAGTCATTGATAAGTCTTATGTTAATTAACGCTTCAATTTAATTGTGTTATCTAAAATTGTGTGGCGGTTTAATCGCCAAGCTTTCGTTATCCTTCTAGGCGACAACATCGCTTCAGCGCAGGTTTTAGTAGGAAATAAACTTAATTGAATTGAAAATTTCCTCTTCTGGCTCCACAATTATATGTAATTATGTTTATCTACATAGAATACTGTAGAATAGTAGTCAATATCAATATTGGTGTGTTTTTCAAATAACATCGATTTGTTAAGTAAGATCACAATGGAATTACCACAGTTCATTAAAGATGCATAAATTATAATAAGCACACAAATATAATATCAAATAAAATTAAGGAAATTTCCACAACAAATTGATGATCATCAGAACCTTGATAGCCAACGTAAGGAAAGCGTCTGAACTAACTTCTTTTGGACACACAAATTAGGCTTCTTAATGTTGATCCCAACGGCCAGCCTAAGCAATATGTAGTAAACGAACTCTTAAGGCAAAGCTAAGGTTTGTTGGTATGTGGTAAATGACTTTGAAAGCCGCCTCGTTGACATCAATCTTGTGTTCTGCATCCACAAGATGAGATACAATAGCACTATGGATGGATTTTGTTTGTCCTTTACTTAATCCGGAAATCCGACGAGAAACACGCCTAATTGTACGACCCCTTTGCCTCGCCAAGCCAGTAATAAGACTGGCAAAGATGCAAGGTTGGGCATGAAGCTAGCAACCCCATCCCGTAAAAATAAACACTGCTACCGAAACTTCAAGACTGTAGCTTGAAGTCATATGTTCCACTTGGAACGGAAAGGAATAAAAAAAGCATGTCAGTACATGTCTACTGACAATCTCCTTTGTCATGATTGGTTGTTAATTTACCTCTCTCTACTGACCATTTTTTTATTGACTTGGAATCTGTACTTTCTTAACCTACGATTTATTTTTTTATTAGTTGGTAAATTTGGTCTATAATAGTGCATTTGTTAATAGCTGGCTGATTTATTTGAGTACCAGGTTTCTAGAAATTCCAATTCTGTAATCAAAATATACGAACAGATAAAAGGAACATCGCCCACATAAGGATTAATAACTGAAGCCCCTATGCAAAGATCAGAATTAATAGCCCTATCTACCCATAGTTAAACCAAAAATCTGGGTACATTACGTTGATGATACATTCGTAATAATTAAAAGAAATGTGATTTAGAATATACCCAAAATTGATAAACAACATATTTGAAGACACATTAAATTCACCACGAGAGAAGAAGAATTAGATAACAAAATTCCATTCTTAGATGTCTTAATCAAGAGGAGAAACTAACACAGGAAATTTAGAAACACAAATATACAGAAAATCAACGCACACACAGATCAAATTCTCAAACAGAGCAGCAATAGCCCAATGACTCACAAAAGAAACTGTGTGCAGACATTGTTTAAAAGAGTTCAAACACACACTGTAGCACTCAGATGCTGAAGAGAATGGAGGAAAAATACCTTCTAACCGTCTTAAAATAGAATGGATACCCTCACATTTCCATTGAAAATTCTTAAAACTCGGGTCTTAACACCAACAAGAAACCATCATCAAAGACCACAAGAAAATTTACTCTACCATATATATAGGAAATACCTCTGAAATAGTGGCTAGAATACTAGAGTAGACATAGAGCAGAAACCAGTACAATCACTTCATCTGATATTGTGCAAACCGAAAGATCTAACAGAAAAAGGTCATTGCCATCCGCAATATATATATATATATAAACGTAACCTAGTAAAGTGTCTGGTTCATAAAGCTAGGTTAATCTGTTCAGACGACTGACTCAATGAGGAGCTTAAGATTATTTTAGAGAATTACTTAGAAAAAATTGTTATCCAGATAAATTAATTGAGAAAAATATGAATTCAGCGCCTAGAAGAGTCAGTATGGCAACAGTTCCGGAAAAACCAATGTTCATAAAACTGCAGTTCCTCGGTGACAACATCAGCGAAATAATAACACAGCGCCTGAAGAATGCAGTTAAAAGAGCTTATTTTGCAGCAAAGGTACGTTGTCTCTTCACAACCACGCCTATTCTATGTTCGAGAAATAAGGATAAACCACCTAAATTTACCTCTTCTATGTGTATCTACCAGTTTGACTGCAGCTGCGGAGCCAGCCACACTGGGCGTACAATTAGGCAGGTTCATCATCGTATTTCCGAACATCATCCAACATGGTTAAGCAAGGGACAAACAAGATCTATTCGTAGCTCTATTTTAGCACACCTTGTAGACAGTGAGCATGAGGTTGATGTTAATACTGCATTTAAAATTATCTATCGCATTTCTACTAATCTTAATTTTGCTCTACGAGTTCGTCTTCTACAGACAGCTGAAGCAATAGGAATCAACTTGAAGAATAAGCCAAACCTTTATGTATTCAGAAGAAATTTTTCCAGCCACTTTCCTTTCCTTGGCTGACTATCGTTACATGAATGTATAAACCGGACTACTTCGCCCCCCTCCTCCTAAACCTTTAAAAATTATAATTGTCCAAATTATTTTTATTTATTTTGACCACTTCATCTTTAATAACATGTTATCCTTGTAAAATTAATTTATTCTAACCATTTCTAACTTTTAAATGTGTATTGATTTTCTTCGTTAATTATCACCCGTCGCATTGACATTTTGACACTGACTAATTATTGTTAACAAACATATCAGTACCACTTGATTGGTAAACTGTTGTGTATTGTAATAAAAATGCTATACGTGTATATTAGATTAGAGCCAGAGTGAGATGAGGATCTAACTGAAAAGAGGAAATATTTCTTCGCTCAATCTTTCTGTTTTCTAAATGTCTAAATGGGGTTTTTTTCTATACACAAAATAAATCACATAAACTATGATAAACACTACATCGGTCAAAGTGGGCGTCTCCTTCGAATCCGAATCCAAGAACACAAATTAGCTGTGAAAAGACACGATATGTACTCTTCCATATCAATGCATGTACAATGCATCAATGTATGGACACCAATATGAATGGGAGAATGTAGAAATTTTAAACAGAGAAGACACCAAAAATACTGCCAGGGAATTTCTAGGAGCCTGCTGCTCAGAAGAATGAGTGATTATCAAACACATACATTATTATAGACCAAATTTACCAGCTAATAAAAACTAAATCAAATGACAAGAAAGTTCAAATCTCACGTCAATAAAAATGATCAATAAAGATGTAAATTAACAACCAATCACGACAAAGGAAGTTGTCAGTACGGAGATACAATTATATCATCATTCATGGAAGAAGAATTCAAATAAGTTCATTTTCTGCTAAAACCTTCACTGAAGTGATCCGAGAATGAATTTCCTAAGAGGTTTATCATTAACCATTCTGAAGAAATAAGAGCCAATAAATCTATCGGTGCGTAGCTGGCACAGCAGTTAGGACGCTCGCCCCCCATGCACATGGTTCGGGGTTCGATCCCCGGCCACTGACGCACTCCTTTACCTCGCTAAGCCAGAAATAATTCTGGCGAGGAGGAAAGGTTGGGCATGAGGCTAGCAACCCCATCCTGTAAAATAAACACTGCTACAGAAACTTCAAGGCACTAGATTGAAACCCTATTATCCATTGGGGAACGTGAAGGCAAAAAAAATCTATCCAAACCGTCTCAAAATTATGATGATATTAGATAACTAGAGGCAATCGGCAGGAAGCCCCTCCTGACCTAGGTTTTGTACTAGTTGACACTCACCAGTCAGCAAGGTGTATCTGCAACCTCGAAGGAACTCATGTTTCTTCTAAGATTTGAACCCGCGTCACTCAATGAATACTACAGTCAAAGACGTTACCACTGGGCTATTCGAATTCACGATTGATCTCCTGTAGGACTGTAGTGGGTAGTTTGATTGGACACTAGTAACTAGTGTGACGTGTCTAGTCTTCTGTTTGGTGCAGACTGAATTCTATCAGTCAGGTTTGCAATGTGACCACCATTCGAGGTAGGTCGCCATCACGGTGCACATTGATTTGATGATATTAGATAGTTAGAGGCAATCAGCAGGAAGCTGACATTGGTTAGAGAACTATTGGAAAACTAGCTTGGGAGCACTGAAAAGTTGTTTCGTCCCAGTTCAGGACTCTTCTTTTATGTCGAAATACTTCTCTAATGTGAAGTGAATCGCAGGATGGCGGCTGTTGAAAATGTCTAGGATGTGCATTTATCAGTTTACCTGCTCGTGTGGAACTAGGCATGTCGGCCGTACCCAGTGTTTGCTATCCAAATGTATCACCGAACATTCACCCGCATGGTTTTATAAAGGAGAAAAAAGATTCCCGCCTTCCGCAGCTTTATCCTCGAACAACACCTGATCGAATCTGGACACACACTCAGCTAACCCACAAACCAACTTCAAAGTCATCTATAGCAGAATACACCGGAATCTTGCTAAAAGACTAAGGATCTTCATATATAATATATGAACAAGTCAAAGGAACACCCATGGGATCACCAATATCAGGTTTGATTGCAGAAGCAGTGATGCAAAGGCTCGAAAACATAATCCTACCAAAGATCAAACCCAAGACTTGGATACGTTACGTGGACGACACATTTCTCATTATCAAACGAAACGAGTTAGATAAAACTCACAACTTAATAAACAACGTCTTCAACGACATCAGATTCACAGGAGAAGAGGAATCCGAGAACAAAATCCCATTTTTGGACGTCTAAGCCAAGCGAACAACCACAGGGGAATTAGAAACCTAAGTTTATAGAAAATCAACTCACACAGATCAAAGACTGAATTACAACAGCAACAACCCAATAGCACACAAGAGGAATTGCATACAAACACTATTCAAGAGAGCCAGGACTCATTGCAGCACTCCTACCTCAAGGAAAATTGAAGAGAGAGATCTCATGGACGTCTTCCAAAAAAAAAGGATATTCACGAAATTTCATCAAAAGACATATACCCCCAAGGCGACCTATCAAACCAAAAGCCCCCAAGGAAAGCACAAAGAAAATCGCCCTACCATAAATAAAGGATATATCAGAAATCACTGCAAGACTCTTCAAACCTTTAGGAATTGACATCGCACGCAAACCAACAAAATCACTTCACTCAGCCTGCTCTATGTCAACCAAAAGACTCAACAGCGAAAGAAGATAAAACCAAAATCATCTACAAGATAAATTGTAACAACTGCGAAAAACACTACATTGGCCAAAGTGGACGTCCCCTTCGTCTTCGTATTCACGAACATAAACTAGCCGTCAAAAGACATGACATCCACTCCTTCATACAGCCTCACTGCATACAGACAACCACGGGCATCAATTCGATTGGGACAATGTTCAAATATTAGACAGAGGAAACAACAAGAATGCTAGAGAATTTTTAGAAGCTTGGCATTCCAGTGAATCATCAATCAACAGACACATCGAGATTGACAAAATTTGTCAACCGATAAGAAAGAAACCTCTCACACAAAGGGTCAAAGTTCAAGTCAAAGAAACAATCAGTTCCAATACAAGTAACCTAGAAGGTATGAAAACGCACAAAAACAACCAATCACATCCAAGGTCACCGGGAGAGAAATCTAAAAGCTCACTTCAAATTGAAGTATGCGCTAAAGATGTCACCTAGTAAGGTGATGAAAGCTTCGCAAATTAATTATCCAGCTCAGAGAACACAACCACATCAAAATCATCAACCTGGGCTACAAATCTTCTCCATCATATCTAGACTAAGAATCAAAATTCTTCAAACCGGCAAAGCAATGACAAGTATTCACATGTTAAATCTTGAACACTGCATACAGAAAAATTTTGTTCATTCATTAAATCTACAGAGGATCTGATCTATCTTAACAAAAAAATACGTAATTTTTGTTCCGTTTTGTTTCTTAATTGTATTATTTTCTTCCTCCTCAGTCCCTATTAAATTTCTACCCCTTATCACAACTCTGTTGTCAACTTGACTCCCGTTCAGATTTAAGTTGAATTCTACGCAACCCCGTCAATTATATTACGTCACTTAAAATACTTATTTCAAATTTTCATAAGAATGGATACTGGACAAAGAATGCTCTTTTCGATAACGCCTTCATCATCAGACTCTACAGTTATATATCCATCCATTATAGTGAATGAATGAATTAGTGTTATGAACAACATTAGTGTTGTTTAAATAACATCGAATCAATAATATTGATAGATTACAGTTCAACAGCATCAACATAAAAATAGTTATCTGACATCAACTCTTCTTCTTCTTCTATCCGTTTCATTTCATACAATCTTGGCGTATACGTGCCTGTTGGCCTGATTTTTTCATATAAACTTTCAGAAAGTATCTCCTCCCTTAGTTTCTTCAAAAACTTATGACCTAACTAAAGTGCAAAACCGGGGGTACCGTTAAGACCAATACTTGATATGCAAAATTCGCCCTACCATTCTCTAGCTAGATGATTAGAAAATATTCGCAAACCTTTGCATGAGAAGATAGTGAAATATAGAGTCAAAGATGTTTTTGAATTAGTGGACAAAATCAAAGATATTAATATCAAGGATAAAACCATGATATTTCTGGACATAACATCTTTATTCACAAATGTACCTCTAGTAGAAACAGTCAACTACGTATGTGAACAAGTGTATAACCAGTCGATAAACATTGGCATATCCGTACTGAAATCCTTAAAGAAATGGTTACTAAGGTGTACAATGAGTGTAAATTTCAAATTTGACGGCACATTTTACAGATAAGTGGACGGGGTGGCGATGGGCTTCCCGTTGGGTCCCATTTCGGCTGATTTCTTTCTAAGTAAACTAGAAAATGGTCTCCTTTGAACAACCTTATCAGAAAGTTCTCATTTCATTGCCGGTATATGGATGACACCTTCATTCTTTGTGATAATCATTCGGATAGGAGTACAATAATTACTGAATTCAATGAAGTACATTCGGCGGCTATGAAATTCACGTGCGAAGAGGAATCCCAAAACAGAATTGCCTGCCTGCCTTCGTAGATGTCTTCCTTACAATAAAACCAAATGGTAGCATAAAAAGAAATTTGCATAGAAAAAGCACTTGGACAGGACAATATACACATTTTCAGTTTCCTTCCTCTCCAGTACAAAACAAATTTAGTAAAGACCCTTAGCCACAGAGTAAGAGCTATATGCTCAGAAGAAGTAATTGAAGATGAATTAAGCATTGTATATGATACTTTGATCGAAATAGCTATCCCGACAACTTTTTTCAAGAAACACATGACAAATAAAGCAGAAAAGGACTACCCACTATCCGTAAACAAGAAGCCTCTTTATATACAACTGCAATTCAAGTGAAATAATTATGAAGAAATTAAGAAAATCTATTCAAGAAACTTTTAATGCTGCCGAACTACACGTCTTATTCTCTACACTACCGATGGTGGTGATTCCTAGACTGAAAGATGAAGTACCTAGACTAGCCACTTCAAATTGTATCTACCAATTCAACTGCTCTCCTGTGGTGTGGAGCGAGTTATACTGGCCGTAGCTCTAAGAACTTGATTTTTCGTGCTCACTCGAGAACATCTCCCAGTGTGGCTAAATAACGGTGTAGTAAAAACCATCAACAGTTCAATATTAGACCAGCTGGTTCAAACCAGCCACAAAGCCAGCCACCATTGAAGAATCCTTCCCTATCATCTAACGGGTACCAAATAAATTGCCAAAAAAATCGAAGCACCGCGTACTCAAAACACCAGAGGCTATTGCGATTCATCTCAAACAACCAGTGCTCTGTGTGCAAAAGAAGCAAGTCCAGCCCCTACTACTGCTCTGGCCTTCAGGAGAGACTATGAATTCATAAATTCGGTATAATAATCTTCCCTAATTTTTGTGACATTCAGCTTATTTTATGTTGATGCTATCGAACTGTAATCCACTGATATTATTATTACTGATTCGATGTTATTTAAACAAACATTAATGTTGTTCATAACACCAATTCATTCATTCACTATAATGGATGGATATATAACTGTTGAGCCTGATGATGAAGGCGTTATTGAAAAAAGTATTCTTTGTCCAGTATCCATTCTTTTGAATACTCATTTTAGTTTCTGCTCGATTAACGCTTTCTACACTACGTAATTTTTTATCTGAAAAATTTACAATTCTAATGACACAGCTTGAAAATGATATCACCGGAAAGAGTATCTCTTCGCTGAACGCCTTTTCCTTTTATTATTCCACATATATCTCTTAGTTTACCACGAGACTTATAGCTTCTTTAGCAGAAATACTTGGATTAATCCACACTGAAGGTTCCAAGGGAAAAAAATGTCCACAACAAAAACAAACATATTTTCTCTGCCTAAAAACGGGTTTATATTAATTATTCTTAATAACATTGTAATGATTTAATTAGAAGCAGGGTTCAATTTCTTTAGGGTGAGAATATTTATGATAATAGCTGCACCCTTCGCTTGATACTGAAGATTAGATGATGATGAAAAAACGGGTTAAAGAAACAAGGAACTTTGGAAACGAACCAATTTAAAAACAAGTTGACCAACAAATATGCAGAAAGAAAGTGGAGATGAATTGGACATACTCTAAGTAGACATTTTAAAGTGAAATCACACGCCAGGTCATCTCTTGAGTAGAGCCCGAGTGGGAAACTACAAGTTAGGCGTCTGAAAATCACATGAAGAAGGTCACATGCGGAGGAAATGAAAGCTTGTGCTGCTCAAACGTGAAGCCAGCTAAAAATGGACTCCATAAAACTGAGTGAAATGGTGACGCGCCGCTGAAGTCCTTTGTTCTACTAGGAGCCCAACAGAATAAGTAACAACAAGAGTTATTATTACTGTTAATATTGAGTTGCTTGACAGACTTATCAAGTCGTTATTATATCGATTTTTCCAATCCCTTAGTCAATATAATATATATATATATATACACCGCTTATTAGATGGTTGGAGGCAATCCTCAGGAAGCCCTACCTGACCTAGGTTTCGTGCTGCTTGGCATTCATTAGCAAGGCATATCTGCAACCTTGAAGAAACTCAAGTCCCATCTGAGATTCGAACCCGCGTCATCCAGTGAGTACTGCAGTCAGAGACGTTACCACTGAGCTATTCAGGCTCGTAACGTCTCTGACTGCAGTACTCACTGGATGACGCGGGTTCGAATCTCAGATGGGACTTGAGTTTCTTCAAGGTTGCAGATACTCCTTGCTGACGAGTGCCAACCAGCACGAAACCTAGGTCAGGTAAGGCTTCCTGAGGATTGCCTCCAACCATCTAATACCAACAATTCACACTGCACCGTAATGGTTAGCCACCTAGTATGGGGGCCACATTGCAAGCATAACTGATAGAATTCAGTCTGCAGCGAAGACAGGACTGGACACATTACACTAGTTACTGACTAGTGTCCAATCAAAAATATATACCGCTTACCAACAATAATGTGATGCTTTCTCCAGGCTAACTTTAAAGCTTGATCAACGATATCTTCACCACCGACCAGTCGAATAACTTGCAGGCGGAATTCCACTTCATCACTTTTATACTGTCCCAAGTGTTCTGCTTCATTAGCTAATTGTTGAGCTAATTCTCGTGTTGGTGCCAATATCAGGGCGAAACCAACCGGTTGACCTGATTTGATCCAGTGCTGTAAGTTGAAATAAAGAAATAATGTGGGCAGAATTATTTTTATTGTTGTTGTTGATTGTGTCGGTGGCATAGCGGTAAGGACGCTCGCCGACCATGCACATGGTCCGGGGTTCGATTTCCGGCCAACGCACTCCTTTACCTCACTAAGCCAGAAATAAAGCTGGTGAAGAGGAAAGGTTGGGCATGAGACTAGCAACCTCATCCTGCAAAATAAATACTGCTACAGAAACTTCAAGCCCCTAGCTTGAAGCCCTATGTTCCACTGGGAACGCGAAGGAATAAAAAAAGCCACTTCTGAGTAATTATCTCAATTATGTCACCCACTCCCTATTACTTAATAATAGACCACTATTCATTTTTGGTAAATATAAATACGACTGTACAGCCAGCCTCGGAGGATGATTTCGTCGATAAAGAAGCATTTTCTTCGCTGAATTCGTCTTTTATTTTCTTCATAACTCAATGGGTATTTTCGGTGATTTGAAACCCCCCACTGGGGAACGTGAAGGAAAACAAAAATGAACAGTTATTCAAGTCTTGGCTTGTAGGGATTTCGATTGATTGGTTACAGGAATTCATCATGAGCTAACATCGGTTAGAGAACCATTGGAAACCACCTGGGAGTACTGGACAGCTGTTTCGTCAGTCTAGTTTGGGACTCTTCATCACCCACACCATGGGGTTCGAACCCAGAGCCTTCTGGTTACAAGGTGAGCGAGCTTGTAGACCATCAAGCCAATGGGACCCAATCCAATGGCCAGGCCATGAATTCCAACTTCTGCCGATTCACGACATAGCACGATCACTAGCTAATGTTATCGCCGGCAAGTATTTGTCCTCACACCCGCCCAACCTGCTGTACCCTACTGGTTACGACTTTCCACTAGAACCCCAGGTAGCTACCTACCTGTTTTATTAAGTATCTCTACTCATTCGAAGTGTTCGTTTTCAGAAGAGGTGATACTATCGTTTGGCGTAATATTTCTTACAATGTCAGTGTATTAGCATAAATTACGTCAATAAATTTATTTTCGAGAAAGCAGCTCACACAATGGAGCAATCTGTAGGCAAAGTCACTCACACTTTCTAACTTTTTTAATTGAACTCACAACACTGAAACAACTCTACAAAAGTTTACAGATGAGTTTGTTATGTCTCCAGATATTCTAAAACACAAAATGATGCGAGCTCCACACTTCTTACACCTCTTGACCTAAACCAGAATGTTGGATTCCAACGGAGTACATAGAAAGAAAGTCAGTGGTTCACTAACAGATCACACGTCTACCGTGCACATGGCTTGGGTTCAATTCCTAACAGACGAAATCCTAAACCCCACTTGTAAAGCGGGAAGGTTTGACGTGTGGCTGACAAATCTACCCCGAAAAAGAAACACCAGATCTACTGGAACTTAGAATCAGCAGCTTGAAGCTTTTTGTTTCCCTCGGAACGCGAAGGAATCACAAAAATGTGTATAAAGTCATCATAGTGTCAGCAGATATTTTTGCTAGACGCTCACTGTTACGACTTTTTTTTAATCAGTTTTAGCATACAATTATAATTATAGAACAGGATTTAAGCAAGAAAATACGTTTGAATTTTCGGTCAATTCTCATCAGGCTTACTACATTTACATAATGCTGCAATATTAGTCATAGGCATTTGAATTAATGTGGTTAATAAACTATAAGATGTGAATTAGTGAGTAACAATCAAGGTGATCATAATAATAACAAAGATCAATTCATTTAAGCGTTTATATAATCTAGGCAACGGTGAGTGTATAGGTAGAATGTGTATACTAGTAAGGGTAGGGGGAGGGGAGATATATAATAGTAATAATGATAAATTGTGAAACCGAGATTAAAATGTACAACTATAGCACAGCATGATATTGCTAATACAGTTAGCATTACGAATAAAATAATAAGATAATATTGACAGTTATCCGGTGTCACTGGGAGAGATAACTATTTTAAGTATGGGACGAAGGACAAGGGAGGGAGAGACATTGAACAGACTTTTTCTGAACACAGAGATTGAGTTGAAAAATCTTTATGGTAACTGCCGCAGCTACGCTTAGCAACCGAAGACGTACCAACCTAGGAGGGAGTTGAGGTGGCACCCTGCTTAGAATTGTAAAAGCTGAATTGTGCTCCATAATGACCACAAAGTGTGCCAGTATGGAAATTCTGACTGACTTTACGACTCCTCTACCTAAACACGTCGGACAATGCTGCAGAAGGCGATGAGTTGGAATTATACAACGAGTGGCGTGTTCAGAAAAAGTTTGTTCAATGCCTCTCCATCCCATGGTCTTCACTGCAAACCTAAAATAGTTATCCCTCCTAATGACACCGGATAACTGTAAATATTACCTTATTACTTTTATTTCACATTTTATTTGTAATACTAACTGTATTATCAATATCATGCTGTACTGTAGTTGTACATTTTAATATCGGCTTCTGTTTGTATGTCTGTCTGTTTTCGACATAGAACTTTGCATGGATGTGTAGCCGTTCAAGTCGCCACACTCTATGAAGCACACAAAGCAAGAGAAGAAAGTAGAAGAAATGCATAACAGTGAAAGTAGACAGGGATATGAGACAAAAGGAATAGTAATAACGAAGAACATTGTGCTATTGAAAACTATTTTGAGCCATATCACCGATTGTCTCCAGTCATTGGTTTTTACCGTCCCGAGGACCCCAATCAGCCAGTCAGGAAGTCTACACCTTCCTACGTGGCTAGCTGGCTTAAACTAAATGTTGTGGATTTGATTGACTGATGAAGCCATGTTTTGGTTTGACCACTGCTAGCTATTTTTCAGCCTGACCCTATGTCAGCTAACATTGCCCGTGAAGGAAGGTGATGCCATGCATGCGTAACACATGCCCTAAAACTTCTTAGTCAATATAGCTTCACAGCCTCGTCGATTTATTTACCCTCCTTACCTAACACTTGACGCCTAACCTCAGTATTCCTTACCATACTATACCACTTCACACGGGAGATAGAACGCAGGCATATATGATCAAAGACAGTTAGCCAGGCTTTTCATGTCTCCACTCTTAATGGCCAGGTCTCACAGCCATAAAGGAGGACGGAGTGGACTGCTGAGCAGTACACCCGCCCTTTGGTCGATAGCCAGCCGGACATCACGTCTACTAAGCCTGAGACGGCGTAAACTAGCATATGCGAAATTAGCCCTCTGTATCCGTGCTGAGATTTCTTCAGCGATCCACCCATTGGCACTGGTTGATGCAACTTCCCAAATTTCAGTTTCACAATTCATTATTATTACATTATCTTATCACTATGTGACAACAGTTATTCTCCCCCCCCCCATACCCTTACTAGTATACACATTCTACCTCTACACTAACCATTACCTAGATTATATAAACACTTGAATGAATTTATCTTTGTTGTTATTATGATCACCTTGATCGCTACTCACCAATTCACATCTAATATTTTATTAACCACATTAATTGAAATGCCTATGACTAATATTGCAGCACTATGTAAATGTAGTAAGCCTAATGAGAATTTACTGAAAATACGTATTTGCTTATTTAATTCGTGTCCTATAATTATCATCATGGGAATTTTTAAATTATACAATTATAATGAACAGCAATTGACTAACTAAGGGTGTTAGCTCACATACTCTTTACTTTTTTGCCTACCACAAATAAAGTTACATAGTGTGCGATAACTAGTTAAATCTACATAGAAAAGGACACCTTGATAACCCAAAAGGTGAACATAAAATGAGAAAAATAGAAACGAATTTCAGCCATTTTAGTCAGTGACACTACTTGAATACAATTTACCCGTGTAGATGTCGTGCATATACTCCATTGAAAAAAGAAATATTCACAGACAGACATGTGGACAAGTGAGCCAAAAGTCTGGCGTGTCATGATGATGTCTTTGATTACGATTCACGTAAGAAGAATCAACCATTTTATGCAAATGTATCATGGCGTGTACGGACATATTAGCGCCACAAAAATTTTATTTAAAGGCAGTTGTACATTTTACTTACTTGAATTATTGGGAGAAGAAATGCACCTGTTTTACCAGATCCTGTCTCTGCAATTCCAACAATATCTTTCCCTATGAAGGTAAAACAAAAAAGTGAGATGGAGTCAATAACCACCAAATCAAATACAAAAAGTAAATTTACTTTCTTATAAACAAAAATATTCATAATTGAGAAGAATGATGTAATTTGTGAAATATGATGTAGTATCAAACAGTAATGTGCGTCGGTGGTTCGGTGGGAGAACACTCGCCAATCATGCATGTGGTCCAGGGTCAGTTCCTCGGTCGACACACTCTTTAACTTTGTTTAACAGGTTTCAAGCTTGGTGAAGAGGGGCGATTGGGGCCGTGAGGCTAACAGCCCAACCCTATAGACAGTATCGCTGCTATCGAAGCTTCGAAGATGAAGCTTGAAACCTCAAGTTCTATTTGGAAAGCAAAGAAACAAGTTTCCAAATACTTCTTCAACACATTATTCCTCAATGTCTAAAGAGTTGCATTTGAAATATGACACGACAAAGTGGTCTTCCACAACTAAGAGGAGAATTTCTACAGTGTGAAACTTTGAACAGAACTAAAAAAAGGCCATATGAATTTGTAGGTGATGAGTTATTCATTTTTTTGTTTTGAAGCTTTCAATGGACACCAATGTGATAAAATTAGTTTACTTGTTTAAGTGTAACAGATGCTGTAGGACTGCACAAGAATGCACTGGCTTTTAGGTGCCAAATGACTGCATTGGTACATGAAAATTCTGAACTGAATACACTCGATACAAAGTAAAAATCAACAGGCAAACAATTCCCTCAAGCAGTATAATAAAAACGGCTGTGATAGCAAGGATATTTGCAAAGTATATATTGTCCTCCTTTTCTAGTAATCTTGTGTGACTTTTCTGATCCTCGACTAATCATCTGTATACAAGTTAAGAACACCGCCTAATTACAACAAAGAAGTGATTTAAAAATCTATACTCTTAATTATACTAATATAGTAAGTGTCGTCTTCACTCCAGTTTAATGTGTAGACAGTAAGCGAGCACTTACACATTAATATACACATTTTGAATATAATGATTATGTAACACGCCGTTATAGGGTCGGTGGCAAAGCGTTAGAATACTCGCCAACCACACTCCATGTGGTTCGGGGTTCCATCCCCGGTCACTGAAGCACTCCTTTACCTCGCTAAACCAGTAATAAGACTGGTAAAGAGGGTGAAGTTTGGGCATGAGGCTAGCAGCAACCCCATCCCGTAAAAATAAATACCATTGCTACAGAAACTTCAAGCCTCTAGTTTGAAGCTCAATTGGGGACGTAAAGGAATAAAAAAAACCACGTCGTTATATGCTCTGAAATTATATCTTTCAGCTAACCTATCTGCTTTGAAGAGAGAAAACTCCACAACCGGTATTATTATTATTATTATTTCCTTTAATTCCTAGAGGAACATAGGGCTTCAGCCGTGCGTCTCCATTGCGTTCGGTTCTCTGCTGTAGTTTTCACCTGGCTCCAAGTCTGCCCACACGCTTTCAATTCCTCTTCACATGATCTCCTCCAGGTCACCCTTGGACGACCAACTCGTCGCTTCCCTTTCGGGTTCCACTCGAGGGCTTGTCTAGTGATGTCACTTGCTGGTTTCCTCAGAGTGTGTCCAATCCATCTCCATTTCTTCCTGCCTATTTGTTTCACGATCAGTTCCTGGTTGGTTCGCTCCCAGAGATCTTTGTTGCTGATCCTCTCCGGCCATTTGATCTTGAGTATTGAGCGAAGGCATTTGTTAATGAAGGTCTGTAGCTTGTTTGAGGTGCTCTTTGTGACACGCCAAGTCTCTGATCCGTATAGTAGTACTGACTTCACATTGGAGTTGAAAATACGGATCTTATTTTTGACGCTGAATGCTGTTGACCTCCACATAGACTTGAGAGAAATGAAAACTTGTCTTGCTTTTCCGATTCTGGCTTTGATATCCTCGTCAGTTCCTCCTGTAGTTGAGACGATGCTTCCCAGGTAGGTGAAAGAAGTTGTTTCCTTCAGGTTCCTCCCATTTATGCTGATTGTTGCCGGTTGTTGCTGTTGATGTTGGCCAGGAATCTTCATTACCTCTGTTTTGTCTATGTTCACTTGAAGTCCTATCTTTGCTGCTTCTTCTGCCAATTTGTTGCTTTTCACTTGCATATCTTCCAGTTTGTGGGAAATCAGACATATATCATCGGCGAAATCCAAATCCTCCAAGGCTTTTGTGTCGGTCCATTTTATGCCTGTTCCCTCGTTGGTTGCCGTTGTCTGTCGCATTATCCAATCAACTGCAATCAGGAAGATCATTGGTGACAGTAGACAGCCTTGTCTCACTCCCGTCCTCACTTCGAAGGATTCCGTGAGCCTCCCGTTGTGGATTACTTGGCATGCAGCGTTGTCATACAGCTGTTGGATGAGATGTATAATTGTCGGCGGCACCCCGTAGTAGCGAAGTAGTTGCCAAATCACCTCTCGATCGACGCTGTCGAAGGCTTTCTCAAAATCGATGAAGTTGAGATAGAGAGGTGACTGCCATTCCAAACTTTGTTCAATGATAATCCGTAGGGTGGCGATTTGGTCAATGCATGACTTGTTCCTCCTGAATCCGGCCTGTTCCGGACGAAGTTTTCATCCACAACCGGTACAAAAGCATTTAACCACAAATAATGACACCTTGCATTATTTCACTCTCTGTCTACTTCATTACTGTGCTTCATGGTAAACAATCTGGGAGGGTTATCCCTTTAACTTAAAACGACATAGAACCTCATGAATGAAATCAACGATTTGAGGAGAATAAACATACACAATTAGTGATGATGATGAATAAACCACAAAATTTTAAGGGATAATTGCGATGCACACGCGGAGTTGCTTGAGGAGAGCGAAAGCATCAAATAACATGTCACACTGATTCCGACACTTTGTAATTCTTGTTACACTAATTTGGTCAATACGTTACACTTTTTAAGTAATGTACACTAAGCACTTTAGGCGATAAAATCGAAAGCTACTTATGTCAACACCCAAAGTACTTAAATGTAAATCTTCAAAATCATGCTAAAGCAACTTGTAATATCACTTATAAAAATTAGGCGTCTTAGTCAGTTAGAATTCATTAGTCTGAGACAGTTTTCAGTGAACCATGTTATGGGTGACACTTTACATGAGATGCTAATTAAATAGGCTGAGCCAAAATTAAACCCTGAATCCAATAGCCGAAAATAATATTTTTATGGCTAATCAGTTATACCTCCACATTAGTAGTCTTACTAATCAGATTTTTCTTCTTAGCATATAGTGGTGTATCTTGAAGCTAAAAAGATTATGATCACTTCACAATATACTTCACCGCTAGTTATTTATTTCGGTAACAGCCATTGACAATAACCACACTGAAACTGTAGCCGTTTAATTTTCCAAAAGTCACCAAACAAGATACCACCAAGCAAAAAAAACCGAAGCTAACCGATAAATACTTCAGAACAAACCTTCGAGAGAAACAGGTATTGCCGCTGACTGTATTTGTGTGGGACATAACCACTTGACTCGTTGACATATTGAACATAACTCAGGAATCAAACCAAGATCACTAAAACCCATGGTTATTAATCACATAAGGCTTTGGACCAAGCTGAAAGGCAAGCTGGGAGAATGAGGCTTCAAGAAAATCCTTCGCAAAACTGACAACTGGAGTCTACTTAGACACTAGAATCTAGGAGAATAGAAAAAGTAAAAATACACGGTCGCTTTAACATACATATAAAAAAATGATAGTGTCCCAGTATGAAAGAAAAACCATATGGGCCGAGTTAAACTTTAAGCACCAGTAAGTACCAGTGGAGTACGACCGCACCAACCACCTAAAATGCTCACTGAGCAAGTTATTGAAACCTGGTAAATAAATTGTAATCATAAATAAAATATGCCTGCTGAAGTGTTATGTTCTTAAATGGATTATCTGGCAGGTTTCAGGTTAGGTTTGGGAAAGTATTAGTTAGGATTTAGGTTAAGGACAGTTTATGATTGGGTTAACCTATTGAGGGCAACATCACAGCTGGTTTGAGTTAGACTACGGTTAGTTTAAGGATATTTTCACTTTAGGGTTAGGTTAAGAAAATATTAGAGTTAGGGTTAGATCTAGGTAATCAAAAGCACTGAATATAGCTAAATTACTCTGTTAATGTTGCAATCCGAAACTGAGTGGTATTTCTGCCACATATCAGAGAAGTGTATCTTGTGTAACAGTTTTATCCCTTTTAATACATTATTTTGAAGAATATATGTGTGTTTAGCGCAAAAATTGTCCTTACCATGTGGCTGGTGCGCCGAAGGTCATTTCCCGCTAATATTTACTGGGGCTTAAAGTTAAACTGTATCTAATATGGAAACAAACGTCGCAAACAATGCAGATAAGTCCTAAAAACACTCACATGTGAGGAGTGTGAATATACGTTATAGGGTGTTATATCTTACGCGCTTAAGGGCTTTCTCAGCTTTGATTGGCTAGTACAGTGGCGGAGAGTTTGACTTAAATTTGTCCTCGGTAGGTCATGCCGTGTGCAGGTTTTCGTGGTTGCGGCATGCGTTGTTTGCAAGCATGTTTGATGAATATAAATGTAAAATATTGGTATTCTAACGTTTTATTTTACTTATTTTGTGCATGTACCAGGCTTGGTTTATCATACATTCTGTTTGTTGGCCTATCGGTTGCTGGCGATGTCAAGGAATCCGTGAGTTCGAGGGCTTTTCTCGATTTTAGGTTATACATGTAGCATTTTATTGATGGATATTGCGACACAGATGGATGCTAATTGACAACGCCTTTTTAGTTTATTGCAGGTAGGCAATGCGGGTGAAAGTACTGCTGACGTCAGTGGAATTTTCGATGAAATTATGCTGGGAAGGCGTTTCTTTAGTTGGGAGGAATTTGAGAATTCCTTAGGAGAATTTCAACAAGTGAGGAAGTCATTTAATGCTAACAATGTAGTTGTCCTGCACTCACTATGTGCATATTCAAAGCAAAACAACAGGGGAAGACAGATATAAGTACGCTTACGTTTATTTTAAATGCACTTTTGGCGTGAACCGTGGAAAAGCTGGCCTGAAATTGCGAAACAAGTCGTAAGAGGAATTGTATTATGATAATATGTATGTTTAAGGTCTAAATGTTGCAACTGTCTGTCTGCATTTCGCGTAATTTTGCGTTATAGTGAATACGTGATAACATCCCACAAAATGGTCCACAACCATCCATGCACCAGGGTGTATATGCAGAATGATCCATGGTCTAGACGACTGTCAGCGGAAGAGAAAGAAAATATAGAACCACTTCTTCACCAATCACACTCATCAGATGAAATAATTATGCATGTTAAGGAAACATTCCACAAGGACATAACACTTAATGACGTTAGAAATCTGAAAGCTTCAGTTAATAAAGGTAACGTTAATGTAAATGTAAACTACTTCAGGTATATCGAGCCGTTATGACATTTTTGAATTCCTAAAGTCCCGTGGGAAGTTATTGGAGTATTATGCAGATGAACCGATAAGGAATTCACTGATGAGAGTCTGTTTTTCTACTTATGAGCAAATAGATTTGTATAAACGTTTTCCGGAGGTTGTTGGCATCGATTCTACATATAACACAAATAAAGGGAAGTAAGTTTATTCATTAATTAATCAACATGCAGGTATTCTTTGTTTCAATTGGTTGTAACGGATAATTTTGGTCGTGGGAGACCGGTTCTATTTGCTTGGACGCGAAAGGAATTCAAGCGTGATGTTGTTTGGATTTTGGACTCGTTTCGTAGCATAATGGAAGACACCTCTAAAACAGAAACATTCATTATGGATTGTGCGCAAGCCGAAATAGGAGCAGTGAAGTTAACACACAGAGAAGCGCACATTGTTCTTTGTTCTTTTCATGTTTGTCGTGCATTTTGTCGTAAAGTAAATTATTTAAAAGCATAATTAAAATTTCAATTTTAGACGCGGAATCCCATTGTTAAGAACTACTTATGTCGCTTAATTCAGTGTAAAAGGAGATCTGAGTAATGCCTTTAATATTTTCATTTTTCCAGATTTAACTTCTATTTCAGAGTTATAAGCCGATTGGATGTTGGTGTCAGTCAGTATTTACAACGTCGTTGGATGAGTCGACGACACTTGTGGGCAGCAGCTTTCAGGGAACATGTACTGACTTTGGGTAATGACACCAACAATCGTGTAGAAAGTTCTCACAAGCAGATGAAGCGGTACTTGCTTAGATCAGATAGTCTGCATCAAAGCATGCTGAAGGTTCACAAATGGTTTCAACTTAGTAATTCTAGAATAGAGCAGGAGTCCATGATTGCTCAGTCGCGTTCCCTCAAGTATTCATGTTCCGAACGCATAATACCAATTTTACGCCACCTGACGCCATACACTGCGAAGAAAGTGATCGCTGATTATGCGAAGCGACGATGGACTTCTTTTCAGTTAGAAGGTTTTGATTATATCTTCTTGGATGACAATGGGAGACCAGTAGAGGTGGATCTGCGCGCATGCACATGTACTTGTATGACTTTCCAGACTTGTCGGTATCCCTGTCGACACTTGCTGATGGTGCATTTAAAAAAGGCGTGTTTCACAGGTAAAATACCCTTTTTTGAAACTTGTATATTCATTTACACGTAAGATATACTAGGTTGCCACCTGAAGTATTCCCTATTTTATGTCTCCATAGTTAATGCATATTAACCTACTCCTAAGTGACTGAAATTCGTAGATACTAAAATGTATATATATTTCATAAGGGTTTGTCTTAATTGAAAACAGGACCTAAGCACTGTCATTATTTATCCTTTAATATTGCGTGCATAATTCTATTTCCGTTTACCGTTACACCTTTTGTAGTTAATCATGTGCTGCAGAACTGTAAACGATGGACATGGTCTCGCCAATCGTACGCAATTCCAAGCACGTCAGCAATTGTGCCGCTAAATCAATGTGACTTATACGTAACAAATAGGAGGCTTATTAATGCGGGCCTGACGAGAATTTGCGACAAATATGGACGGAGGTTTGCCGCAGAGTTCGCTGGACAAGTAGTCGCTCAAATCAACAATGTTCTTGATGTGTAAATTAAATACTTTCGTATTACAATAATAATAAACTTTTCGTATTAAGATTGTTGCCTTTCTGTTAGTGTGTTCGCGTTGGGAGTACGGCATGCTAGACCGGTAACACAACAACCACAATGCGCGCCAATATCCAATATCATTTTACGAGCTAGTACAAACCAATTTGATTTCCTTGTGCTAGCCTCTTGATTGTGAAGTAGAGGTTCCTTCTAGAAGTCTAGGAAGACCACATGGACTGGAACATTCATATCCCAGCATGATGTCCAGTCGTCCCAAGCTGATAATAAGTTAGTAACGCAGGATCTCCCTTTCCTGAAACCGTGTTGGGCTTCATGGGGTATTTTAGATTTATCGAGATATTCCCTTATGTGATCATTAATAATGCTTTCCAGTACTTTTGATACCACTTGGAGTAGAGCTACTGGTCTATAACTAGTGGGATTTTGCCTATCCCCACCCTTGAAGATCGGAGAAAGGATGCTTCTTTTCCATTCCCTTGGCAGTTTCCCCGATTCCATGGAGCGTTGGAACACGCCGCATAAGGGCCTACAGAGAGCTTCGGCACACTGTTTCAAAACAGACGGCCTGATGTCGTCACAACCTGGGGACTTCCCAGATGTGAGTCACTGTAACTTTCTTAGTATTATCGCAGGGTTTATTTGGGGGTGGCTACTTGGTCTTCCTCCTGTGAAATAGTGGTGCCACCATTTTGGTCCGTAACGGTAATACCCACATTGCTGTTTAGCTGTTTGGCGAAGGCTGAACTGAATATTTCAGCCATCTCCAGACTAGTGAGATATTGACCGTTTTGGCCTACTCAAGCGCATGCCCCCTGGTTGGTTGGTTTTCTTTCCGAAATGAATCGGTACAAGTTTTGGGGTTTGCCAGGAGTTTTCTAGCAAGGTTAGCCTGGAATGACCTCCTGTCCCTCCTGACTCTTGCATTGCACCGGTTCCTGAGTTCTAGGTATGCATCATGGTCGATCGGACTCTTAGATACGCTCCACGTAAACCAAGCCTTCCGCTTTGCTTGCAGAATATGCTGCGTGCCTCTCTTTAACCATGATGACTTTCTTTTGGGCTGTGTTGTGACTAAAGGGACGGTATCCGAGATTGCTGTATGAATAATCTTTTTTACCACCTCCCAGTGTTCATCCACAGATAGCTCACCCCATGCTAAGGGCCAGTCTGCGTCGGACAAGAGCCTGCGCACTTCAGCATAGTCAGCCTTGCTGTAACACAGACATGATTGCGTAACGTCCCGCTGCAAATGCTCACGGAGATCGAGATCGAAACCTATGACTGCATGGTCACTACTTCCTAGAGGAGTCACGATCTGGACCTATTCGATGAGTAGTTGGTCACTAGTTAGAATGTAGTCTAGTTTTGATGACTTTCCACTAGGGCCCCACCTAGTGTCGTCCCCAACATTCTCAGTCAGTCCTGTATTTCGAATAGTTTGCAGTAGGTTTCGGCCAAATTTTCCCTCAGCATACCCCGAGCCAAGGTTCAGTGATGGGGCATTGAAATCTCCAGCAATGGTGATTTGGTCATAGCCCAAGTCTCGTATCCCTGTGATAGTGCTGAGCAGTAGCTGATTGTGCTCTGCCCCACAGGTGGGAGATCGGTAGATGCCACCAAGTAAATGCTTGGTGTGGCCTACGGTGAAATGACACCATATGGAGTCTGGGAGTTCGATATGTGGTGGGTCCGTTGCGCGCACACATTTAAGTTGCCTATCAAAGTATATGGCAACTCCCCCCCTTCCTTATTATCCCTGTCTCTCCTGACCAAAACCATATCACCTATACTGATTTCATTATCGGCGATAGTGGGGGTTAGCAATGTTTCGGTGAGAATGATCATTTTCAGTTGTAGGTGTGCTTGGGGATTTCGGAGTTCACCTATTTTTCCTCTCAGCCCCCTCACATTGCTATACAGGCAGCTGACAGTGAGTCTTACAACCTCAGCGTGTCGTGGGGTAGTTGACGTGAAGCTGTCTGCTGGTAGGGGACTTAATGTTGGGACTAGTCGGCCAGTTCCGATGGAACTGGCCCGTTGTGGTTTTTTCCCATGGATTTAGGCAGGACACTTGGGTGACACAGACTGTTATCCACAGAACTGCATTGCTCTAGTGTCACTGAAGCCTGGGGACGTATTAAAGCCTCCGTTTACTGCCTCCTTATGGTTCGAGGTCCGCTTTCGCAGCATCGGATGTGTCCTCTCATTTTCCCGTTGGCCTCATACCACCGTTGAAGTGCTATGGCCAACTGCTCTGGGGAGTTGAATGTGATACTTAGCAGCTTTGGGGAGCTAATCAGTGTTAGATGAGCGGGGCGAGGTAGTCGGTAAACGGAGATGGCTTCAGAAGCGCCAAGGGCCATCTGAGACGACAGCCATTTCCACTGCTGTACGTCATGCATGTGTTTTTCACAGGCAGTGCCCGTTTCCAGCTCCGGGACACCGTGCACTACCATAGAGGTAGAAGGCAAAAGTTCCGGTGACTCCCTCGCTATTTTCCTGTTAGCCCATAGTCTATCATGTCTCACCCTTATGCTAGAACTCCTGTCGATGACTCGTACGTGGGCCAGTGATAGGATCCTTTCAGCCTCTTCGACAGAGTCCAGTGTAACTCTTAATGGGGGTGGCTTACCCTGAGGCGTTTGGATACCCCTGTACGGCCTGCACAGCTTCGCTGAAATAATCCTCAGACCTAATTTATTGCACAGATTGAACCACTGTTCCTGATTAGACAGGCCTCGTTGTTCAAGCAAGCTGTCCTTGCTCACAGGTACGTTAAAGAGGATAAGAGAATTAGACAGATTAACCTCAGGCTTGGGTTTGGCCTTTGGCTTCTTGTATTCCTTTGCAGCATCAGCAACTTTAGGCTTCATCGGGTTCTGGCCAGCCTTTGTTGTGTTGCCGAGTTCGCTTGTGGAAGCAAGTGGTACTTTTCTAATTCTCTCTTCCCTTGATTTTGTGGGTCCAACCTTTTGGATCTTCACCTTATGAAAATTGGCATTTTCAGTCAGTAGTACTGGAGTGTCCTCCTTACTGTCTGTGCCAAGTTTTGGCAGTGTGGTGTTGGCAGGTGGGGAGCTGCATAAGACTTTGTTGTTTCTGCTATCCGCAGACACGCTCAGTGGGACTATTCCAGGGCGAAAAAGTGGACAGATGTACCAAAACCACGGGCACGGGTTATTTCTCATAAACTCGTCGTATGCTTTCGGCATCTCTTGGTCACAACGGCAGTGCACCCACCGTTTGCAAAAATTGCATTCAAACGCTGAGTCAGCTTTAGAAACTATGATACTGCACGCCTGGCATTCGTCTCCCTTACTTGATGACGCCTTCAAGGTCTAATGACGTCTTGAGAGTTTCCTTTTAGGTTTGCTGTGTTTCACACACTGGCTTTCAGTTGATGCAGGTGTAGTATCCTGTCCCCCTGGTATTGCCTGTGCCGTTTCAGTACTAGACTGTGGCAATGCAGACGTAGTATCCGGACAGACGAGACCTACATGAATCTTAAGGATCGGTATGCGGGAAGGGGTTGATGTCCCTAGGTTTTGCCTTCTCTGGCTGAAGCCCTTGGGACTACAGAGTAAGACGTTTAAGTGACATTTCTAAGGCTACTTTCGACAGCCATATTAACAATCACTAAAACTTATGCTATATAAGAATAAGAGTGCAACAGTATCTACCCGCAAGAAAAAATTAAATAGGACTGAAAAAGCACAAGACAAGGAAAAGAAAAGGTTTTCGACTTTACCTAGTACTTTCTGGATGATTGGCTTCACAGCAATCACGTAGTGGACCAACAAGTCTTGTTTATCTGAAAGAGTGAGGAAGATGCTGCAACAAAAGTAACACCTGAAGCTTTGGCAGTAGTTCGAGACAGCTAGACTTACCACACAGAGATTCAATATGTAAGTAATGGTTGAATTTAATTCACCGACTAGGGAGATCAGGTTTCCCAAGCGGATAATTCACAAAATAGGTATTTTCCGGTTAGAGAGGAAAAAGCACGTTGTATTCAAGAAGCGCGCGTGCAGGAATTAGAATGGTATTTAAACCTACTAACTCATTCAGGGACAAGCTCTGTAGGCTGAAGGACCCGGTGGACGCAACTAGACAAAGTAATATAATTTAAAAAATACCTTGCAATGACTGTGAGTTAGGTCAACTACTCAGGTCAGACTAGTAGATCAGGAGTAGTGAGATTATCAGAACATAAGAATTTAGCTAAGTTCAGAATCACTGAGCCTGAGCAGGTAAGTGATTTAGAAAAGAAAATCAGAAACCGCACTACATTCATAAGGACAGCCATACAACAATGTGGGGAGGGTTACAATTCTAAAAAGTAATATGGTTGGGTGGGTAGGGAGGGTGGTTGTTCATCAAATCCACTCATACTTGCAACAGATTCCATAAATAATTCTTAAGTCACGTGTGGGCACTTACAGCTTACTACAGCAAGCTGATTCAACGCTGCTGTTGGTCCTCAAATGCGTCTTCTGTGGCGTCAGTGAGCTACAAAATCTTCACGAAGTTTTTCTTAATTGTGAATAGTTCTGGCTGTCTTTTCAATCTTTTACACCGTAAAGATCCACCGGCTTACTGTCAGAAAGCACTCACTCGCTACGTTTTTTCTTGCTGCTTACTACGGATCAGTTATTGAACGAATAAATGAAGAAGCCCCCAGCTACTTCCATAGTAATTTTAAAGTTGCATAAAGTTGATCAGTGAAATTTCGTTACTCCTGTTCTCATCTCAAGGGAGGAGGATCGAATAAATCCGTGAATTAACTTAAGATTTAGATATTTTTCCTCCAAAGGCCAACTTCCCTACCTGTACTACCGGCGCTTCAGTGAAATACCGCAAGCGTGTAACGACGACATGATGAAATTATGAAATGCACGCATTATTCTCCTTTAGAAACCGAATTTTCTACCACAATAGCTACTCAAATTACAAACAGACGATATGTGGTATTTCAGTGGACCGGTGGCATTTACGAACCATTACTTTCAAGTCACGAAAGAGGCCAAGTGAAGCTGGAAATACCTAGTCAAACAAAGGGAAGGACAATTAATAGTGTTCTCTGAGCTGGTTGGTTTAGTTGCGAAGCTTTCGTCGTCCTTCTGGGCAACATCTTCAGCGCCATATTTAGCACAAAGTGAAATGATTTAGATTTCTTCATGAGTGATATAACTGCGTCTCCTGTTAACTATCTTTACATATATATTGATCATTTTCTATTGACTTGGATTTTAAACTTTCTGGTCACCTGATTTACTTTTTATTAGTTGGTATATTTCGTCTATATTAACGTGTTTGTTAATTGCATTTTCGCTTGAGTACCAGGCTTCTAGGAATTCTTTTTCACTTTTCGTGTTTCCTCTGTCTAAGATTTTGACATTATCTCAATCAAATTGATGACCATAATTGTCTATATGCATTGATACTAAAGAATACATAAAGCTTCGCAACTAAACCAACCAGCTCAGAGAACACTATTAATTGCAAATCATCCACCTGAGCTACAAATCTTCTCTATTATTTCAAAAGGGAAGGACATTCATTACTCAACAAATAATGAATCCTTACAAATCCTACTTGACTGTTCTTTCTATCCTTCTGAGTTCCCTTATCACTTACAACATCTGATTGACCATGGAATACTACCTTGTAGAGGCCCTACACTCCAACTGAAGTGTGTGCATTTGAAGTGGAAAAGGAAATAGTTGGTGAGTTAAATTAGAGCTAAAACTGAATTTTCAAGAGTACTGGATAGTTTTTGCAATCGATTCTTTTAGTTCGTAGTCGTGATCGCACACGAATAGTGGGACGAAGAAAATCAGCGTGCCAAGTTCGTGGGGGCCTGGCCACATGGCTCTGATTTAACTGGTCGGCTTATATATATGTCAGAACCCAGTATTAAAGGATGATAAGCCAAAGTCTGTGAGTTTGAGGGAACCTTTTAGCATTACATGCTTATTTAAAAGTGCACTAGTCAACTGGGAACTTTTAAAGAACAATATCCAGACTGTTCTAGCGGTGGCTGGTTGTGTATTCCTGTAATCTCTCAGAATCCCACTCACCCAAATACAATTTTTTTGATAAACTCAAGTTAAATACTCTGTCTAGTACTTGTGTGGTATTCAGTGGAAAATAGGTAGCTAGTTATGGTAGGTAAGACTTAGGAGTCAGCGAATTACATCTAAGTTGACTAGGATATGTGAAGGCATGAAGAATATATAGGTTACTGCAAACTGAGGTCAATAGTTAAACGGCCACATTTCCCTCAAGCGATATAATTTGTCGATATTCAGGAAGTGGAACTTTTGCAGTGTTTTCTCAAGTCTAGTGGATCATATTATAGTTGTTCAAATCCCATGCATTCCAGAATCCGGATTTCTGTGCATCATACATATAAATGATTATTATCAACTACCCCAGCTTCACGATGTGGTGATTTATATGCAAATAAAAAGCGAAGACATGTGGAAACGATGACCCCCTAACAAATATAAACTTTACGATGTGTGATCCAGGAAGCAAAGAAAACTCCACTCAGGTTATTTTTTCCCTGATACTCACAGATTTCAGTTGATTCACCATAGCTCATGGCGAATTATCCTTACATAATGGGTAGTGGTAGACCACTACTCAGAGGTAAAAAATTACCATGCCAGTCAATACAAGACAGTCAAACTTACGTGATAATACGTAGTTTTCGGCCTAAAGTATTCCTCCTAAACTTCAAAATATGGTAATGTGCAACAGATAATGACACAACTAGCTCACAACCCACATATCGTAAGCATGCAATCTTTTAATTTTACCAAAATATTTATTCTTTTAATAGAAGAGATAATTGACTTACAACACTTCCAGAGAATTATGACGTTATGAAAGTCTGCAGACAATAGGTTTCTTTTCCAATGACGATGGTGATGGGTTCAGAACCGTCTGATCCTAGAAAATGTTCTAGTTCAACATGACAATGAATACAGTAACGAGAAGTGCTACAGTGTATCGCCTAATTCTCTCTAGCAAACTTGAGGAAAGAAAGAGAAGTACGAAGCCACTTCCCAAAATGGACTTGGAACGCATAATCGAAACCTTAATTCTCCTATTTCACTACCTATGTCGAGGGAAAACTTTAAAATGTCTGAGATAAAGACATAAGACATTGAATAAAAGAGTGTTTTCTAAATTCGATGGATCAGTTGGCGCTTTAACTATTTCAAGGTTGCTGATCATGTGTAACTGAGAATGAATTTTGGCAATTTACAATGCTTTGTGGGCAAAGGGTATGCTTATTTTAAAGATTTTAAACTGCATAATATTAGGCAAAAAACGCCTACTTTTTATCGAGTAGATAAAATAGAATTCTACGTTTTTTAAGCTAACAAAGTGGATGTCTTTGTGTAATTTAGGTGGTGAATGCTGATTTTATTGAAAATATGCACGTTTGAGATCTTGTAGTCTTCATCTTATCTTCTGTTTTTCATGTTTCGTCACCAAACAGTCTATTTTTAATTCTAGTGGCCAATGTCTTTTGTTGTCTTACGTTTCACATTTGCGTATAGTTTCATCTGTCTGTTATTTTTCGCTTGGTACTGTCTTTTGTAGTAGCTCATGGAGTTTATGTAACTTCAAATATTCTTATGTGGAGTAAAGTCCAGATCATGAAAATATGACTAATAATTATATTATGGACAGTCTTCATTCTCTGCATACTTATCATATTATATTTGCATAAGATATCTTCGTTCCAATTACAGGATATGGTTAATGTCAACCCCTTGATGCTTGTGGTGTGTTAGCATTGAGTTGGAATTGCGTTCTCATTTTTATTTGATAGTTTCATACTAATGGAAATGACAGTAGTGTAAATAGATTGTTATTTTTAACACTGATGTATTTTATTCATGTGTACCACTGCTCATCGTTAAACCACTTAGTCTCTCCATGTCATTCTTGCAGCATCTTGCACTTTACAGTGACAGATGTGATATCAATGATATCATGATTTCTGGCGAAAAGATTCTGTATTATACCAATGTCTTCATATGCCCGCCTTAAAAAGAAAATTCTTTCCTTGTAAGAACTTGGTCCCTTAGTAGGTCATAGTCGCTTTCATTAGTATGCTTACCAGGAAAGTAGGTAAAAGTGAGAAAATTGAGCAACCTTCATGGACACCGCTGATCGTCGTCACTTCAGCTGACAATTCTCCCTTGGTTTCAATCACGGCTGTGTGAATTCCAGTATTGTGCCTTGATTATTAAAATGTACTTTCTCGGCATTCTTTTCACTGCCAGACACTGTCACAACACATTTCAGTCGACTGAGTCAAATTCCGTTAAACATGTCTATGTTCTGGAATCTGTCGAAGTGTAAAGATGTGATCAGTAGCCCTCTTCCAAACCTAAAGCCTAGCTGCTTCACACGTGTTTGTTTTTCTCGAGATCTGCTTACCTTACGTAGGACTATGGGACCTGTAATCCTAGGTGCTGTGTTGATTAGATTGGTACCCCTGTGATTATCATATAGAGGCCTGTCCTCCCGTTAACTTAGGTAGTCAATAGTTTGCACCACTCCTATGGGACCATCTCAGAATCCCACACCTTACCTATTATCTTGGTTAATCTGGTCAGTTATTTATCACTACCATCATCAAGCACTTCCGTAGTCATACTATCATGTCCTGCTACTTTGTTTCGTTTTGGAATAGAGCCAACTGTGCAACCCCAGCTATAGCTGGTGAAAAAAACGTCTGTATCCCATTCAAGTGGTCGGTAGACTAGTTGAGCTGCTCTTCAAAGTGTTGTTTCTAATGTTCCGGTTGTGTCGCCTGAACAGCAATTGAACTATAGTGCTTCTCGAAAATTGTTTCAATTACCATAGGTTTTCTGCAACTTATGCACATAGCGAGTCAAAATGATTGTCTTGCATCATTTACGGCAGATGCATTTTCTATTCTCTGGCTTTTATTGCCTATCACTGTTTGCGGTCGTTGCAAAAACCGCTAGTTAGCTTTTATTTTTGCATCTTTCGTTCTTCTTCGTGTCTACTACTTGCCGAAATCTTGCTTCTGATTACTCATTCACTGTCTCTCCGTAAGAGTATTGGCTGAACTAAGTCTGTAGTTCTACTCAGCAACTACTGGGGTCTTGCATGTTCTGAATGGTACCAGAACTGCGCAAACCCAAGTAGAGTGGAGTTTGAATATGTGAGTCAGTAGCTGACAGTCAGATGCCTGAGCTAACGAACTGCAGGTTACAAATATATTGGAGAAACTAAGAATAACTAAGTCAAGTAATGGTGCTACACCGCAAAGTTTTCTATCGTTAACTTCAGATATATTAGTTGACTGTGAGGAAATTTTTTGAACTTCGGTACTCATTATTTGGAAATTTGCTATACCATAATAGATCAACTGCAATGGAGTCCAGCCTTTTATCTTCGTACTAACTAATATCACCTCTAGCATAGATATGATATCCGGGTATCGATCAAATGGTGTATGCACTGCACAGTACTCTATGTCCTTTATACCCGTAGAACATGGTTATTGAAGTTAGGCATACAGTGTTAGGTAAAGAGGGAAGGCCAATTGACACATTTATAAACCTACAAAGATTGAGATAGCTGAGACACGTGGTACGCATGTCGAACCATCGCCTTCCTTTCCGTGCATTCTTGGCTGACATAGGATTACGTTAGAAAAGAGTTAAGACTGGTTACACCGAGACTTGGTATCAACCCATGAAGTCTTTGACTGTTTGTTGGAGCCGTGTAGGAAGGTGTAGACTACCTGACTGGAGTCCTAGAGATACTAGAGATTACTGGTGATATAGCTCAAAATCATGCTCACTGTCGCAGATGCATCACATTCTATGTGATCTCCCATATCCATTAAACCCTCATGTTTTCCTATGGTGATATTCTTTCTTTCTTTCTTCGCACACTTCTGCTCATTGTGGTTATTCTAAATCTCCTTTTCCTCTCTTTTGTTTGCCTTTGTATGCTATATGGAGTGTGGAGAGTTGAATTGCTGTACTTCTATGCAAAGTCCTTTGTTGAAACTAAATTAATCGTTTCTTTTTGGTTTTCACAGCGCTTTTGAAGAGTTTCAGAATTGTTTTTGATTGTGTCTGTACTTGTATACTTTAACACAATACCTTTTGGCACAAATATTGTTGATTCTATAAATATTATTCCCTTGGGTTACAAGTTGCACATAGGGCTTCAAGTTTGAACTTTGAACTTTCAGTAGTAGTGTTGTTTCTACTGAGTGAGGCTACTACTTACTTTTTACTTTACTTCGGCTATCTCCTACGGGAGGATGAGCCGGATTCATGAACATCTCGGATAAGAGAGTTCATGAAGTTTCATGGGAATTTGGTACGAGTGATGTCCCCAGAATCGCTCGGCCTTTTGTTTGAGAGTGCAGCTCTAGCCTTTACACAACCAAGTGTGACCTACAAGGCAGTAGGAGTGGAGTAGGGAGTCCACTATCCATTGGCAGCCGGTGACCGGAGTTCGGTTCATACGCCTTTTTGAATGGGGCCAGACATCCAGGACATCCAACAAGCCCTTTGTCCATACGTCTGCCGGTGAGCTCCAGTGAGCTTCATACGCCAGTCGTTGGAGGTTTAGAATCAGGGTTTAGCCATCTCCCCTAGACTGTCATGCAATGGACAGTCAACCCGGTGAAGAGCGCCGGGCATCCGCTTTCGCCCTCTCACTTTGGTGAAAAACACCTCCGCCACGTGAAGGCAGTGAGTAGGACTTCCTCAGGAGAGGCTATGTAAGGCTACTAGCCTCACGTCCAACCTTCCCTTTTTACCAGACTTACTACTGACTAAGTGAGGGGTTTAGGAGGATCTGTCTGTCTGTTTTCGACATAGAACTTTGCACCGGTGTGCAGCAGTTCAAGTCACCACACTCCATGTAGCACACAAAGCAAGAGAAAGTATAAATGCATAATAGAGACAGTGGACAGGGATATGAGACAAAAGGAATAGTAATAGCGAAGAACAATATAGTTTCATTGGAAATTACAAGTCACATAGAATGGATGCATCTATGCCAGCCATTGACAACGATTTTGAGCCATGTCACCAATTGTTTCCAGCCATTGGTTTTTACCGTCCCGAGGACCCCAACCAGGAAGTCTACGTGGCTTAGACTAACTGTTGTAGATTCCATTGACTGGTGCCATGTTTTGTTTTGACCGCCACTAGCTCTTTTGGTTTAGGAGGGTAGCGTCTGCCGGGAATCGAACCCATGATCACATGTGAATGGTTGACGAGCATTCTACCCCTGAACCACTAACAAAACATAGGGCTTTATGAGCACATTATGCAATTAGTGCTCACATGAAACTACTTCCTTGAACCGTCGTTTATATTAACAAATGTTCGTATTTTTTGTTATTTGAAGTGGTATGAATTCAGCCATCAGTGCAACTATCAAAGACGAAGAGTGTAAAATTGAACAGCAACTACGACAACAACAACAAGCACATCACCACCAACAACAGCAACAGCAAGCTCAAGAGCAACAACAACAACAGCAGCAATTGTTCAGACCAAATCCCGCATATAATTTTGGACCATGGGATTGGAATGCTATGAATAATAATAATAACAACAATAGCAATAATAATAATAACAATAATAGTACCATGAATAGTATTATTACTAATGGAAGTCAACAACAATTGTCTAGACCATTTTTTCCTGATAATGATGTTATGAAAATGATTAATTTTATAAAACGTAAGTCGATTTGACTGTTAGGGGCGATTTATTTATTTTCTTAAACAGCTTGAAATATAATTGGACTGTTGTATGTACTAAGTACCATGAAGCTTGTTAGTTGCGTGTCATCGTCACTTGCTACTGATGGAATGTTTGAAATAAGTACCCCTGATAGATATGTGCTTCATCCTGGTATATAAATACACTATATGCAGTGGCACAGTGGTAGAGTGCTCGCCATCCATGCCTCATGTGGTCCGGAGTTCGATCCCCGGCCACTGACGCACTCCTTTACCTCTCTAAGCTAGTAATAAGACTGTTAAAAGGGGAAGGTTGGGCGGCATGAGGCTAGCAGCAACCCCATCCTGTAAAAAATAAGCACCACTGCTACAGAAACTTCAAGCTTCTGGCTTGATGAAGCCCTATGTTCCACTGGGAACGTAAAGGGATAAAAACAAAATATGCGGCCATTGAGATAGTTGATGGAGGGGGGAAGTACAAATTTCACACAACTGGTTCCCTTGATTTAGTTTGAACAAAGAAAGAACGAATAAATTATATATGCAGGATAATACGAGCTTTTTTTATTTCGTAGATTCTCTTTCTTCAACTGTATACAAACTACTAAACAATATCAAAATATAAGTTAGAAAATTTCTGAAAATACTTCTTACAGTGACTTCGAATTATAGATAGAAATTATAAACAGCATGATTCCAAAAATGATGTAAGTAGACGAATTATTCAGTGTTAAAAGAGTAACTCCATATTAGTTTGTTTATTAGATTACTGGATGACGTTTCGAACAAAATTTTATTGTTCATAATCATGCCATCAATTGTAATCACACGACTTCGAAACTTGAGTTTTATAGTTTTCTTTGTTCTCTCCTATATGCCGTTGTAGGGGTAGTAGAATTTTCTAGATATCTGGGTGGACAGGTGTTGAATCACTCCTATTACACGTATTCTCTCTCAGTTGATTCGATAAACAAAACTTCTGTTATCAATCTCTCACTCCACCCTGTGACATTAGATTTTGAAACTGTCATCCTAGCTCAACCTATTGTGTGGTTGTGTGCGATTGCGTGTAGTGCTATAGCTGAGCTATTCTCTAGATTTCTTATCTTATTCGGGTCAACCAATCTAGATTTTGCTGTTAGGTTTTTATGTTCAGCTAGTCTGACTGCCCCTATTCTACTACTTTGACTTATGTATTTGACCTGACAATCATTGCAGGCAGGATATTAGGTAAACTAAATTGTTTTGTTTTAAAGGCTGCACAGGCAGAATCCTGTAACCGACAAAGCTTGTTTCTAATTGAGTTTGTGGGTGGTTTAAATGCCATCCACTTTTATTCCTGCCTGCCTTGTTAAGAATTCTGCGTAAGTTGGTTTCCGAGGTTCCTTCCTTGTATAGAATTACTACTGATGATTTAGATTCCTTATTGTTGGTGTTGTCTTGCGCATATTTGACATGCATGTTGTCATTAATATTATTATTATCATCACTATCACTATATATTTTACTTTTACATTTCCCTACATACTTTCTGGCTAATTTATCAGGGTAATAATTATTAAGTTTAAAAGCTTCTCTTATATGCCTCACTTCCTGTCGTCTTAGACAGGAAAATTCTTCTACCCCTACGACGACATATAGGAGAGAACAAAGAAAACTATGAAACTCAAGTTTCAAAGTCGTGTGATTATAAGTGATGATATGATTATGAACAGCAATGAATTTTGTTCGAAACTGTGTCATCCATTAAATAATACTGTTTTATCACTGTGTGATACATCTAATAAACAAACTAATATGGAATTACTTACTACCACAGTGCCCAAGTTTTACACGAATATTAAAAAAAGTAATTATTTGTAGAATAATTAGACAAGGGAGGGGGTGGAGTTCAGATTTTGCCTAGAATCAAGGACTGGCTAGAGACAGAATACAAGATCGAACAACAGAATGAATTTCTACATAATACGATGAAAAGTTCATAAGAGTAGGAGTCGAAAGTAAAGGTAAAATTGTGACATAGACACATACACATACACACAATTAAGTAAATTTGGAAACTTAATACAGAGTTCAACTCAATGAGTAAAAATCAAAATTAAGTGAAATGTTACGCGACAAAAAGCAATCACAAAAATACGCAAAGGCAACAATAACAGTTACCAGGGTAGTTAGAAATTTATGACGCTATCCTTCTGTTCGCAGAGGGGTTGGGTTGGGTCGAAATCTTTTGATAGCCTGGGTTCCTATGAAACGAAATAACCAAGGTTTGTGTGCGTCGGCGGCACAGCAGTAGAATGCTCGCCAACCACGCATGTGGTCAGGGGTTCTATCGCTGCCACTGACACACTCCTTTGTCTGTCTCTGTCTGTCTGGATTCAACATAGAACTTGGCACCGAAGTGCACCAGTTCGAGTTGCCACGTTCCAAATAGCACACAAAGGTAGACAAGAAAATGAGTGAAGAGAATAGAGAATAGAGTTTTGACAAGTATAAGAGTGAAACAAAATGAGTAATGGTAGAAAGGAGTATGAAGGTTAAAGAGACTGAATACATCTGCATAAGCCATTGACAACGATTTTGAGCCATGTCGCCTATTGTCTCCAGCCAGTGATTCTTAGAGTCCCGACGGCCCCAACCCGGAAGTCTGCATCTCCCAACCTGACCCAGTTTAACTGTCAAGGATTTCATGGATTGATGCCATGTTTTTGTTTGGCCACCACTTACCCTTTTCCAACCTGCACCTATATCAGCTAGTAATGCCCGTCGGGGGAGTCGATGGTTAGGCATGCGCAGCACGTGGCCTAACCATCTCAATCTATGTAACTTCATAGCCTCTTCGAGTGATTTTCCCTCTTTACCCAACACTCTACGCCTAACGTCAACATTACTTACTTTATTATACCACCTAACGTGAGAAAGAGATCGTAAACATCTGTGGTCAAAAACACACAATCTCTTCATGTCTTCCGCTCTCAATGGCCACGTCTCACCGCCATAGAGAAGGACGGAGCGAACTGCTGAGCAGTATACACGTCCCTTGGTTGATAGACGGATGTCATGCCTACTCCAGAGATGGTGTAAGTTAGCGAAAGCAGCCCGAGCTATCTGGATCCTTGCTGTGATTTCGTCACCAATCAATCCGTTGGTGCTGATACAACTTCCTAAATAGGTGAAGTGGTTAACATGTTCTATCACTTCACTCCCTATCACTAAGCTTGGAGTTGACGTAGTCCAGTCCTGTAGCAGCATCTTACATTTCACAGGGGCGAATCGCATGCCAAACCTACGGAGATTGCTGCTCAAGGTGTTCAGAAGACTCTGCATTTTGTCAGCATCCTCCCCTAACAGGACTATGTCATCTGCATATTCTAAGTCCAGAAGATTATTCCCTGGTAACAAGTCGATTCCTAAGTCGTTAAGTTCAGTTAAGGATACTTCCATTAGCATATCTATGATGAAGTTAAACAGAAAAGGGGAAAATGGACATCCCTGCCGGACACCACTGGTTGTTATCAATTCAGATGACAATTCCCCATAAGCCCTTACACAGCTACGTGAGTTTGAGTAGAGTGCCTTGATTAGTGCAATGTACTTTCTTGGCACTCCCTTCATAGTCAAACATTGCCATAGAACCTGTCGATCCACGGAGTCGAAGGCCTCCTTCAAGTCAAGAAATATGGCAATTGTTGGACGCCTAAAAGTGTGCCTATGTTCTAGGATCTGTCGGAGAGTGAAGATATGATCTATGCACCCTCTACCTGGCCTAAAGCCCGCTTGATTTTCCCTCGTTTGTTCCTCCCGAGTTCGGCTTAGTCTGTGCATGATTACTGAGCCTAGGATTTTAGAGACTATGTTCGTTAGGCTGATTCCTCTATGATTATCACACACTCCTTTACCTCGCTAATCCAGTAATAAGGCTGATAAAGAGACAAGGCTGGGCATGAGGCTAGCAACCCAATCTTGTAAAAAGTAAACACCACTGCTACCGAAACTTCAAATGTCTCTAGCTTGAAGCCGTATGTTCCAATGGAACGTAAAGGAATAAACTAAAGGTTTTCTTTGTATGTATTGATTATTTTGAAGGCCTAACTAATTAGCACTCTGCGTTCTGTATCAATCTGATATCTGGTTGTTGCACTTGAGAACACTGTACTGCCTTTCACACACAGAACATTTTTAGGGATATGCTTGGAAGATATAACAGACATTTAGTATAAATGTTTACCGCTGCTGTCAAGTTATTTCTCTTGTCGTCCAATTAGTTGTTTAGAACTTTGTCCCCTGGAATAGCTTTTTCATATTCCAGGACATGAGCCACACTTACTGTTGTAACGGCTGATCATATTATCCAATTGTTTAGGCTGAAGTGGGTGAAGCGCGAGCCTCGAGCCCCTGGAATTTTTGACTAAACACCAGGTGATTAAGCCGATTCACCACATCTCCGCTAACCAGCTAGTCAACCGGTGGTGGTGATGCTGTCAAGCGTAAATTTTTCAATAAACGGGATACGATGATTAACATGCGATTGATACATATATATACGAGTTGATCACGGATTGATATCAGTTAGAGAACCATTGAAAACCACGGAGTACTCGACAGCTGTTCCATTCTAATTTGGGAATCATCGGCAGTATGCACCCACACCATGGGTTCGAACCCAGGACCTTCCGCTTACAACGCAAGCTCGTATACCATTCACCCACTGGGACCCAATTCAATGACTCATGAATTCTGACTTCTACCAATTCGTGATTTAGCGCGTCTGGCACCAACCAATGTCATCGGTGGGAAATCCATCCTCACGCGTGACATCTGGTTGAACCTCACTGGTCACGACTTCTCACTAGAACTCCAGGAGCATCAGAGTAATTTTCTATAGTTTTGGTTTGTAAGGGTTAGTTATGTTTCTTCGAGTTGATCACGGATTGATATCAGTTAGAGAACCATTGAAAACCACGGAGTACTGAACAGCTGTTTCGTCCCAGTTTGGGACTCTTCCAGTGGGTAGCGAAATGGTCGTCGAGCTCGCCTCATAACTTGAATCTTGTGAGCTTTTTCGTCCCTGAAGAGTCATAAACCATGACGAAACAGTTGTCCAGTACTCTTTGGCCAGCGGCCAGTGACCTTCTAACTGATATATCACAGTTTGTGATGGGACTTGAAAACCAACATTTGAAAATTTTTCTAACCTAAAAAATATCTTAATTATTCTAAATTCCGTGTACTAAACTAAATAGTATTTACATCTGATATGTTTATGCAGCTTAAATTCGGTAAGCCATTTTAGGCGATTGTTGTCATTTTCCTTTCTTAATATATGCTGTTAAATACACTTACGAGGATGTATATAATCATGTCTCCCCTCCTATTCTTCGTTAATATATATATATATATATATATACGCATATCTATATTTATTTTCAATTGGATTATAATTTATTTATATAAAGATTTTATTTGTACTACTTACTATTTGACTTACAAAGTTTCAGCGCAAGAACTTTGCACAGAAATGCGTTAGGTCAAGATGTCACACTCCACTTAGCACTGGTGCACAAAGGTAAACAAAAGAGAGGGGAAAACAAGGGATTTAAAATAAGTTTAATGAACAGAGAGGTGCACGGGAGGTGATAGTAATATATATATATATATATATATATATATATATATACGGGGGTGGGTAACATGAGGGTTTAGTCAGTGTGGAAGGTTGGTTGGAGGATTTCATCATGAGCTGACATCAGTTAGAGAACCATTGGAAACCACCTTGAAGTACTAAACAGCTGTTTCATCCACCCTAGTTTGGGACTCTTCACAGTACGCACTCCCGTACCGGGGTTCGAACCCAGGACCTCCTGGTTACAAGGTTAGCTCGTAAACCAACTTCTGCCAATTCACGACATAGCGCGTCCACTTCGCAATGTCTTCTTCTTCTTCGATGAGTTACTGCCTCACCTTCACAACCTGCTGTACCCCAATGGTCACGGCTTCTCTACAAAAACCATTATTTGAAAATATGAAGGATCATAGGAACCGAACCTTGTGGAGGTGGGTGGGTGGTTGTCGGGTGGGCAGGCTTAGATTTCGTGTCGTTACTACTTACTTACTTTACTTCGGCTATCTCCTACGGAAGGATGAGCCGGCTTCATGAACATCTCGAATCATCGCTGCCCAGGCGCGGCGATGCAAGGTTTTGCGACAGGGTTATCCAATTCTTGTTCCACAGACAGAGTCCGTAGACGGTTTGTAGCCCCAGGCACTCAATATCAGCCTTGACTGTACCAAGCCATGTTCAGCTGTCCACCCCTGCGACATTGCCAAGATGGTAATGGCGAGGGATTTAGAACTGATTTGACCAGATCGTCGTAGCATAGTGAGAGTCGTCTGTAAGAGAGTTCATGAAGTTTCATGGGAATTTGGTACGAGTGATGTCCCCAGAATCGCTCGGCCTTTTGTTTGAGAGTGCAGCTCTAGCCTTTACACAACCAAGTGTGAACTACAAGGCAGTAGGAGTGGAGTAGGGAGTCCAGTATCCATTGGCAGCCGGTGACCGGAGTTCGGTTCATACGCCTTTTTGAATGGGGCCAGACATCCAGGAAATCCAACAAGCCCTTTGTCCATACGTCTGCCGGTGAGCTCCAGTGAGTTTCATACGCCAGCCGTTGGAGGTTTGCAATCAGGGTTTAGCCATCTCCCCTAGACTGTCATGCAATGGACAGTCAACCCAGTGAAGAGCGCTGGGCATCCGCTTTCGCCCTCTCACTTTGGTGAAAAACACCTCCGCCACGTGAAGGCAGTGAGTAGGACTTCCTCAGGAGAGGCTATGTAAGACGCCCGGTCATATGGGAGCATTTCAAGAGGTGTGCGGAGGGGTGGCCAACCCGCAGCGCAAGGCACCCATCCCCGACCATCCTGAGGCTTTGGAGGCTTTGTGTCGTTGCCACCAGTTAGATATCATGTGTCTGCTAAAACCAACAGTATGGAAACTTGACTGTTTATCTTTCTTGTATTGTCTTATTTAGAGTATTACGTATGCACATATATATGTAATTTTTTTTAAAATTTTTTTTTAATGTATTAACAATTATTGATTTATCAATTTTAGAAGAGAATTATGGACCTGCAATGATTAATCATGCTAATTTCAATCATGACAATAATAATAATAACAATAATAATAGCAACAGTATTAATAATAAAATGAATTTAATGCGTGATGCTCCACCCCCATTGGATAAATTAATCGAAATGGGTTATCCAGGCCAGCATTACCCTTACACACTGGATCAATTGCATTCACAATTTCAATTTAATCAAAACAGATGTCCACCTACAACAACAGCATTATGTAAGTCGAACTTTTATGATTATTTTTTCGAGAATGGTGTGAATCGTTTCTATATTTATCAATTATTGATTCATAAACATTGCGCGGGCACCGGTAAGAGATGTGAGGTCTAGGATACTTTTTTGGACGCTTAGACCGAAGCTAGTGGTTGCCCCAAGAGGCCTGCGTCTCTCCATTCTTTGATTTGTAGTTTGATTCCCGAGGCAGTCGAGAGGCGTCAGGAGCTGTGTCCCTATGCATCCCGATGTCCAAAACAGGATCATACTCCATTCGATCCGTTTTGATTTTGGAGTTCATGTACACACCACCACACAGGTTTGGAGTCAGGGCTTTTTCCATCTCTCCTAGGTAGACCTGAATATCCGCCAGTCTGGCTGTGAGCACCAGATGCTCGCACTACCCCCTTTCACTTTTGTGAAGAACACTGCCGCCGCCGCCGCATGAAGTCAGTGAATGGCAGTTTCCCTGGCACAGAGGCTATGAGTGCGTAGCAACATGACAACATTTTTAGAGAAAGCCTGAATTCTATTCATCCATCCTGACTGGTTTCAACATTAAAATTTGCATAGAAGTGCGGCAGTTTGAGTTGCCACACTCCGTGTGCCACACGAAGGCAGAGGAAAAAGGAGATTCGAAACAACTATAATGGTCAGAAATGTACGGTAGAAAGAATAGTAACATGCAAAAATATGAGGGTTTAATGGATCTGGGGGATCACGAGGAGTGGATGCATCTGCGCCACTGATTGGGATTTCAAAACATATCACCAATTGTCTGCAGTCATTGGTTCTTAGCATTGCTAGGTCCCTAACCAGGTAGTCTACACCTCCTTATGTCGTCGGCTGAAACAAATTGTCAGAGATTTTACGGACTGATTCCATGTTTTCGTTTGACCACCATCACTAGCTGTTTTCCAACCTGATCCTTTGTCAGCTAACGTTTTTCGTCGAGGTAGGTGATGGCTAGGCATGTGCCACACATGTCCTAACCATCTCAATCGATGTAGCTTCACAACCTCATCGAATGATTTCCTCTCTTTACTTAGCACTCGACCGAAGCCTCACCTCAGTATTAGTCGCTATATTATACCACCTAGCGTGGCATGGGAGATAGAACGCGGACATCTATGATCAAAGGCAGCTAGCCAGGCTTTTCATGTCTTCCACTTTTAATGGCCATGTCCCACTCACAGCCATAAAGGAGGACGGAGTAAAGTGACTGCTGAGCAGTATACACGTCCTTTGGTCGGCAGTCAGCCGGATATGAAATCTACTAAGCCAGAGATGAGATGGCGTAAGTTGGCATATGCCAAACGAGCCTTCTGTATCCGTGCTGAGATTTTGCCAGTGATCAGTCCGTTAGGGTTGATGTTATTCCCCAAATAAGTGAAGTGGTCAACACACTCTACCACATCACTGCCTGTCTTTAAGCTAGGAGTCGGTGCAGGTCCAACCCGGTTGCATCATCTTATATTTGACATGAGCAAATTTCATGTGAAACATTCGAAGATTACTGGTCAAAGTGTTCAGAAGACTCAGCTGGATTTTGTCAGCGCCTCCACGTAAGAAGACAATATTATACACACATTCTAAGTCAACAAGGCCGTTCCGTTGTAACAATTCAATCCGTTATTCACTGAAGTCAGTTAAGGTCAATCCCACTAGTACATCTATGATGAAATTAAACAGAAGTGGGGATAGTAGGCATTTATGGTGTACGACACCACTGGTTGTCATTACTTCAGATGACAATTCTGCGTAAGCTGTCAGATGGCTACGTGAGTTCGAGTAGAGCGCCTTGATTGGTGCGATGTACTAGTTTTTCAAAACTCCCTTAATGGCCAAACATTGCCATAGTAACTCTCGGTTGACGGAGTCGAATTCTGCCTTCAGGTCAAGAATTATGACAATTGTTGGACGCCGTTAAATACGGCTACATTCCAGAATCTATAGAAGGGTGAAGATACGATCAATACATCCTCTTTCTGGTTTAAAGTGTATCCACCCTCGGTCATAATGGATCGTTTATGGGAGCAAGCACTGAATATAATGTCGCGATGATGATGTAATGAGTACGAATTCTTTCTACTACTGAGGTCCATCTAGTCAGGAGTGAGGATGGAGTTCCCACCGATAACATTGGTTGGTGGTCGCGCTAAAAATCATGAATTGGTAAAAGTTACAATTCATGGACTGTCCATTGAGTCGGGTCCCAGTGGCTGAATGGTCTACGAGCTTGCCCTGTTACCGTCTCGAGGACCCCAAGCAGAAAGTCTACACCTTCCTACGTGGATTAAACTAACTGTTGTGGATTTCATTGACTGATGAAGCCATGTTTTCGTTTGACAGCCGTTACCTCTTTTCCAACCTGATCCTATGTCAGGTAACATTGCCCGTCGAGGAAGGCGATGACTAAGCATGTGTAACACATGTCCTAACCATCTCAGTCGATGTAGCTTCACAGCCTCGTCGATTGATTTCCTCTCCCGCCTACCTAGCATTCGACGCTTAACCTCAATATTGCTTACCCTATTACACCATTTTACATGGGAGATAGAACGCAGGCACCTATAATCAAAGACGGTCACCAACCTAATAAACACCACCTAGAATTCCAGGTCTCATAGCGTTGTTTAAACTAAGCATCTCTCGAGTAAAACAAACGCGTGCAAAACAGTTAGGCTTTAGCTTTGGAAGAGAGTTGCCAAGTGGAACATAAGGCTTCAACAACACATATCCACTTTGTTCTATTTTCTGCCATCCTCTTCAGTCGGGTCCACGATTGCCCAAACCCTCTCATCCCTAATTCAAACGATCTCCTCCATATCACCCTCGCACCGACGACCCACTCGTCGCTTTCCATTTGAATTTCATTCGAGGGCCTCCTCAACGTGCGCCTGATCCATCTCCATTTTCTGCTACATATTTGCTGAGCAACCGGCTCTTGGTTAGTTTGTTGCCAGAGTTTCTTGTTGCTCATTCTTTCTGGCCGACCGGTTGACTATTTGATCTTCATTATAGAGCCAATGCAGGCTGTTGGAAATCCTTTCCGTGACACGCAGTGCAAGTTTCTGACCCGTATAGAAGAAGTGACTGACTTCACTTACATTTGTGTTGAAAATCCGAATCTTGTTGTTTATGCTGAGGCGGAGTTCAAAAGATTTCCAAACTGGTTTCAGGTTGTTGAAGGCGTGCGTATCTCGCCTTTCCGATTCCAACTGGCTTTGACATCTTCATCCGTTCTAACTGCCTGTAGTTGAAATGATGCTTCCTGCATAAGTCAAGGAGGTTAACCTCTATCAAATCTCTCCCATGGATGGTGATTGGTACTTACTTTACTTTACTTCGGCTATCTCCTATGGAAGGATGAGCCGGCTTCATGAACATGAGTTCATGAAGTTTCATGGGAATTTGGTACGAGTGATGTCCCCAGAATCGCTTGGCCTTTTGTTTGAGAGTGCAGCTCTAGCCTTTACACAACCAAGTGTGACTTACAATGCAGTAGGAGTGGAGTAGGGAGTCCACTATCCATTGGCAGCCGGTGACCGGAGTTCGGTTCATACGCCTTTTTGAATGGGGCCAGATATCCAGGACATCCAACAAGCCCTTTGTCCATACGTCTCCCGGTGAGATCCAGTGAGCTTCATACGCCAGTCGTTGGAGGTTTGGAATCAGGGTTTAGCCATCTCCCCTAGACTGTCATGCAATGGACAGTCAACCCGGTGAAGAGCGCCGGGCATCCGCTTTCGCCCTCTCACTTTGGTGAAAAACACCTCTGCTACGTGAAGGCAGTGAGTAGGACTTCCTCAGGAGAGGCTATGTAAGACGCCCGATCACATGGGAGCATTTCAAGAGGTGTGCGGAGGGTTGGCCAACCCTTAGCCCAAGGCACCCACCCCCGACCATCCTGAAGCTTTGGAGGCTGGTTGTTGTTGTTGTTGCTGTTGGTTGGTTGGTTGGTTATCTTCCTCACCTCCGTAGTATGCGCAATTCCATATTAATCTGTTTATTGGATAAAGCACACACACACAGTGAAACAGTATTATTCATGGGATGAAAAAGTCTTGAATAAAATTCATTGGATTATAACTACACAACTTCAAAACTTGATTTTTATTATTCCATTTGTTGTAGAAGTAGTAGTAGAATTTTCCACATATCTTTGTCAGGTATTGGATCATTCCTATTCCATGTGTGTTCTCAGTTGTTCCGATACATAAAGCTTCTATCATAAATCACTGCGTCCGCCCTGTTATATTAGATTTTTGAAACTGTCATCTTATCCTATCCTATCCTACATTGTATGGTTGTGTGTAATTGCATGTAGTGAGTGCTATACCGCTCTGATCTACTATTTTGCTAGATTTCTTATCTTTTATTAGGATCATCTAATCTAGATTTTGTCTAGAGTTTTTTATGCTCACTCATTGCTAATCGAATTGACCCTTTCCTGATTGCTTTGGCCTATCTATCTATCTATTTGACCTGATAATCATTCCAGTAGGGTAGGGTACTAGATAAAACCAAGTTTTATACATACATGTATGTATGTGTGAATAAAAGAATTCAAACGTCTAACTTGTTAATCAATAAATCACATGGTGCTAATTAAAACAAACACGTTATTATGCCCTAATAATTATGTATTTCGATTTTTGTATTCAGAAAATAATAAATTTTATTCGAAACGTTATGCAGTGAGTAATACTGTTTCACCATTCACTGAATGAGGATGCAGCAAGCAAATACACTCGGGTGATGAGACCCAAATAGGACGAAATGCAGATCCTAGACTCCATACCTGTTTAACTGTAGTAGAGAAGCAAGATGAGGAAGTTGATGTGAGTAAAGGAGAATGATGCTCAGGAAGGCTTCGTGTGCTTTTGGAAGTGTGTGTGGGCGGTTGTTACTTCCCGGCTGCCCACACCGTGGAAGTTGGTTGATTCTTCGGATACCTGAAATAGAAAAAAGGTTAGTGTTGCGTGACGGCAGAGTCCAGGGGACAACTGCTTGAGGCCAGCCAGTCACACGCGGCCTGTATGAACTGGTTACTGGGATTGGTTCTGTATTAGTAAACTTACCGCCGGTTACGGACCACCGTAGGTGGGGTAAGTCGGGATGTACAATTGTTGGGGTCGACCTTTTCTAACCCCCCCTCTCCGGAGTGGAGAGACAGCATAACTGGCTGGCATGGTGGTCATCTGAGAGGAATACCTCACTGCTGTGACACCCCTATTCCTCAGCAGTACGACTTTGCCCTCAGACCCCCAGCATAGTGTAAGAAAGATTCTTACACTGCAGGAACATTGGTTCCAGCCAGTGTAGCTTGTTGGGTGATCGCGATGTGCAAGCCCGACCAGCACATCAAGGTAGCAGCTATCGGTCGGGACTCCATACCTAGTCACCACATCTACTAAATTACTTCACTGCTATATATATTTGCTTGCTGCATCCTCAGGGAGTGTTGCCAGTATTCCCAGTGGGGCTCGAACCCAGCATTCATCGTTTCAAATGTCAAAAGTGTAGCCTCGACTAGTCTGCTTGAGGAGTCCCAAAGTAAGACGAAACAGCTAACTGACCATACAATGCTCCCTGGTTTCCAATGTGATCTCTCTCCAACTGACGTTGATTCATGACGAAATCTAACAACTGTAAGTACTAAATAATCGCTTAAGGGAGGGGATGATATACACATATAGTGGCACATTTACATACAGCTTTGCGACTCTTTCTTTTTTTCTCAATTGTTACTATTTCTTTCTTTTTTACCTTTCAAGATAAAGATCCCAGTATACACAGTGAAGAGAATCACATCTACTCTGAGGTTAATAACAGCGGCAGTAACAATAGCAACAACAGCAATAATAATAATAATGGCACTAAACCTGAAATCCAAGAAGATCAGTCGCCGCTAGATAAGAGCACGTGTAAAGGTGAGTAATTTTCATCACAATTTTTTTTCACTACGTTGTGAGAGTTCCATTTCCAAATCGAGTGTGTGTCACTCCTAAACCTTGTTTGAACCCGCCCCCCCACCCGGTCAGTCCTAAGCCCAGTCAAGAGAGTAGATTGGGTGTGAGGCTAGAAAACCTCACTCTGTAGAAGGAAAGACATCACTGCTACTGAGACTTGAAAGCTGAATGCTTACAATCCTATGTTCTCCAATCGGATGAATGAAAAAAAGAATCATTTGTGGTGTTGTTAACGCCCACCTGTTCATATTTTATGGAGGTGAAGTATTCGACTACTACTAATGATGATAAGTAGTTTGAAAACATATGAAGAAAATTTCTAGTAGGTCAGTCAACCAGTAAGGCGATTACTTTAGTCGTTATAAATTTTCACAAATTTGACACTTACTTTATCATCATCATCATCAACAGACTTTTCATCGTTTTCAATTCATAGCTTACTGAAGGGGAATATTAATTTACTTTAATTTTGATTTTATCCCTTTACCTTCCCAATGGGACAAATGGCTTCAAGCTGGAGCTTTGAAGTTTCGGTACCAGTGGGTTTGGCAAAGTTCTCAACAATAGCGTCTCAAGGGATGAGAACGCATGAGTGACCTTCAGCCGATCAATGATAAAAATAAAGTGACTTTTGCACACAAAAAAATGACGTACTTTTACAAGAAAGTGCATGAAAACACATTGAACAGGGTATCTTTCTCTGACATGACTTAAAAATACGTACCAGTTATAATGAAGATTATCAATTGCTATGTTAGACTACTTTCTCTACATGTATTCACCGAGGTGACTAAAGACGAGCTGTTTTGTGAACTGTTTATCTCTCTCGTATCCTGTTGTGCAGTCTTCCCCAAAGCCCTCGGTTGTGATTTACTGTGATTTCCAGTAAGACGATCGACAACTACTTACCAGGATAATGTGGATAATAAAACAAATTAAAATAAATGACATAGACTCTAAATCCATCCCTAGTTGTAACCCTAACCCTAATACTAATTACGACCTTGACCCTAACCCTAACCCAATTACTTACCTTAACCCTAATCCTAACCCTAGAGAGCCAGTAACACATTGTCCAAACAGTAATTAAAAACGTGACCTGAGTGAAATTTGCTGCTTGGTTGATAAATGGCGTTGATATTTCACCTATGATAATGACAGATGCCGTCAGCCAACGACTAGCATGCGTTCAAGGTCATTGGAAGGGGGCGTTCGCACTCCCGGCACGCTATTGTTGAACTTCGCCGTGGGTTTTTAAAAAAATTTTTTACGGGGTGGGGTTGATAGTCGCCCTATGCTCAACCTTCCCTCTTTACCGATATTACGGTCGGCTTAGTGAGGTAAAGGAGTGCGTAAGGGGCCGGGGATTGAACCCTGAACCACATGTGTGTGGTTGGTGAGCATATTCTACCTCTGAACCACCGGCGCGCCTAATCCATGGAAGGTATTAGTGTGCAGGGATTTGATTGGTTTCAGGTTCGATTACGAACTGTCATTAGTTGGGAAGCCGCTGAAAAACCATGGATCAAACCTGTAGCCAATCAAATCCCTGAAGAACCCAACACTTGGTAATTAGTCTCTGATATATGCTCACTTTCGACATGCTCTGTTACCCCGGGGTTTTAGTGAGAAGTTGTGACCAACAGGGTCCACCTAGTCCGTCAGATAAGAGAACAGTATCTTAGCTGTGACATTGTCTAGCAGTTGTGCTGTACATATGTATCTTGCGGAATGGCAGTCGGAATATATATATATCGAGTCCCAGTGGCTAAATAGTCTAGGAGCTCGCCTTGTAACCGGAAGGTCCTGAATTTGGACCCAGATGGATGCATGCTATTGAAGAGTCCCAAATTAGGACGACACAACTGTCCATAGTCTCACATTTCCTCCTCACACGACCTTCTCCATGTCACCTTCGAAGTGACTCCCCACACATCGGGTGCTATTCGAGTTCCACTCGAGCGGTGGCCTGACTGGCTGGCACACGATGTCAGCGTGTGTCCGATCTATCTCCATTTTCTTCAATAGGTTCTTGCCTGTTGGCTTGTTCCCTGTCAGAGTTTCTTGTTGCTAATTCTCTCTGGCCGGCTGGTCATTTGATCTTTAATATGTAGCCAGTGAAGGTATCTGTTGATAAAAGTTTGGACTAACCTGCTGGAAATACTTTTGGTGACGCGCGCTAGCCAAGTTTTTAATCCGTATAGAAGCAGCGACTGACTTAAAATTTGTGTTGAAAATCTGAATCTTGTTCTTGATGCTGGCTGGGTGCAGAAGATTTCCTCCAAACTGTTTTCAGAGTGACAAAGATCTATATGGCCTTCCAGATTCTGGTTTTCACATCTCCATCTGTTCCCCTTGTAGTTGAGACGATGCTTCGTAGAGAGGTGAAAGAAGTAACCTCTTTCAAATTTCTCCCGTTGATAGGGATTGATGCCTCTTGTTGTTGTTGTTGGTTGGTTGGTTATTTTCATCACCATCTCCTCTATGTTCACTTGAAGTTCTGTCTTCTCTGCCAGCCTGTTTGTTGGTTTTCTCCTCCGAATCCTCGAGTTTGTGCGACATTAAACATAAATCAGCCACTGGCGAAATCCAAATCTTCTAGAGTCTTCTTATGGGTCCAACGTATTCCTCCTGTTTGGTTACAGGATTTAATAATGAGCTGACATGGTTCAGAGAACCATTGGAAAACCAGCTGGGAGTACTGGCCATCTGTTTCGTCGGCCTAGTCTGAGACTCTTTAGCAGTACGCATCCACCCCACCGGCGGGTTTCGAACCCAGGACCTTCTGGTCACAAGGCGAGCGAGCTCATAGACGATTAAGCCAATGCGACCCGACCCAATGACCAGCCCATGAATTTCAACTTCTGCCAATTCACGAAATAGCGCAACCACTAGCCAGTGTCATCGCTGGTCAGTATTTCTCCTCACTCCCGACCTGCTGTACCCTACTGGTCACAATTTTCCACTAAAACCCCAGGTAACTGAATAGAGCCGGTCACTAGTGAACATCTCATTGATATTCAACTATTCCTCCTGTCGTCTTACTGTCTACTCGCGGTGTTCCGCATATTCGAGTCCACCATAATTAGGAATATCGTCGTTGGTGATGATAGACAGCCTTTTCTGTTACACTTGTATTCTTTTCAAACGTGATAACATAAAAAAGAGAGAATATAAGTCATCCACTGTTATACCATATAAGAAGGGGACATCTGAGATCCTACATAGGATTCTGAATAAAGCAGGAATTAGAGTGGCATTCAAACCTACAAACTCACTCAGGTTGGACAAGCTCTATAGATTAAAGGACCCTGCCGGTTGACCCAATTAGACAAAATAATATAATTTACAAAATACCCTGCAAGGACTGTGAAGTCAATTACATAGGTCAGACTAGTAGGTCGGGGGTAGTCAGACTGTCGGAATATAAGAATTTAGCTAAGGTAAGAATGGTTGACCCCACCTGGGAAGATAAGTAATTTAGAAAAAAGCTCGGCAATTGCAATGCATGCATTAACACACAACCACACAATAGGGTGGGAGAGGGTTAAAATTCTAAAAAGTAATCTAGGTAGGTGGAGAGCAAGAGAGGTTGATTACTGAATCTTTGTTCATCGAGTCTACACCCAACACATGCAATAGGAATGAATCATCACTCATACCCGAAATATGGAAAATAATACTACCAATCAAATCAAGTGAAAAACAATGGACCTACATAAATGAATTTAGGAAGTCGTGTGATTACCTTGATATGATTATAACTGTATAAGACTGTGAAACTTTATCAAAACAACTTTTACCCATAATGGAATTCTTTTCAAACGCTCAATTTCGTGTATCTTTCACATTACTATGCATTATCATTTTTCGTTTCCCTCCAACTTTAAAAAAATTATTTTTCTCTTCGATATATATTTTTTTAAAATTTAGGCGAAAAATTCGCTTGTGATCATTGTGAGAAGAAATTCAAAACAAAATCATATTTAAGTGAACATATAAAAGTTATTCATGAAGGTAGGTGGGAGGGAGTCTTTTGATATCTATCTCTGTCTGATTGTCGGCTTTTTTGTTGGTTTTAAAAAGAAATTTATTCGCCTCGTTTGTTTTGTGTTGTATTCTGCTGTTTTACGAATGAAAAAAAGGAGGATCGATATTTATTATTATTATTCCCTTGTATTCTTAGTGGAACATAGGACTTCAACAATATATCTCCACTTTGTCCTGTTTTCTGCCGTCTTCTTCAGCTGGGTTCATGATAGCCCATAATCTCTCATCTCCTCCTCGTCATACGATCTCCATGTCACCTTCGCACTGACTACCCACTTATCTTTTACTATTGGGATTCCACTCGAGCAACGGCCTGACGCGTGATGTATGCCCGATTCATCTCCATTTTCTCCTACATATTTGTTTAATATATTGAGGTTAGGCGTCGAGTGCTAGGTAAATGGGGGAAATCAATCGATGAGACTGTGAAGCTACATCGACTGAGATGGTTAGGGCATGTGTTACACATGCCTAGTCATCGCCTTCCTCGACAAACGGGCAATGTTACCTGACATAGGGTCAAGCTGGAAAAGAGCCAGTGGTGGTCAAACCAAAACATGGCACCAGTCAGTAAAATCTACAACAGTTAGTCTAGGCCACGTAGGAAGGTGTAGACTTCCTTACTGGTTGGGGTCCTCGGGACGGTAAACACTAATGAAGGCTGAAGACAATTGGTGATATGGCTCAAAATCCTTGTTCTCAATGGCTGGCGCAGATGCATTCACTCCTTGTGAATTATGATTTCCAATGAAACTATATTGTTCTTCGTTATTACTATACCTTTTTCTCGCACCTCTGTTTACTGTCTTTATTATGCATTTCTCCTACTTTCTTCTCTTGCTTTGTGTGCTACATGGGTGAGTGTGGCGACTTGAACTGCTGCACATCGATGCAAAGTTCTATGTTGAAAACAGACAAAGACAGATTATGGTTCAAAAGCTTGGTGTGTCACCAACAGCATTTCCAACAGCCTGTTGCAGACTTTCATCAACACCTACACCTTTCGCCTCATACTGAAGATCAGGTAGATTGCAGGTCACAAAGGGATCGTTGAGTAGTAGTGACATCGCGCCTTTCAAGGCCTTAAGCAGACGCCGAATAGGAAACAACGAGTGGTGCGTCAGTTCCAGGGTGACAAGGAGGAGATTGGTGTAAGGAGGAGATGCCAGCCTAATGACCATTTATGGAGCAGCTAGTTAAGCAGAACATTGAGGTTATATATCAATTTTAAAAAAATTTTAGATTTTGATATTTTCTGTACAATGTTTCATCCATCTTTCTATGTGTTTTCTCTGTTTTATTTCATTTTTTGTTCTACACAGGCATTTTAATCCAATGTGATGAATGTGGTAGTGGTTTCAAGTCAACTAGTTCGCTTAAAAATCATATTAATCTAGTACATAAAGGTAAGTGGGTTGTGTTTCTTTTCACATTCTTTACTGTCTGTCTGTTTGTCTGTCTATCTGTCTCTCTCCCCTCACTGCCTGACGAATCAGCGTGTTACTTTGGTACAGATGTGTATACCGCTTCAGTTGAAACATTTCGGGAGAAAGTAAATGAAAGAAGAGAAGAAGCAGATAGTGTAGTGAAGAGTAAGGAAGATAAACAGGGTCTTCTAAGTATCCTGAGAAGGTATATCTGTTCTTCCCTATACATGACTTAGAACGTGGTTGAAAACTTTACAGATCGGTTCCACGTTTTTAACTTGATCATAACTAACTCGTAAACTCTTTCGCACTTCATTTGAAGCTTTATAAACAGCCTATAAAAGAAATTAACCTGAAGAATGTGTGTGTGTGTGTGTGTACACATGTAAGGGTTCCCTCTTCCGTTAGATTTCAGTGCAATAGATCTGGGGAGATTCTTATTCATTCTATGGTCAATTTAAATTATATCGATCCACGGAATGCGGACGTACGAGTAACCTTGAACTGACCAATCAGGAAATGCAATTGTTTTTGCATAAAAATGGCGTATGCTTGCAAGAGGAATACATGATGAAAACACATTAAAAAGGCTTTTCATTGGCTAACTGGCGTCTTAGCGTAGCTTCCCGATGTGATTGTTTTATAATTACACTGAGAAATGATTACTGAAGTTTGATTGATGATGAGGAGAGGGACTTAGTATTATCACCTGTAGCTTATTTAATTTCAGTTAGACATGAAGTTAATTGGTGGATAATGACTAGCAGTGGTTCAAGTGGTCTAGTGGATAACACTTTGACGTTTGAAACTATGGGCACTGGGCTCTAGCCTCAGTGGGAACATCATCACTCACTGCGGAATGCAGGTAAATCCAGATGACGAGTCCCAAATAGAACGAAATGCGCATCCTGAATTCCACTGTTAGTCACCATCCACCAATTAATTTCTAATTACATGCCCAGACATCGTCGAATCATCTGCATAAAAAGCCGACATGTCAACCTGAAACCGAACACTTTGGTCCAATCAATCGACGGGAAAATGTAAAATCAAATGAAACAGTTACACATGGTTTGAAATCGATAACCACTTTTCTAAATAACTTCAGTCGAAAATTCCACACTGTGCACTAACACAATGATAAATACATATAAGTTACTATGATTGATTTAGAGCCTTCGCTTAATGCTAATAATCTTCAAATTCGTCTGCATCAGCGTAACCAAGAACCCTTCAACAAACAAAGAATTTATGAATAATGTACGTTATGTACTAGAATAACTATCTGACCACAGATTTTTGCGTGTTTTGATGAGGGATACTGAGGTTAGGCGTGTTGAGTGCTACGAGAGGAAGAGAGGTCTATTGATGAGTTTGTCAAGCTACATCGGTGAAGATGGCTACGATACGTGTTGCACACACTGAGCTACCGCCTTCTTCGTCAAAGGTTAAATAAAAAGCTAACATTAATTCATGAAGTCTTTGACTGATAGTCTGAGCCATGGTGGAGAGACTCCTCAGTAATGGACACCTATGATCCCTTTAGGGATCGAACCGTTAAGACTTAGGTTTACGAGGTAAATTCATCGACCGTCCAGTCAGTGAGATACAAGCCAAATTAGCGCATGAATCTTGCCAATTTATCCCAACACTTGAAAACATCATTTGCGGTGGTTGAAAATACTTGTATTAAGGCTTTTTTACTGATGAACAAACTGTAACAACAGAGGAGATTACTTCTAAGAGCGCTATCCATATGTTAAGAATGGTAGTTTCTATGTTGAATTTCATAGTTTCAACTACTACATGTGGCCAACAGGGATAAGGATGTCAAAGCCGGCCATGACAGGAAATGCCAGACAGAGGAGGAGGAAATCTTCTACACTCAGCCAGCATAAACAACAAAATCAGGATTTTCAACACAAATGTTAAGTTGGTCACTGCTTCTGTGTGGATCAGAAATTTGGTCCACGCGTCACGAAAAGCATTTCTGGAAGTTTCCTTTAAACTCTCATCAACAGATGCCTTCTCACTGGCTACATATTAAAGATCAAATGGCCAACTAGCAAGAAAGAATTAGCAACAAGAAACTTTGACAGGGAACGAACCAACAGGCGACAACCTATCGCTCATTAAGTATGTAACAACAGAAGACAAGGGCCAGGCAACAGATCGTTTATATTTAGGAAATCAACAGATATTTATAGATTTTCATGTACATTATTATAGATTATTGTAAGCAAACAAACACAGTCTTCTGATTGGTGGTTTCTCGTTGAACCTTAATCTTTCATCTCCTCTTTGTGGCCGTTTCTTGAAGTTCAGACTGTCTATCTGCAAATTTTATCCGCCTACGCAAAGTCTGCTGCGGTTGGTTGTTGAATCAGTCTTTGTTCTTGTTTTTTTCTCATGATCACTATTGGGGACGTACATATTGGCTGGCGTAAATTACTGTCTACCAATTTGACTAGCAGCCAGCTCTCACCACAAGTATGCAAAAGGAAATGGAGATGGATCGGACACACGCTGAAGAGACCATCGAATGACATCGCGCGCCAGTCAGGCCATCGCTCGAGTGGAGCCTGAATGGAAAACAACGAGTTGGACGACACTTCGAAGGTTTGAGAAGCACATGAGAGACTATGAACAATTGTGTGATCAGCTAAACAGAATTGCACGAAATGGGAACTAAGTGGGGATGTGCTGTTTGCGTCCTATGTTCCACTTGGAACACATGGGAACAATAACAATACACAAAATAATTAAGCAAAGAATATCCTTTTCGATAAATTCCTCTTCTGGCTCTACAGTTATGTACATATGTTAATATACATAGAATATTCTAAATTAGTAGTCAATACCAATATTAGTGTTTTTTAAATAATATAGATTTGTAAAGTATGATCACAATGGAATTACAGTTCATTAAAGATGCATAAATTATAACAAGCATAAAAATGTTATAGCAAATAGAATATCAACTAAAATTAAGGAAAATTCCACAACAAACTGAGGATCATTAGAACCTAGATGGCCAAGGTAATGATAATGACTGAACTAACTTCTTTTTTTGGATGCACAAATTAGGCTTCTTGATTTGGATCCCGACAGCTAGCCTCAGCAATATTTAGTAGTCGAACTCTTAAAGCAAAATTGAGGTTCGTAGTTATGCGGTATATGACTCTGAAAGCATGGTTAACATCAATCTTGTGTTCTGTATCCACAAGATGAGATAGAATAGCGCTATATGAATAGATTTTGTTTGTCCTTTACTTAACCAGCCACGCAGGGTGATATTTGGAAATCCGACAAGAAACACGCTTTACTGTACGGCCTATGTAACTGGCTCCACAGGAGCAGTTAAATTGGTAGACACACATGGAAGAGGCTAGATTAGGCAGTTTGTCTTTTATTCCCGAACTCAGAAGAGGGGTGATTTTAAAGATACAGCGTAATTGAGCAGCAGGGAATGCTCTTGTTACCGCATTTCATGCTTTCAGGGTCATTTACTGCATACCTACGAATCTCGATTTCGCTTTAAGAGTTCGACTACTAAATATATATAATTGTAGGGCCGGAAGAGGAATTTATCGAAAAGGATATTCTTTGCTCGATTATTTTGTGTTTTATAGATATCTGAATGAATATTTTTGCTATAATAATAATAATAATAATAATAATAATAAAGAAAGTGATTGATTCAGAATTACTCCTCTTATATATATATAGTCTTTTTCAATTCTACATTCAACCGGGAATTTGTATTGAAATCTTTCTTAACCTTTTTTCAGGTCTAGGATTTCAATGTCATTATTGTAACAAGGTGTTTACACAAAGGCATACCCTGATCATACATGAAGAATGCGTTCATAAAGGTAAATTAAACAGTTAATATATGTATTGTATGTGGTTCCTTCATGAATATATGTTCTTCTTCTTACTATTATTTGTTACTACAACTAGTCTTGTTTCATTGTAATATTCTAGTGTTACACAATAAGACGCAAATTCACACACACATACACACTTCATGGCTCATTTTGCATATTAAAGCATCGTTAAGACCAACTGTATTTGATATTTTTATATTATAGCCCAACTTTGTGGGCTTATGGAAGTGAGTGGGCGGTTATCACTTGCCAGCTAGCTGCCCACACCGTTGAAGTTGACTTCTTGTTAGAGTCCCTGAAACAGAAATGATATTAATCTTAGAGAACCCTGGGGGACAACTGCTTTAGGCTGGTCATATATAGTTTACTTGAAGTAGGTTGGGATCTTACCAGCGACTACTGTCCGCTGCATAGTATAATTTTCGGAGTTGACCTTTTCTATCCCCTTCACCCCTGGAGTTGAGAGGAAGTATTGTAACAACAGAAGACAGGGGCCAGGCAACAGAACATTTATTACGAAAAATCAACTCCTATTTATAGATTTTTACGTACATTATTGTAGGTTAATGTTAGTAGAAAATACAGTCTGTTGATTGGTTGTTTCTCACACAAAGTTAACCTTGCATCTCTTGTGGCTGTGTCAGTTCATCTATATGTTAACTGTATCCGCCTGTCCATCTTGACCTTTGACCTCAATTACTGTCAACCAATTTGGCTAGCAACCATCTCTCACCACAGTATAACTGGCTTACTGATCAACTGAGGGGAACAACTTACTGTTACGACTTCGCCTACACACCTCCAACATATTTTGAACAGCTTACACTGTAATAGTAGCTGCTTCGAGGCTAACCGCTATCCGAAAGACTTTCCTGGAATGGTGGGACCTACGCAAATATTAGTTCCAGCTAGTGTAGCTTTTTGGGTCATTGGAATATGCAAGCCCGACCACCACATCATAGGAGCGGCTATCGGTCAGGCTACTTCAGCTTAGGCAAATGAGGGGGGGTAGTATCATGAATGCAAAAGATATTTGTAGTTCATAGTCTTCTGGCAGTTGACATCAAAGAAAAGAACATTCGTAGACCACATACATGTCAATGGATTGAGTGATGAGCTATGCTTACCGTACTGTATGACTGTACAAATTGGATTCTTGGGTATTGCAGTGGAATATTTGGCTTCATAGTATAACAGTCTATCTAATACACCTTAGTATTCTACTCAAACTGAATGCTTTTCCTACAAGCTTCAAAATGACAAATTTATGTAGACTTAGGGAAATCAATCGATGAGGCTGTGGAGTTATACCGATTGAAATGGTTAGGACATGTGTTACGCATGCCTGCCTAGATATCGCCTTCCTCGACTGACGGGCAATGTTAGCTGACATAGGGTCAGGTGGGAAAAGAGTTAGGCAATGGTGGTCAAACCAGAACATGGTTTCATCGTTCAATGAAACCCACAACAGTTAGTTTAAGCCAGCCAGTCACGTAGGAAGGTGTAGACTTCCTGACTGGTTGGGGTCCTTGGAACGGTAAAAACCGTTGAAAAAGCTGGAGACATGGTGATATGGCTCAAACTCATCGTTCTCAATGGCTGGCGCAGATGCATTCACTCCTTGTGACTTATAATATCCAATAAAACTATATGGTTCTTCCATATTACTATTCTTTTTGTCTCATATCTTTGTTTACTGTCACTATTTTGAATCTCTTTTTACTTTCTTCTCTTTCTTTGTGTGCTACATGGAGGGAGTGTGGCGACTTGAACTGCTGCACATCGGTGCAAACTGCTATGTTGAAACCAGTCAGTCAGTATGTAAACTTATTATAGTGTTAGTTTATACACTACTTATAAGAGCATTTGCAAGTAGTATGTACATGGAAGTCGTTTAGGAAGGTAATAAGAGAGATATATGCTAGAGAAAGAAACAAGGTTAGCAAAATATGATGTAAATTTTGGGTGTCTTCAAGCTAGAGACATTTGGAGTTTCGGTAGCAGTGGTGTTTATTTTTACGGGATAGGGTTGCTAGCCACCTCATGCCCCCCAACCTTCCCGCTCTTTACCCGTCTTATTACTGGCTTAGCGAGGTAAAGAAGTGCGTCAGTGGCCGTGGATAGAACCCCGAACCACATGTGGGCGTAGTTGGCGAGTATTCTATCGCTGTGCCACCCACTCACTTTTTCGGGTATACTACTACTACTACCAGATAAACGAGGTTATTAGGAGTGTTTTCAGCTCGAAATTTGATCCGGATCTCTTGCGTTGTTGGCCAGGTTTGCATCATTGAACCACCGAGACCTCAATTTTTTCTTACGCAATTTATTCATTTGGTATTTTTGAAATATCATTCTATATATTGTGTAACCATGTTATGTGGAGTTGATTGACAGTAGTCCTACTAGGATTCAACACGACCTCACTTAATTTTGTAATCCAAAAGTTCATTAATTATCCGATGATTGGTGTTTTACCTGTTGACATTCAATAGATGAATATTAGAAGAAGGAAAAGCGTAGAAAGAGAAGAAGAAGAACTGTTTTTTGTCGAACTCATTCACTCCGGAATAGATCTGTAATTTACACTAAGATATGAGGCACAATTATCGCTTGAGAACTACTAATAGTTTTCCATCCAGTTGCTCAGGTTGAATTAGCTAAAGTGGGACTCGAGCCGTTGATCTATTTGATTGAAAGCTGGCTACGCTTAAACCGATGGGAAACAGAAGAAGGAAGAGTACGGATACAGAAGCCTCGTTTAGCGATTGCTAACTCACGCCATCTCTTTCTCTCTCCCCAGCGACATGTGATATCCAGTTGGCTATCGATTAAAGGACGTGTGTACTGCACAGTGTAGCAGTTCCCTCTGTCCTCATCTATGGCTATCAGCGACACAGGGACATTGGAAGTGGAAGACATGAAAAGCTTGGCTAGCTGTCTTTGATCATAGGTGTCCGCGTTCTATCTCCCGTGTTAGATGGCATAATAAGATGAGGTTAGGCGTCGAGTTGTGAAGGTGAGTCGATTAGGATGGTTAGGACATGTGCTGCTCATGCCTGCCTAGCTATCACCTACCTCGACGGGCAGTGTTAGCTGACATACGACCAGGTTGGAAAAGAGTTAGTGGTTTGGTGGTCACACCAAAGCATCAGTCAATGAAATCCATAACAGTTAGTTTATGTCAGCCAGTCGGCCAACCATGTAGGGAGGTGTAGACTTTTCTAACTGGCTGGTTGCGGTCCTCGGGATGGTAAGAACCAATAAAACCTTGAGTTAATTGGTGATATGGCTAAAATCGTTGTCATTGGCTGGCTTAGATGCATTCACTACTCTTTGTGATTTGTCATATCCAATAAAACTATTGTTCTTCCATATTGCACTTGTGTTTATTACCTCTCCTTTTGACTCTTTTATTACTCTCTTCTCTTGCATTGTATGCTACATGTAGGCACATTGGGGACTCGAACTGTTTCACATCTGTGCAAAAGTTCTATTGTTGAAACCAGTGAGTGAGGCAGTCAGTCGCACTATTAGAAGTTAGAATTCATGAGCCATTGAATCAGGTCCCAGTGGCTGACTGAATGGTATACGAGCTCGCTTGCCTTGTAACCGTAAGGTCCTGGGTTCGAACCCCGTGATGTTGGTGCGTACTGCCGATGATTCCCAAAAACTGGGGGAATGAAACAACTGTCCAGTACTCCAGTGCTGATTTTCAATGGTTCTCTAACTGATGATATCAATCCGTGATCAAACCCTTCTCAGGCATGAGGCTAGCAACCCCACCCTGTAAACAAAGCTGCTACAGAAACTTCAGCACGACGAATCTCCTTGCGCCAAACTCGTATAAACAAAACTAATCCTTACAAACCAACTATAGAGTAGATGTGTTTTTTAATTTGGTGGTTTCATTAGGCTGTACACTTTTGTTTGTTCTATTTTACTCCTTATAAAGATGAATAATTTGATTGTGTTTATTGATTTTCTTTTCTTTTTTTTAAAATTTCTTTCACCAGGTATAAAAATATCTTGTGATCATTGTAATAAGAAATTTGCATCAAGATGGTATTTAAAAGAGCATATTACAATTGTTCACGAAGGTTAGTCTCATCACAATTTCTATTTTTTTATTTTGATGCAATTCACTACACACAAATTGCCTTTCATTTCATTTAACCTGGAAAAAATAGTGATGTCAATTTGTCACTACTACAATGTGTTGAATTAAACTCGATCATCCAGTATTTCAATCATTAACAAGTGTATTACTACTTAAACGTGAATGGTAGTACCAACTACTCAAATCGCTTTATCAGTAGTATGTGCCGCTTGATCTTAATAACTGCTTAGGTTCATAGGAGAGATTACGTTACATGCTGATTAGAAATTATGAATCTTCTTGTTGTGAATGTGTTCTTTTTTTAGTCGGGTGCGGAACTTTCATTGTCTTCCTAGACAACTTCTTCAGCGAAAATTCTAATAGGAAGTTAGTATTAATCATCCTCTCTATTTCTCCTTCTTTAGTGCCCACTGATCATCTTCTTCGAAAAGCAATGTTAAGAGTGATGTAAGATTAGATTGTAAAAAGAAGAGTTGAACGTGGTCCTGATTTCCACGATTGTTAGCCTGAATTACTTTAAGTAAATGTAGACTACCTGGCTGGGGATCGTTGGAATTCTAAGAACCAACGTCTGGAGACTGTTGGTCTCTGTCTGTTTTCGATATAGAACTTTGCACATATGTGCGGCAATTCAAGTCGCCACACTCCCCCCATGTAGCACACAAAGCAAGAGAAGAAAGTAGGAGAAATGCATAATAAAGACAGTAAACAGAGGTGTGAGACAAAGGAATAGTAATAACGGAGAACAAAACAGTTTCATTGGAAATCATAAGTCACAAGGAGTGGATACATCCGAGCCAGCTATTTAGAATGATTTTGAGCCATATCACCAATTGTTTCCAACCGTTGGTTTTTACCGTCCCGAGGACCCCAACCAGGAACCCAGTCTACACCTTCGTGCGTGGCTGGCTTAAACTAACTGTTGTAGATTTCATTGACTGGTGAAGCCATGTTTTGGTTTGACCGTCGCTGACTAACCGTTTTACAGCCTGACCCTATGTCAGCTAACATTGCCCGTCAGTCGAGGAAGGCGATGACTATGCAAGACATGCGTAACACATGTCCTAACCATCTCAGTCGATGTAGCTTCACAACCTCGTCGAATGATTTCCCCTCCTTACTTAGCACTCGACGCCTAACCTCAATATTGCTCACCTGATTGTTGGTGACAACATGGCTACAAATCTTTTCCATTTAGAGTGTGAAGGTTGAAATGATTCTACTTAAAATGTAAATGGTATCTAATGGAATGAATGAATTAGAGAGTGACAGAATAAAAACCAAATAATTGAGCAGTAGGGAATATCCTTTCCGATAATTTCCTCCTCTTCTAGCTCTACAATTATATATCATGCATATGTTTATGTGCTTGGTCCACCACAGAGCAAGAGCAATCTGCTCGGATGAATACCTTGATGAGGAACTTTTAATAATATTAAACGGTTGCTGAGTGAAAGCGGTTATCGAGAAAAATTCATTGATAAGAATATGAGTCTAATATCAAGACAGCCTTAGGTACCAACAGTTCCTAAAAAGGCCCACCTTATTTTCACAGATTCAGTTCCTTGGGGATAACATCAGCGAGATACTAACACAACGCCTAAGGAATACGGCGGTAAAAAGAGCATTCCCTGCGAATGAATTACGCGGTGTCTGCAAAACCACATCCCCCTGTTTTGCATTCGGGAGTAAAAGGTAAACTGCCCTATTTCGCCTAATCTATATGTCTGAATCTATCAATTTAACTGCTTCTGTGGAGTGAGCCAGTTACATAGGCCGTACAATTAGGTGTGTTTCTCGTCGGATATCCGAACATCACCCTGCGTGGTTAGTTAAATAAAGGACAAACAAAATCCATTCATAGTGCTGTTCTATCTCATCTTGTGGATACAGAACACAAGATTGATGTCAACGAGGCGACTTTTAAAGTCATTCACCACATACCAACAAATCTTAACTTCGCCTTAAGAGTTCTTCTACTACATATTGCTGAGGCTGGCCATTGGGATCCACATTAAGAAGCCTAATTTATGTGTCCAAAAGAAGCTAGTTCAGACATTGTCCTTACCTTGGCCATCTAGGTTCGAATGATCCTCAATTTTTGTGGAAATTTCCCTAATTTTAGTTGATATTCTATTTTTCATTATATTTTTACTATTATTATTATTATGATTTAAGCATCTTTAATGAACTTTAATTCCATTGTGGTCTTACTTTACAAATCGATATTATTTAAAAAACACTAATATTGTTATTGACTATTATTCTAGAATATTTTGTGTATATAAAGTTGTATATATAATTGTAGAGCCAGAAGAGGAAATTATGGGAAAGGATATTCCTTACTGCTCAATTATTTTGTTTTTTATAGATGTCTGAATGACAGAATATATAGAAGTGTGTATTAACAATAATGAACACGTTTCTCCTTAATACGTCCTTTATTTTATTAAAGAAAGGGCTGATTTCATAATATGTGCTTTCAAGCTTTCTTAGTGAGATTACAGTTATGCGACTATCAATGTTATTATCGTATATACTACTGACTATTTGAACGTCACTCACATCAACTAGTACAGTAGTGTTTGCCTTGTCAGCTATTCAGATCGAAATGACCATAAATCATGCAGTTATGCGTGCCGTATTGATTGTCTTTCTTGGCATCAAGTAGATTACATGTAAGAATAAAAAAGTTTGAGCAGGATAGCATGAAGTCATTATGTTACTTGTTAATTCTCATCAACTGCATACAACGTGACCTGATATTGCTACAGGATCCATATACAAACTCTCCGCATACTTAACTAAATGGTTAGGTTATATTATTATTATTCCCTAGGGTTCCAAGTGGGACATAAGGCTTCAAAGACACATCTTCACTTTGTCCTATTTTATGCGATCCTATTTAGTTGGCCCCACAATTGCCCACAATAGTCTTTCTCTCCTATCCTCCTCACACGACCTCCTCTATTTCACCCTAGAATGACCTACTCGTCGCTTCCCATTGGGATTCCATACAAAAAATGACCTGGTGCACGGTATCATTCGACGGCCCTATCCATCTCCATTTTTCTCGAGATATTTGTTGAGCATTCACCTCTTGGCTGGTTTGTTCCACTGCAGAGTTTCTTGCTGCTAACTTTTTCTGGCTAGCTGACCATTTGGTCGTCAGTATGAACTCAGCGAAGTGGGCAGCTGTTGATAAAAGTTTGAAGTAGCCCGCTGGAAATGCTTTTCGTGGCACGCTGGTCATGTTTCTGACCCGTATAGAAGAACCGACTGACCTACTTCACATTTGTGTTGGAAATCCGAATTTTGTTATTTATGCCGGTTGAGTGTAGGAGATTTCCTCCAAACTGACTTCATAGTGATGAAGATCTGTCGTACATTTTCTTGTTCTGGCTGGCTTTGACATCTTCATCCGTTCCGATTGCCTGTGGAAGTAATCACTGTGAAATCTCTCCTCTTGATGGTGATTGGAGCTGGTGGTTGTTATTTGTTGTTGGTTGGTTATGCATCTGCATTACCTCCGCCTTCTCTATGTTCACCTGAAGTTGTGTTTTCGCTGCCTGACTCTTCAGCCAGTTTTTTGGTTTTCGCCTGCAGGACTTCGAGTTTGTGTGACATTAAACTTAAGTCATCTGCGAAATCCAGATCTTCCAGAGTCTTCTTATCAGTCCAAAGTATTCGTCCTGTCTTCCCGCTCTGGCGTTCCTCATAATCCTGTCCACCACAAATATGGGTAATAATAGGCAGCTTTGTCTTACTCCTGTCTTTATCTAAACACCTCTCTGAGTTCTTAGTTGTGGATCACCTGACATGTGGCATTGTCATATAGCTGCTTGTTCATGTTTGTGCTTTTTTTAAAAAGAAAATCGAGTCTTATCTGATTGGTAGTTCAAGGTGTTATTTTGGTTGGATCGTTCGCCTGCTTAGTCGCTATACACTTTATGTCTAGCTCGGTGTACTTGTTGAGCAACAACAGGTTTTCGCCTGTTGGTTCGTTCCCTGTCAGAGTTTCTTGTTGCTAATTCTTTCTGGCCGGCCGGCTGGTCATTTGATCTTTAATGTGGAGCCGGTGAAGGAGGCTGTTGCTAAAATTTTAAAGTAGCCTGTTGGAAATGCTTTTCGTGACGCCGCTGGCCAAGTTTTGAATCCACATAGAAGCAGAGAGTGACTTAACATTGAAGTTAAAAATCCAGATTTTGTTGTTTATGCTGGTTGAGTGTAGAAAATTTCCTCCAAACTGTTTCAGAGTGATAAATATCTGTATGGCCTTCCAGATTATAAATTCCATCTGTTCCGCTTGTATTTGAGACGATGCTTCGTAGATAAGTGAAGAAAGTGACCTCTTTCAAATTTAACCCGTTGATAGTAATTGATGCCTGTTGTCGTTGTTGTTGGTTGGTTATTTTCATCACCTCCATCTTCTCTATGTTCACCTGAAGTCCTGTCTTCTCTGCCAGCCAGCTTCTTCAGCCAGTTTGTTGGTTTTCTCCTCCAAGTCTTCGAGTTTGTGTGACATTAAACATAAATCATCCACTGGCGAAATCCAGACCTTCCAGAGTCTTCTTATGGGTCCAACGTATCCCTGTCTTTCACTTCCATGCAAAGTCTGACGCATAATCCCATCCACTACAATTATGAATATCCTCGTGGACCATAATAGGCAGCCTTATCTTACTACTGTCTTTTTTACTTCAAACGCCTCTCTGAGTCCTCAGTTGTCGAATCACCTGACATATGCCGTTGTCATATAGTTACGTGTTCATGTTTGTGCCCATTTTGTAAAATTCAGTCTCTTGTCATTGGTTTTTCAAGGTACTATTGGCAAAGTTTAACAATAACGTCACAAGGAATGCGAACGCATGAGTGACCTTCAGCCGACCAATGATGAAGATAAGTGACTTTTGCACATAAAGTGACTTATATTTACAAGAAAGTGCATGAAAACACATTAAACAGGTTATCTTTCTCTGATATGCTGCTGCTGCTGCTGGATTCAACATAGAACTTGGCACCGAAGTCCAGCAGTTCGAGTTGCCACGTTCCAAATAGCACACAAAGGTAAACAGGAAAATGAGAGAAGAGAATCAATAGAATTTAGATAAGTATAAGATTGAAACAGAATGAGTAATGGTAGAAAGGAATATGAAGGTTAAAGAGACTGAATACACCTGCGCCATTGACAACGTTTTTGAGCCATGTCACCTATTGTCTCCAGCCATTGATTCTTAGAGTCCCGACGGTGGGCCCCAACCCGGAAGTCTGCATCTCCCTACCTGACTCAGTTTAACTGTCAGGGATTTCATGGATTGATGAGGCCATGTTTTTGTTTGGCCACCACTTGCTCTTCTCCAACCTGCACCTATATCAGCTAGTAATGCCCGTCGGGGGGGGGAGGCGATGGTTAGGCATGCTCAGCACGTGACCTAGCCATCTCAATCTATGTAACTTTATAGCCTCGTCGATTGATTTTCCAGCTCGATGCCCAACACTCTACGCTTAACGTCAACATTACTTACTTTATTATACCACCTAACGCGAGAAAGAGATCGTAAACATCTGTGGTCAAAAACAGACAATCTCTTCATGTCTTCCGCTCTCAATGGCCACGTCTCACCGCCATAGAGAAGTACGGAGCGAACTGCTGAGCAGTATACACGTCCCTTGGTTGACAGCCGGATGTCACGCCTACGCCAGAGATGGTATAAGTTAGCGAAAGCAGCCCGAGCTTTCTGGATCCGTGCTGTGATTTCGTCACCAATCAATCCGTTGGTGCTGATATAACTTCCCAAATAGGTGAAGTGGTCAACATGTTCTATCACTTCACTCCCTATCACTAAGCTAGGAGTTGACGTAGTCCAGTCCTGTAGCAGCATCTTACGTTTCACAGGGGCGAATCGCATGCCAAACATACGAAGATTGCTGCTCAGGGTGTTCAGAAGACTCTGCATTTTGTCAGTGTCCTCCCCTAACAGGGCTATGTCGTCTGCTTATTCTAAGTCTATAAGACTATTCCCTGGTAACAAGTCGGTTCCTAAGTCATTAAGTTCAGTTAAGGATGCTTCCATCAGCATATCTATGATGAAGTTAAACAGAAAAGGGGAAAGTGGACATCCTTGACGGACACCACTGGTTGTTCTCAATTCAGATGACGATTCCCCATAAGCCCTTACACAGCTACGTGAGTTTGAGTAGAGTGCCTTGATTAGTGCAATGTACTTTCTTGGCACTCCCTTCATAGTCAAACATTGCCATAGAACCTCTCGATCCACGGAGTCGAAGGCCGCCTTCAAGTCAAGAAATATGGCAATTGTTGGACACCTAAAAGTGTGTCTATGTTCTAGGATCTGTCGGAGAGTGAAGATATGATCTATGCACCCTCTACCTGGTCTAAAGCCCGCTTGATTTTCCCTCGTTTGTTCCTCCCGAGTTCGGCTTAGTCTGTTCATGATTACTGAGCCTAGGATTTTAGAGACTATGTTCGTTAAGCTGATCCCCCTATGATTATCACATGACGACTTGTCTCCCTTCTTGAAAATCGGTATAATAAGTGACTTACCCCAGTCTGATGGAACCGTCTCTGATTCCCAGACGTTACCTAGTACCTTAGTTAAACTATATACTAGTATGTCACCCCCATATTTATATACCTCCGGAATAATTCCGTCGGGTCCTGCCGCTTTGCCTCGTTTCAAATTACAGATTGCTTTGGTGACCTCACTTACAGACGGCGGGCCAGTGTCTATGTCCCATTCGGGTGTGTGCTGGATGGCGGGGAGGCTCAGTGTGGCTGTAGGCAAGTTAAACTGTTCCTCGAAGTGTTCTTTCCAGCGTTCGAGGCGTCTATCCTGAGAGCTAATTAAAGAGCCATTTTTCTCACAAATAGTCTCATTTATGATTTGCCTTCTCCCACCCGTTTCTCTGATGAGTCTAAAGAGTTGCCTAGTGTTGCCTATCGCCGATGCTTTTTCCATCTCTTTCGCCTTTGTCAACCACCACTGTTCACGGTCCTTGCGGAGACTTTTCGTAAGTTTCCTTTTGTGCAGCTTACGCTCCTCATTGAATTCGGAGCTCGCCGGAATAAGTCTTCTAGCATCTATCAGTTCGGATGAGGCAGTCGAAATCCAATAGTTTTTACTCACCTTTGGATTTACCTTATTCACAGCTTTTACAGCTGTATCTATGGCTGATTGAATATTCTTCGAGGCTTCTTCAGGGTGAGCGCAGCTGTCGAACTCAGATATGTGTTTAGCTAGTTCTTCCTCAAATAGGGACTTAGTTTTCTGATCGAGCTGGGGACGTGATGGGTTTACCGCCAGCTGTTTCCTACGTCCGTTCAGTCGTAAGCACACACGAGCGCGGACCAGTGCGTGATCGGTATCTACACACGTGTTCCAGAAGGAGCGACAATCTCCTACCGACCCACGCCAACGATGGCTTATTGCTATGTGGTCTATTTTTGTCCAGCGTTGGTTTGATGATGGAGGTCGCCAGGTCAAACAGTGTCTCTCCTTGTGCTTGAAGTTAGTGCTTACAAGAAACAAGTGATTATCTGAACAGAACTGTAGGAGACGGTCACCGTTGTCGGTTCGCTGGCACGGAATTCCGTATGTGCCACTGACACTCTTCTCAGATTGACACAATTTCCCCACTTGAGCATTAAAGTTACCAGCTAAAACGACTATATCTGAGCGTTTAGCCTTTCGCAGCAAACTAGACAGCTTTTGGTAGAACTCATCCTTCGTTTCATCCGAACTGCAGTCAGTGGGGGCGTAGGCGGAGATTACGAAAAGGTATCGGCGAGTAGTGCAGTCCTTTCTCCTTTTCACTTATCCGTTCAGACGGACAGCACACATTCGGCTATCTACCGGGATCCAGTCAAGTAATGTCTTTTCTGCCCTAGTACTCAGAGCTATCCCAACACCAGCTAATCCTCGTGAGCTAGCCGTCGCATCTCTTGACACCCTCAAGGTGAATTTTGCATATTCATCCTGTTGGCCAGGTGGGGTTAGGTGAATAACCACACTTGGGTCTTGTATGCGTGTTTCTGAAACACAACATATATCAATGGCTCGGGATGCCAGAGTCTTGGCTAGTGATGCCTGTTGTCCTATTTGGCAAAGTGTCCTAACATTAAATGCCCCTATATGAAATTGGTGACGTGGCTTTAGGAGACTATCGATGGTGGTTTTTCGGCTTCCGTCGTTTTCAGTGCACACAGAGTGAAGAGGAAGTGAAGAGCCATTAAGTAGAGGAGTTGCATTAGTAGAAGGAAGGTAAGATAATAGAGATGAAGATGAAGACAAAGGTGAGTGAGGAATAGAGAGGTTTCGTGTGCTCTTCGGATTGTGAGGGCGATTGTTGCTTCCCGGCTGCCCACACCGTGGAAGTTGGTTGCGTGACCGCAGAGCCCAGGGGACAACTGCTTGAGGCCGGTCACACACGGCCTGTTTTTGTTTGTTGTTTTTCATTTGGTGAGTCTCAGTAGCGTATTTATCACTTTTGCCCTGTGACACGGCAGCAGAAAGCGTGGTCGTTGTTAATCCGGGCCCCGACGGATCCGGCATGATATTTTGTGATTTGTTTGAAGTCATAGGATTGGGTTGGGTAACTGCTTTTAGTCTAACCGCTATCCGAACAACCTTCCTGGCATGGTAGGACCTGCAGGAACATAAGTTTCAGCCAGTATAGCTTGTTGGGTCATTGCGGTGTTTAAGCCCGACCACCAAGTCAAGGTAGCAGCTTTCGGTCGGGTTTCTCTGATATGACTTAAAAAATACGTCCAAGTTATAGTGAGGAGTTTCAGTAGCTAATTTAGACTAGTTTCTGTAAATGTATTCACCGAGGTTACTGAAGATGAGCTGTTTTTGTGAATCTTTCATCTCTTTTATCCTGTTGTGCAGTCTTCGCCAAAGCCCTCGGTTCAGTTACTATGGTTTCCAGTAAGAGGATTGACAACTACTTACCAGGATAATGTGGATAAGAAAACAAATTAAAACAAATGACATCAACTCTAAATCTATCCCTAGTAGTCAACTTAACCTTAATCCTGACCCTAACCATAGTAACAACCCTTATTCTAACCGTAAATCTAACCCTTATGCTAATTATGACCCTGATAATAACCCTAACCGTAACGAGCCGGTAACATTGTCGAAACGGTACTTAAAAACGTGATCTGAGTGAAATTTGCTGCTTAGTTGGTTAATAGCGTTGATATTTCAGCTAACGATAATGACAGGTGGTTCCGTTAACCAACGACTAGCATGCGTTCAAGGTTATTGGAGCATTCGCACTCCTGGGACGACGCTATTGTGCTTAGTCGTTATACACTTTATGTATCTAGCTCCTCTCTCTTAATGAGTGTCTTTAAGTATGTATATATACATACTCCTTAATCTTATACTGTTTACTATTTGTTATTTCTACTTTTCTTAATCATCTTCTCCATGTCTCATTCATATTTGTAGGTAATTTATTAAAATGTGAATTATGTGGTCGATCATTCAATTCTCATTGTGCTCTACGTTATCATTCAAATATTGTGCATAAAGGTAGGTGCTATTGTAGAGTGATTTATCTTATTTCATTTTATTTATTTATTCATTTTTGTGTAGATAAAATCACGTTAAAACACAAAGATTTGAGCTGTACAGTCATATACATATGCAGATGACATAGTCCTGTTAGGGGAGGATGTTGACAAAATACAGCAGAGTCTTCTGAACACCTTGAGCTGCAGCAATCTTCGTATGTTTGGAATGCGATTCGCCCCTGTAAAATGTAAAATGCTGCTACAGGACTGGACTACGTCAACTCCTAGCTTAGTGATAGGGAGTGAAGTGATAGACAGTGATGTTGACCACTTCACCTATTTGGGAAGTTGTATCAGCACCAACGGATTGATTGGTGACGAAATCACAGCACGGATCCAAAAAGCTCGGGCTGCTTTCGCTAACTTACACCGTCTCTGGCGTAGGCGTGACATCCGGCTATCAACCAAGAGACGCGCGTGTACTGCTCAGCAGTTCGCTCCGTCCTTCTCTCTATGGCTGACTCTGAAACATGGCCAATACGAGTTGAAGACATGAAAAGGTTGACTGTTTTTGACCACAGATGTTTACGATCTCTCTCTCACGTTAGGTGGTGGTATAATAAGGTAAGTAATGTTGACGTTAGGCGTAGAGTGTTGGGCAAAGAGGGAAAATCAATCGAAGAGGCTATAAAGTTACATAGATCGAGATGGCTAGGTCACGTGCTGCGCATGCCTAGCCATCGCCTCCCCCGACGGATGGGCATTACTAGCTGATATAGGTGGTGCAGGTTGGAAAAGAGTAATTGGTGGCCAAACAAAAACATGGCCTCATCAATCCATGACATCCTTGACAGTTACACTGAGTCAGGTAGGGAGGGAGATGCAGACTTCCGGGTTGGGGCCCGGCCTCGGGACTCTAAGAATCAATGGCTGGAGACAATAGGTGACATGGTTCAAAATCGTTGTCAATGGCTCACGCAGGTGTATTCAGTCTCTGTAATCTTTCATATTCCTTTCTACCATTACTCATTCATTCTGTTTCACTCTTATACTTGTCAAAACTCTATAGATTCTCTTCACTCATCTTCTTGTCTACGTTTGTGTGCTATTTGGACCGTGGCAACTCGAAGTGCTGCACTTCGGTGGCAAGTTCTATGTTGAATCCAGCAGCAGCAACATATGCATGAATTACAACAGACAATAACAATCAGTTTTCTTGTGTGTGCATGTGTGTGTGTTAAAGTTTGACAATGAGTGGAAATACTAAAGTGCCGTTATAATACTGGTGTATAGGATTATTCAGATTTATTGGTTGAGGATAGAAAGCTTGAAGTCTATGTTAATCCTTTTCTAGTAAATTTCTGTGGTTGTCCAAACCCTTCTTGAACGAATCAGTTGAGGTTGCAGACACCACTTCTTCTGGGAATCGGTTCCAAGAGTTTATGACTCTGTGTGAGAACCAGTACTCAACAGGAATATGATTTCTTCTTCGCCTTTGAACTCTCCTGTTATGTCCTCTAAGGTGTTCCGACTACCTGTTGGGAAGGAAAAGAGAAAATAGGTCAGGTCCGTATTCATTATTTAAAATTGTAAACATTGTGATTAAATCTCCCCTCTGCCTACAGTATGATAGGAAGAAGAGATTTAAACTGTCTAGTCTTTCCTCGTATGATAAGTTAGTCATGCCGTGAACCATACGTGTTGCCTTCCTTTAAACCCTTTCTAGAATGTGTGAGTCCCCTTTTAGACAAGGACTGGTGGCCTGGATGCAGTTTTCCAGGCTTGATCTCACCAGACATGTTTATAAGGAGGTTAACATATCCCTGGTGATTCTAGTAAAGGCTCTGTGAATTGCCCATAAGCAATTGAAACTACGTGCAGCCACCGCGCGACAGTGTGCTGTAGATTTTAAGTCATGGCTAACTATGACACCTAAGTCCAAGTGAGTCTGAACTGATGGGAGTGTTATTCCCTCTAGTTCGTAGGAGCTCGTACTTGCTTGTCGAATGCGCATGGTTGCACATTTTGCCACATTTATCGGGAGCATCCATTCTATGGACCACCCTGACAGTTTGTTGAGGTCCTTTTGCAACGTGGACGTATCACTGTTGCCCTTCAGCTCTCGCCAAATTATTAAGTCATCTGCGTATAGGACCATAGAGGAGTCGGTGTGCAGAGCACGGGTTCAAAACCCATGGTGTGGGTGCGTACTGCTGATGATTCCCCAAAACTGCTATGAAACAGCTGTCCAGTACTTCCTCACTCGTTTTCAATGGTTCTCTAACTGATGTTATCAATCTGTGGTCAAACTTGAAAAAACCAATCGGCCAAGTTAAAAGTTTAAGCACCACTGACTACCAGTGGAGTGCGACCGCACCAATGACCTTGAAACGCTTACTGAGCCAGTTAGTGAAATCTGACAAATAATATTATCACCATCAATCAAATATGCTCATCGAAGTGTTATCTTATTAAATGGGATATCTGGCAAGTTTCAGCTTAAGTTTGGGAAAGATTAAGTTGCACTACAAGCTGAGGACAAGTTATATATCAAGAGATTAGGGGTTGGTTCGAGTCAGATTACAGATAGTTTAGGGATATTTTCACGTTAGGGTTAGGTTCAGGAAAGATTAGGGTTATTGTTAGGTTTTGAAGACCTAAATAATTACATGCATAGAATATGGTTAAATTCTGTCTGTCTGTCTGGATTCAACATAGAACTTGGCACCGAAGTGCACCAGTTCGAGTTGCCACGTTCCAAATAGCACACAAAGGTAGACAACAAAATGAGCGATGAAGAGAATCAATAGAGTTTTGACAAGTATAAGAGTGAAACAGAATGAGTAATGGTAGAAAGGAATATGAAAGATTACACAAGAGACTGAATACATCTGCGTAAGCCATTGACAACGATTTCGATCCATGTCACCTATTGTCTCCAGCCAATGATTCTTAGAGTCCCAAGGGCGGGCCCCAACCCGGAAGTCTGCATCTCCCAACCTGACTCAGTTTATCTGTCAAGGATTTCAGGGATTGATGAGGCCATGTTTTTGTTTGGCCACCACTTACTCTTTTCCAACCTGCACCACCTATATCAGCTAGTAATGCCCGTCTGTCGGGGGAGGCGATGGTTAGGCATGCGCAGCACGTGACCTAGCCATCTCAATCTATGTAACTTTATAGCCTCTTCGAGTGATTTTCCCTCTTCGCCCAACACTCTACGCCTAATGTCAACATTACTTACCTTATTATGCCACCTAACGGGAGAAAGAGATCGTAGACATCTATTATGTGGTTAAATTACTCCGTACTTGTGCACTTTGGTACAGTATAATTCCAATGTGGGTAAGATTTATTGTGATAGAGTTTCACAGTGTCAGACAGTAAGTAATATTTACTGATGACCACGTTTCGAGTACAATTTATTGCTTCGGAAATGTTACGAAGACTTTATCAAAAGAAATGCTACCCACATTGGAATTATACTCTGTTTATACTCCAACCTTAAACTGAGAGCTATTTATATCGCATGTGAGAGGAAGGTATCTTCTGTAACACTTTTCTACAGTTTTTATGCATTTTTTCCCTAAATACATGTATTCCATGCACAAAAATGCCTCCTTCACGTAATTGGTGCTTTGGAAGTCATTCGCTAATTGGTAGTTAGTGATGGTGCTTAAAGTTTAACTTTGCCAACAAATCTAATCCTTACAAACCAACTCTTAGAAATTAATCTGATGCTCACTAGTCACTTGTTACAGGACTGAGTTAACTGAAGCTCTGGTGAGAAGTCGTGACCAGCGAGGTCCATCCAATCAAGTGTTAGGATGGATTTCCTGCCGATGATATTGGTTGGATGTCGTGCTAAAAATCACAAATTGGTAGAAGTTAGAATTCTTGGACTGGTCATTGAGGAATCGGGTCCCAGTGGCTGAGAATGATATACGACGTTGCATTGTAACCGGAAGGTCCTGGGTTCGAACCCCATGGTGTTGTTTGCGTACTGCCGGTGATCCTCGAATTAGGATGAAACTGTTGGCCAGTACTCTCTCACTGGTTTTCGATGGTTCTCTGACAGATGATATCAATCCGGAGTCAAACTCAAAAAAAATCTAATCCTTAAAAACCAACTGGTGAAAAAACAAACCGATTAGATATATGAATGAGTAACTAACTAAATAAATAAATAAAGGTCAACACAAAGTTCAACAGACATATGTGAAATAGACGATAGGAAATTAAAGTACATTCAGAAGTGTGAATATGTGAATACTAATAGGGTGGAAACTTATTGTGAGTGAAATGTTGTCAAAATGGTAGACTAAATAAACAAAATTTTAGAATATGAAATAAAATAAAACAAAGATGGAACATAGAATAAAGAAGGCCAACAAGGTTTTTTGTTTGTGAATTACATTGTAAAATCAAGATCATGGGGTAACGAAAGAGATCGTACAAATATGTTTTTGTACACAAAGTTCTGGCTTTGTATTATGTATTGACAAAGCCTCTGCTATATACAAAGCAAATGCACTCGTGTCCCTTTCGGCAAACTTTGTTGGACTTTGTAGACTATATTAAGCAATGTATCAGATGCTGCGTGGTCAGCATCTAAAAGATGTTGCAATATCGATGAATCAGTACCTTCACGCTCTGCCTTTTCTCACCCAAACTGGAAGGTGCTCTCGAACGCTGTGGGATGTGTAACTCGACGAACTTCCTATGTACCTAGCTCCACAAGATTAGGTGAACATGTAAATACACATAGAATTAAACAATCGAGGTAACGTTTCCTTAACATTAAGGTGCACCAATCGACGGCTGGAGTAGGTTATTCATAAAATGGCAACGGAGGAAGTTTGGCTCAATGATCTTGTCAGGCAGTTTTCAAGTACTTCACTCTCAATGTCACCCCTAAATGCTAAGTTCAAGTGCAATACTTTATTAGCTACATTGTCCGTCTCTGTATTTCTTCAGTCTGTGACTCAGAATCAAATACATCAGTATATCATAGCACTTTAGTATTTCCACTCATTGTCAAACTTTAACACACACAGAAAACGGATTGTTATTGTGTATAGTAACTCATATATATATATATATCTTAAAGGAATTCATGTCCCCCCGCCTCCTTTGACATTCCAAGTGACCGCGTTACCCAGTACTGCAGTCAGTGAGCTGGATATTCAGCCTCGTGACAGACCTTCTGTGGAAATTTACTGAATTCTTCCACTTTTTACAGGTTTGATCCCCAGCTGACATCAGTCAGAGGGCCATTGGAAAATCTGAGAGTACTGAACAGCTTTTCACTCTTTCTAACTCAAAACTCTTCATCAGTACGCACCTCCATCAAGGTTCGAACCCAGGAACCTACTGGTTACAAAATGAGCTGGTAGACCATTTAGTTACTAGGAACCGCAATCCAATGGCTAGCTGGCTACTTCATGAATTCCCACTTTTGTCGATTCGCCACATAGACAGAGCAACAGAAACAGCTGTCAAGTACTCCCAGGTGATTTTCCAATGGTTCTCTAACTGATGCCAACTCGTGATCAAATCTGTAACCAATCAAATCCCTACAATCCATCACTTCGATTGGTCAATAGGCAGTAATCAATATCCTATGTATAGTCCCTGATTTGGTGCAGACTGACGCGGGTTTGAATCTCAGACAGGGAATGAGTTCCTTCAAGATTGCAAACGAATGCCTTGTTGACTGATGACTGCTATCAAGCTTGAAACCCAGACCTGGTAGGGCTTCCTGTCACTTAACATTCATTCAAAATGTAACGCGATGGTGAGCCCACCTAGTGGCATGGTGGTGGCCACTTTGATAGAATTCAGTTTGCACAACAACAGCAATAAAACAAAGGGCTAGACGTATGACATCTCTATCACAGAAGAATCAACCGAAAAACAATAATACCATCAATGATCTATGTGAGGTCACATTTATGAACATAGTAAAAGTAAAGTTATTTTAAATCAAATTAATAATCCTCATTGAGATATAAAAAGAAAGAATTCAGTGAAGAAAATTCTGTTTACGACGATTTCATTCTCATATATATATATATATATATGAGAAACGACGAGTTGAGTTCTGTGTGTGTGTCCCCCCGAGGGTGATATGCACGAGATCCTTGAAGAGGAGATGAAAGTTTATGCGCAATCGTGGAACCCATATAAAGAGAACACAGGATGGAATGGAGGTGTGCTTTTGAAACCCAATGTGCTGCCACTGGGGGAATACCTATCGAAATAATCATAAATAAAGGAACCAGAGGTGGCATTCATCAAACACGGAACTCACCGGTTGAAAGTTGAATCTAATGTGCCGCATCTTCAACTCTTACCAGCACAATCAATACTCAGGCTAAACAGAACGTCATGACCATCGACTACTAATATCTCGTACTATCCAACTTCAGATGTATATCAATTTAATACTACATTTAAAGAAATATCTTAGTGTTTTTCAATTTATACTTATGTTAACTAGATAATTTGGTTTCCATTTTTTTAACTCATTTAGATCATAAATTCCAATGTCCACATTGTCCTAAAACATTTCGATTGAAAAGATACTTGGAAGGTCATGTGAAACGAGTACATGCAAGTAAGTGTTTGTGTGTGTGGGAAGGTGAAAATTAGAACTTAAGAACTTTTCCTTTTCTTGCTTTTTTTTCTTAATTGAGATCTATTTCATGATCGATCAATCAATCTAACAACAAATATTCAAGTAAAATTAGATCAATTGATAGAAGATAAGTGAAGAAAGTGACCTCTTTCGAATTCCTTGCGTTGATATTGATTGGTGCTGGTTGTTGCTGCAGTTCGTTAGTTATCTTCATCACCTCCATCTTCTCTATGTTCGCCTCGAGTCCTGTCTTCGCTACCAGCTTTTTGGTTACCTCTTATAAATGTTCGAGTTTGTTTGACACTAAGTGTAAATCATCCATTGGCGAAATCCAGATCTTCTAGAGACTCCTTACTGATCCAACGTATTCCTTCATGTCTTCTCACTCACTCACAATCCAGTCCACTATATAATTAGGAGTATCATAGGCGATAATAGGCAGGCAGCCAGCCTTGTCTTACTCCTGTATTCACTTCGAAAGCCTCACTGAGTTTCCCGTTGTAGATCACCTGACCGATGGGATTGTCATACAGCCAGCTGTTGAATGACGTTGGTATAGATTTGGCGCACTACACGCCATAGTGTAGGGGAGTTGATTTAGCATACAGTAATAGTGAATGGAGCCAAATAAAAATATATTTCGAAAATTTAATAACAGTCTGTTCTGACGCTAACCACTCTGTCGACGATCGATGGTAAATAACACAGATTTAGGGTGGAAAACAAGGTTACGGGTAGTCGGAGCAATGACAGGATATTATCGGTGTAGCATGGCTCAGTGTCTCTCTCTCTCTATAGCATAGATGCATTCACTCCTTATATGGTCTTCGAGATTCAATAAATTCTCACTAATCTTCATGTGATTCATAAGTTGTAGTACATTGAATCGCGCGCTTCTGTTCAAATTTCATTACTATTGATAATCCAGTTCAATTTAGCGCATAAATCAGGTAAAGATTACTTTCCTGTATGTAGAAATAAGGAAATCACAAAAGAATTTACACAGTTCGCGGTAAAACGTCACCGGAGTTTCGTTTGAAAAGAAATAGCCAGCCAGTGTTAGTGTGTTGGGTTGATAAGTTGATTCAAGTCTCTTTGAGGTGAGTTAAACCGACTGGCTGGCAAACTCAGTCTCAAACGAACGGAATATCCGCCGGTTGCGTTTGAATCACTTTGACCTAACTAGTAAGCTGTGTTCTTATCGATTTGCTGCATACTACTGATTCGCTGGTATTAGTAGTGACATGCCACTGACTACTTTTTGACGTGAGTAATACCCATCTACTCATATGCATCAATCAGTAGTATATAGCGTTTTGCATAATTTATTCGCTGTCGAGAATTTCATAAGATTTATTGTTTCATATTATTGATTTTATCACTATTTTGCCTGTACTCATCTAAATTCTATTTTCTTCCATTTCCGAAATAGGCTTAGGAAAAGGTAATCCTCAACCACCACCTGGTTGACCGATGCATGCATTGTGTTGTTCTAAATGGCGCGTACAACACACCAACAAACACACACTCACTTGTAGACAATCTCAGATTGATTGGTGACCATTGGCTGCACACTCACTCGCTCACACACACACACACACACAAAGAAAACACATGAAATTTTTATAGTCCTTTTACATTTATCATTAAAAATTATGAATGTTACTGACGAAACGTATAATTTTTGGGGTCGAAAGCAGAAGAAGAATCATTTGTTTACTCCTTCCTTCCGTCCTTCCAGCTCTGCTCTAAACAAAGTCTTTTAATCATTGTGTATTAATTTTATCATTGCCATTACTACTACTACTACTACTAATACCATACCACTATTACTATTATCTTTTTGTATGTATGTATTTGTGTGTGGGCGAGTGTTGAATCATGTTTTATATGCAGACAGCCACTGACCTTGAAATTCTTCTCAATTTAAACAAAAAATGGCGCGCGCGCGCACGTACGCACTTAATGAATCAATAAAGAAAGATCTTTTATGTAAATAGAAGCAAAACAAACCTACTTATGTGTGCGTGTGTATATGTTATGCTTCAAAACTCTTTCCTCTCTTTTTTGTACTCTACTATACTACACTATTTAACTTAATTTATATTAAATTAATCAATTATTTATTTTATAATGAATATATACAATACTTATAACACTTGTTAAATAAATAAAATAAAAAAAATTATGAATGTTTCGATGATTTGTTACTTCCCCTTATTGATTCCAGTGAAAAGAAGCACACGTTGATGCGTGCTTACTAGTCAAATGTTGAGTCACTAATACATATGTCTCTTGGTTTTAATGAGTTGTCAGCAGTAGGTTTGATACATATCTTGTCGATAGGATTAATAATTAACTGGTATCTCTAAACTTTAGCGATCCAAATGAAAGACCAAATAGAAATGGGCGCAATGACCTTGATCGACCAATCCGGTGAGCCTATACTAAAAACACGGTAATTTGAACCCAGCACTTGAATTACATTTAGAGGTAGTAGTATTTTTGAGTACTGTCGATATAAAAGGGTTATAGGAAGCTTGTAGTGGAGATATGGAGGAGTAATGTAGCCGCTTTTGATGGATATGTGTACACGCGTTAAAGAAAATCTGTCTGAAGAGATATATATGTTGTCCTCTCTTTTTAGGATCATGGGAGGTGTAGCGTAGTAAGTGGATCACAAAAACGGCATGATATCCAATTATCTGGACGAATTTATGTACTGAAATAGGTTTGGATTGTCACTGGAGACTTTAATTTCCTGTGACACTCAGGGGAGAGTTACCTTCTGTAAGTATTTCTTAACACTGAAATTTAAGCCTATAAAAAAGTTCTTTTTAACTTCAGGCATATCTGATTGGCTGATCAACTTCATTGCCTCTGTTTAATTCGTTACTTCGTCTGGGTTGCTTAGGTTTAGAGTCACTAATTAGCCGTTGCCAATTAGATTTCAACCTCGCAGTTGAATTGTTTACGCGTTTGCCTAACTATCTGAGTAATCTTAGTTTCATCCGTGGTGGAGTCATCGGTGTACACCCCTGAAGAATCCCGACAGGGTTTCAATGGATATGAGCAATTAAAAGACTGAATGAATCCGCGCCAGCCATTGAGCACAATTTTGAGCCACATAACCACCAACTGTCACTAGCCATTGATTCTTAGAATCCTAACCAGGCAGCCTACACCACCCTACGAGGCTGACTCAGGATAACTGTCAAAGATTTCATAAACTGTTTTCCAACAATGATCCTAGGTTAGCTAGAACTTCCCAGTCGACGACAAAGGCAATTGTTAGGCCTGTGCAATACATTGCCTAGCCTTCTCACTCTACTCAGCTTCGCAATCTCATCGATTAACTAACCCTCCATATCATACCGACCGATACGGGAGATGTAACACAAGCAGCTATGAATAAACACAGCTAATCGCCTCATATCTCAAACTTTCAGTGATCACATATCACAACCACAAGATGAGGACAGACTATACTGCTGTGCACACTTCCTTTGGTCGATAGCTAGCCAGATATCACGCCTACACCAGAAAGAGTATAAATCAGTAAACCCTACACGAGCCTTTTGTATACGTGCTGAGATTTTGTCAAGTAAAGTGGCCAACACGCCACACAAATTCACACCCTAACACAAACGTAACAGGCATCCAGTGATTGCTCAACTGATGTTTTTTCTGGAATTAATACTCTCACTAGGGTAAACAATTTATCACAACCCAAGCGCACCAACCCGACCAAACTACCTTGGACAATCAGTCAGTCATATTATCGCTTTGTCATACTGAAGGCCGTACATGAATTATGCTGTCAATTAAAGACAAGATTGCTCGAGATAGAATTACAAAAAGGTACGACGACGTATTATGTCGACCGAGACTTGGAAGGACTGTTCGCATAAGTGACGAGGATACTTGTATTCGCCTTCTCTCGAATATTATTTACTACTCAAGATCATTTGCTTTCGTCATGACACGTTCTCTTCACCCTCGTCGGAAAAGACTGATTATTTGCAGAGAAAAACAAACAATGAGCGTTGTCCAGTTCAGTAAAACTTCGAAATATATTACTCAAAAGTTAAGTCAGTAGTAATTTACTTCTGTTCTAGGACAGAAATTTGATTTTTTTTTTTTTGGTTGAATTATTGCCTTTAGCTACTGATGATAACATATGACCGATAGACTCCTCCCCTATGTTCAGCGTGAAACGAAGACTTATCGTTAAAACACTGATTGGCCTAGACTTCAACCTTTTGGCGGTTGATTCATTTATACGTAAGCTTCGAAACTTAAAAGTTCTTAGTTTGATCCCTAATAGTGAGGGGGCGGGCGGTGTCTAGGCGCGCTACTGTAAAGAGTCCCAAACGGGGATAGAATAGTTATCCAATAACGCTCTGGTTATTTAATGAATCTTTAACTGAAGCTGGCTTGTAATGACACCAAAATCCCTCCCCTATAAAACCTGGAATTTTAACAACTATATTCTCGCTAGGGTTAGCATAAAAAAAACTACTAAAAACACCAATCAGTAAAGGCAGTTTTGCTCCATCAATCAATATAAAAGCGGAAGTAAGCAAATTTCATTACTGTTGAAGTTAACAGAGCCCGAGGAAATTAAAAGCAGGTACGACAACTTGACATCTGTTATTCAACGCTGACTAACAACCTAGAAAGACTATTCTCCCGAGAATTTGGCTACCTATCTATCTTATTATAATCTCACAGTTCCTGAGTAACTTTTCAGACTGGGTTCGGTTACCAGCCGACTCACATCTAAATATGTATCCCACAGTAAGCTTTGGAAAAGAGGAAAAGCTAGTTATGAGGCTAGCAGCAATTTCATACCAATAAAACCACAACACTGCTAATGACATCTCAAAGCTTGACGCCTACCCTACCTTACTACAGTAGGAAAGGAAAATAAATGGTGAAGACGAAAGCTAACATCGGGTTGTGGTATATAAAAAGCGCTTTAAAATCATTGAAATTGCAGCAGTTTAACACACGCTGTATAGTGTTCCTTGATCACCGATATTTTTTTGGCGGTCTTGACAGCTTTACGAGATTCCCTCTATTCCTGAATGCTGGTTTCCCTTCTCTCCTGCTCACGGACGGAAAAAGTATAAATTGCTGATATTATGATCATAAACCAGAGAGACGATCAGTAGAGACTCCCGGTAATTAGGTTTCATGAAGGGTGTATCTCAAAAGAACGAATATCACCTCAGGAATTCGAACCCGCATCACTTACTAACAATGTCAGAGATATTAAGCCAATGAATTAATTATTAGAGTTCAACGCTGACTTTCTGTACAAAAACCGTAATACGCTTCCTACTACTGATGGGGAGTCAACCACCTAGCTTCACTTGACTTGTATAGTTCACTTAGACATCTGTCTGATATGGCCTATTCTATTTTTTTCCTTCACTTTCCCAGTGGAACATAGGGCTTCAATCTAGAGGCTTGAAGTTTCGGTAACAGTGTTAAATTTTACAGGATAAAGTTGCTAGCATCATGCCCAACTTTTCCGCTTTACCAGTCTCACTACTGGTTTAGCGAAGTAAAGGAGTGCGACAGTGGCCTCGGATCGAACCCCAGACCATGTACATGGTCAGCGAGCATCCTAACCGTTGTGCTACCGACGAAACGGTCTATTCCATAGCTCAGAAAAAAATTTCAGCGTGCGCATTTAGAAGACATAATGATTGAGCGAAGAAATATTTAATTTTTCAATTAGATCCTCATCTCACTCAAGGTCTACTCTAATACATATATAGCATTTAAAATACAATACACAACATTTTACCAATCAAATGGCGATGTTTGTTAACAATAATTAATCAATGTCAACATGTCAGCTGAGACGACAATTAACCAATAAAATTAATAAACACACTTGAAAGGTAGAAATAGTTACAACAAGTACAAGTGGATTGCATAATGCATAATTACTGAAAAAAGAGAAGAGTAATTCAAAGGATATGCGTGTGCTCAAGTTGATCACGTAACAGATAGTTGAAGTACAATAAAACAAGTTGGACAATGAAGCCTTGTAAATAAAAAAGAAGTAGTCAGAAATAATAATGAGGTAAATTGGACAATAATGATTTTCAAAATGCTTCAAGAGGACGGAGCCGAAGTTGTCCGGTTTATGCAACCATTCATACAGCGATTGTCAAGGTAGGAAAAGTTTGCTTGTACGAATTTTTTCTATGAACACACAGTAATTGGATTCTTCATGTGCATCACTGTAGCTTCAGATGTAGGTATAAAAAACATACTCGTAAAGCAAAATCAAGATTACCTGGAATGCGAAAAACAAATTTCAATGCTAACATAAGTAAAACTGTAGGCTCACGGCGTATAAGGTGTGCTAAAAGAGAGCTACGAATACACCTTGTCTGATCTTTGCTTCACCATGCACGATGATTTTAGCAAGCACAATGACCAACATGCCTGACTATACACCCGATGTAGCTGTCTCACCGACTTCACTTACTCTATCGATGCTCCAACAACCGCTACTATCCACCACAACAACTTCCTAACAGTACCACCAACCGACCCCATCCACAATTCAGCTACCTGAAATGAAACAAACATCAGAACATAACTCAAACATGGACTATACTCACTCAAATAACACAAACAACACTAACAACAAATATCAGGAGGACCAATATACAATGTCAACAAAGTCGAAAGAATAACGACTTCTCAGGACAATTAATCATCATTCAAATACTACATAACAAACAAACAACCAACCAACAACAACAGCTCATCACATTCACACCCTTCACAAACAACACAAACACCATCCAAACCAACATACATAAACGAATACACAACATCATCATCATCATCACAGTCTCACAAACTGCAACAGCAACAACAACAACAACAACAAAAGGGACAACGATAACAGTCACCAACACCAACACCGCCACAACAACAACAACAACAACAAGAACAACAACGACACAACTGCACCTACAACAACATCAAGGACAAAACCATGAACAACACAACACAACACAACACCTTCATCAACCACCTATCTACCAATACACACACACACACTCACTCACACAACGCAATGTAACTGTAGGCTGCACATGAAACAGGCTGTGATGCACACACAACCTGGGATTA